GAAAATGAACACTGGAAAAACAAATGGTTTCTTGTTTCCAGACCTGCACTACATAATACACAAGATCCATCCACCAACTTACCCCATTTGAGGAGTTTGTCCCTCGTTACTATACTGTCCTGCAAGACCAGCCAAGCAATGAAACTAGGTCCAGGGATATACCCCTTCCCCCAAACAAGTTTTTCCCACTCCACCACTGGCCATTTCTTCCTTAGAGATTCCCATACCAGTTTAACAGTGAACTTTGCCATCGGGTTTCCATCCCAGCAGAGCGAGGCCCCATGCCCAGAGAAATGAGGTTGGACTAGAGAACGAACCTTGAGTATTCGCCTCCATGCCCACGAACTACTTGCAGAGGACTTTACTGTCCAAATACTACCCGCTTTCACCCTATACTGCATAATCCAAGCAACACAGATAGTACCACTTTGCATTAGAATCAACCACAACTGCCTAGTTGTACAGGCCTGGTTCCAAGTAAAGAGCTCCTTTAAACCCAAACCCCCTTCCTTTCTAGGCCTTGCTAATTTGTCCCAGCCCACTTTAGCCCTGCCTTCCTCACCCCCCATGCCATAGAAAATCAGAACAAATTTTGTGCACCCTCTTAAGAACACACTTGGGGAGCAGAAAAACTTGCATCCAAAACTGTAACACCCCCATCACCACTGTGGATAGTAATTGTAACCTGCCTGCATAACTAAGTTTTTTCACTTTCCATGTTTCTGAGTTATTCTATCCACCAGACGATCACACTCTGCAGAGGAAAGCTTACCTGAGATCAATGGTAGCCCCAAGTAGGAAGTTTACCTTCCTGGAGCCCAGATCTCTCCCGTGCATTATTCTTAAAGTCCACAGACCATCCCCCAAAATACACCTCACACTTCCTAGGATTACATTGCAAGCCAGACATTTCATAAAATTCATTAAGCACCCCCTGAACTGCTACAATGGCCCTAGCAGAACCCTCAGAGAAGATCAACAGATCGACTGCAAAACTTAAGTGGGTAAGCCCCACTTTTTTACACTGTGGGTGAAAAGGAAGAAGTCCAGAAGCAGCAGCAGCATTCAGGAGTAAAGACAGGCCTTCCATTGCAATGGTAAATAGATAGGGAGACAGAGGATCCCCCTGTCTCACTCCCCTTTTAGCACCAAAATACCCACACAACCCTCCATTCACACAAATACTGAACCTAGCAGTTTTGACACAGAGAGAAATCCACTTGCAAAAAGAAGCAGGGAATCCCATTATATCTAGCATCAGGAACAAATATTCCCAGTTTACCGAATCAAAGGCCTTCATTAGATCTACTTCAATGGCACAATGTGAAGATAATTGCTTCTTATGATAGCCACTAACCATTTCCCGAGCCATGAGAATGTTGTCCACTATCCTTCTACCTTCAATGAATGCAGACTGATTACCACTAATAACTGTAGCCAGAACTTTTTTCAATCTATTTGCTAGCAGCTTAGCAATTATCTTGTATAGCAGATTGATGCATGATATCGGTCTAAAATCCCTCAAGGCACAAGCAGATGGAATTTTAGGAAGTAAGGTAATAGCAGCAGAGTTAACACTACCTGGCAATCTCCCAGAGTGGAAAAAGTCCAAGACAGTAGCAGTAACATCAGCCCCAATTATTGACCAAGCTTTCCTGTAAAACCAGCCGAGTACCCATCAGGGCCTGGAGCTTTATGTGGATCCATGTGCATTACCACATTTCTAACATCATCTGCAGTGAAATCAGCACTTAGAAACAACTTCTCCTCCTCACTCAACCTTTTCTGAACCAGACTATCCAACTTCTCTCTGTTTGGATGTACATTTGGGTCCACCCTATCAAATAAGAATTTATAGAACCTTACTGCTTCATCCGCAATCTGATCACTCTCAAACAATTCTTCACCATTCTCTGTGACCAACTTCCTGATTGCCTTTTTAGCATTACGCACCTTGACAGCTTGATGAAAGAAACCAGTGCATCTCTCTCCCAAAGACAACCAGTTTATTCTGGGATTTTGCCTGTACATGCTCTCTTCTGCTTTCCTAAGCTCAAATAGACGAGCTTCCAGCACAGCAACATCTTGAAATACTTGCTCTCCAGGTTCATCGAAAGCCACAAGCTGAGCATCATTCAACTTCCTTTCCATTTCCTTCACTTGACCACTCAAATCACCATAGACCTCTTTATTCAGCTGTTTTAATAATTTTTTTGCTTCATTTAACTTGGCCTTCACAACCATAATAGGGATCCCCTGAGCCTCCAATTCCCAAGCCTTCTGAATCAGAGGAAGAAATTGAGGATCCTCAGTCCAGAAGTCAAAGAATTTGATAGGCTTAGGAAGAGTTTTCTGCCCTGGCTTTGTAGCCACAAGAACCCCACAATGATCCGAGAAAACAGCTGGTATAAGCTCTACCCTACAGTCAGGGAACTTGTCAAACCAGCTTTCATTAACCAAAGCTCTATCCAATTTCCTTGCGATTGGATTTTCTACTTGTTTGTTAGTCCATGTGAATTGAGGCCCTGCCGCTCTATGATCAAACAGCTCGATATTAGCCACCCAATTACCAAAATTAGCCATACAACTAGTAGTGTCTCTGAGGTTTGAAGTCTCCTCAGGTTTTAAAACAGCATTAAAATCCCCACCCACCAGCCAGGGTATCCCACTCACCTTAATTTGAGACATCTCCAAGTAAGTTGCCCTTCTTTCCGATTCATCATTCGACGCATAAACCGCTGTAAAGAACAAAGACTCCCCAGTCACCATTGTAGCAAGACAGTGCACAAAATTCCTTTTAGGTAACAAGTTGCTAACTGTAACTACTTCCGGATCCCAGAATAACCATACTCTCCCCAACTCAGAATCTACATAGTTCAGATACTTCTTCCAATCTTGACAAAAATCACTTGCTATTTCTTTTGCTTTAACCTTCTTCACTCTCGTTTCAAGGATTGCTACTACATCTACTCTATACTAACGAAGGACAGACAACATGTCCTTCCTTTTAGAGGGTTTGTTAAACCCCCTTACATTCCAAAAGAGGACAATCATGGGGGAGAAGAGGGCTGAGGCCGCCCTGATTTCTTCCCACCTTTCTTTGGGGCACCCTGAAGCTGCACCACCCTCTCCTCTTGTAGACCCTCAAGAGCCGAAAAAGTATGAGAAGTTGACAATACACTAGTAGGGCTGCCCATAGGAGACCACCGAGGCCTTGCACCATTTACAACCTTCTGAAATTCCACGTCAGATGGAAGTTTGGGCGAAGAGAGCTCAGACACCTGCTGAAAGGATGCCTCCAAATTGACCCCTTGAGGACCAGCTGCCATTACCACTCTATTCGACCCAATAAGCATATCAAAATTAGTATCCTCCATCACAACATCCACCAAAACTTCCTTACCCTTATGTTGAACCGCCCCAGCAGGCGTCACAGGATCAAGAACTTCCACCCTAGCCTCAGGCTCTTTCTCCACACCCTGTTGGTGCCCCTCATCAACCTTCCGTACCCATACCTGTTGCCCCCCGGTACAACCACAATCCAGTCCAAAGTTCTTACATATCTGGCAAACCGGAGGAAGATGACTATAGGTCACCCCCACCCTGATTGAAACCTCATCCGTCGGCCAAATCAATATGTGGTCCGGGAATTCTCCATCAGCACGAAGCTCCACTAGGATTTTCGCGAAACCCAGTCTCCCTCCTACCCTAGTAGTCTGATCTACTCCCAAAGGAACCCCCAACCAACTTGCAGTTTTGCTGAGTCCCTTGAAGTTCACGTACTCGAGAGGGAGATTCGAGAAACGTACCCAGATCGGGAGCGCCTTGCGACCCAGGTCTGCAACATCAATCCCGGGCTTCCAAGGGCGAAGATACAACAGATTATCCAGGTAGAACCATGGACCGCTCTCCAAAATCTAATCACAAGTAGCTTGCGAAGGGAGCTGAATCAGGAGGAGCTGATCTCCCAGTAGAGAAACCCGCACAGGACCATCCCTGCCCCACATTCGATTTGCCCACCGCCTGAGCTCCGCCAGAGCTGGAAAAGGATGAAGGAACTGACCCACCAAGCTATGCTTCCAGCGAGCAGCACCTTCCTCACTCACCTCCTTCGGCATCCGAAGCCCACCCTTGTAAACCTCCGGCTTCATATAACAGAGACGATTAGCTTCAGAAATCCCAAAGAGTTCTGCCCAAGGCTTCAGGGGAACCCCTTGGACAGAGGTGCTCCCGGACGCCATGAAAACTCACCTCTCACAACAAAGAACTCGAAAGACTGGTCGAGGAAGAAACAGGCACCGATGCAGATGCCGACGCGGCTAGCCCAGCCCTAATCGGAAACCAAACTCGCCCAAATTTGGGAGTGTTTTCTCTCTCTACTCTCTAACAAATATGATCTAGTCTGATTGGTTAAGTGCTTCTTATTTATTTGAGTCACCAGGGTTCGAATCCTACTAATGCACAAATGAGATGCAATTACTAAATAGATTTTCCTAGAATCGCACTTAGGCCCCGAAATTTGAAATGGATGTGTAGATTAATTTTTCATGTTATTGATTGTAAATGTACTTTTATATTAGTTTATGTATGATTAGAAAGCACACATGCCTAATCATTTTTACGATAGATGAGAAATCACAATAAAACGTTAATAATATGGAGACATAAGAAAATAGATAAGAAGAACCCCAATTTTATCTATGAAATTGTTAACTATTAAGATTGTAAACTCTAAGGGAAACTCACATAGAAAACACATTTAATTTTCTTTACTAAAACCATTATCGTTTTTGTTTCTAGTTTATTGCTTCGATTCTAGCTCTTTACATTAGATGTTTATGCATTTTATTTGGCTTAAGAATTTCGCGACAGGATTGCATTTCACGGGGAGTCGTTTTTTACTTTTCAGCTATTATAAATAGTGTAGATGTAGATTAATTTTGCATGTTATTGATTGTAAATGTGCTTTTATATTAGTTTATGTATGATTAGGTAGCATACAAGTCTAATCATTTTTACTGTAGATGAGAAATCAGAATAAAACGTTAATAATACGGAGACATAAGAAAATAAATAAGAAGAACCTCGATTTTATCTATGACCTGGTTAACGGTAAGATGGTAAAATCTAAGGGAAACTCACACAGAAAACACATTTAATTTTCTTTACTAAAACCACTATCGTTTTTGTTTCTAGTGGATTGCTTAGATTCCAGCTCTTTATATTAAATGCTTATGCATTCTATTTGGCTTAAGAATTTCGCGACTGGATTGCTTTTCACGAGGAGTCGTTTCTACAACTATTACGTAAAATAGAATTAGGTCACTTAAATGTTAAGTGATGCCAAATATTCACTTCATATTGCCTTTCCACTTTACGAACTTTTTGTTAATACCCATTACATAAAATGAACATCTATTGGATTTATGACATAAAACTTCTCTACAACTTTTACTAAATATGAACACACATTGGGTAAATATTACGTAACAAAATGAAGGATTTGAGTTTTGAAAATCTTTGAATTTATGATGGATTTATTGCATTTTTTATTTGAAAGACAACATTGTTTGTTTAATTGAATTTTTGTCATAGATTTAGTTCATTTGGTATTTGAATCTCAACAATAGTCTTTTATAAAATACATAATGCTTGGTATTTGGGTGACAAATACAACACCCAAATCCCACAAGCAAACTACCCCTACATTTTATACAATCCCTACATTTTATACAATGCAACCTGCAAAATATAATGGATAAAACAAACCAAAATTATAATAAGGTGAAGACGTGTTACAAGGAATTCTCTAAGGGGTCGTTTGCTTGTTGGATTTGGGTTATGGATTTGGTACCCAAATCCCAAGTTTGATGGATTTAACATAAGTCCATTGTTTGTTGAAGGGTGCTAAATCCGTGGGGTCCACGGATTTGGTCTTTATTTTGGAACCAAATCCGTGGACCCCACGGACTTGTAAATCCCACATATTTATTTGGGATTTGCAAATCCTTGATGGTTAGTTATTTATTTAACAAATCCATCATCAAATCTATCATGCAAACATTAGACTCTTCAAATCCATAATCCAATAAATCCAACATAAATCCCAAGGTTTTTATTGACCAAACCCCTCATTTTTCAAATCCAACAAGCAAACGACCCCTAAATTTCGATAAATATGTCAATATTTGTCTTATAAGATCATAAACTAATAAGTCACGATGAACTATAAATCGCATCACTCTGATGATTGGGGACGTACGTGGTTTTCCCTCTACTCCTTGTACTTCTCGCAAGACACTTCTGGGTGACACTCCACGTGGCACCTTATACATGTCTCAGCAAAGCACACCATGGACACAAACAGAACGCTACCAGCAACTGAAACTCAGCAGCACCTGCCGCCTGCCACTACTTGGAAGACCAAAGGGCAGTCGGAAGAATGGCAGAACCTGTCCTTCCTACAGCTCAATGCTACAAATGACCTTAGAGAAGCCCTAAAAAGTTCCTCCAACTTCTCACTGGACAAATAAGACCTCAAGTCTTTGAACAATATGGGCACGAGGCACCCTTCTCGGGCACATCGGGGAAACTATCCAAATTTCTCATTGCTGACCTAAATTGCTCCACAAACAGGATCGACCGAGCTAATATGAGCAGCCTTCAAGTCTGTGGACACCCACCATTTGTCAACTTCAGACAAGTACATTGCAGCAGAGTTCACTGCAAGTATGGTCACTGGTGTATTCTTCACCAATCACCACCATTGGTTGCAATCTCTCTAACCATTTATTCCACTCTGTTCTTCGCCTCTAATTCGTTGCTGGAAACAGAAACGATGTAATGCTGTGTGTTCAGAGAATTTCTGCTTCCCTGAACAATTCTTTCCTTTCAGGCATCAAGACTGGAAGAAGACCATCTTTCTGCGGATTCTGAGCCGCTTGCTTTCATGGCAGGTGAGAAGGGATTGAATTGATTTCTCCCCAGGCACAGCAGTATTACGTGAACCGAACAACAGAGGCTATGCAGTATGACTTACATTTTCCGATATATAGAATCCTTCAATCAGCATTCACAAATGAAACCAGGAAATAGAGGCTAGGCAGTATGACTTGCATTGTTCTGGACTTCGACCTGAAAACAGGAGAACACGAACTAATTGGTATGCATATTCGTCCTAGAGTAGCTTCCTTAAATCATCAACCACTGCATGTATCGTGTAAGATTAGAGAGATTTAAGCATCCTTTTCTTCCGAGTTTCAACCTCCGGATCTCCAATCCCCGTCCTCCTCTTTCCTGGTGTTCCACTGTTGGTTATCAGTGGCAGACGACAGATTTAAGCATAAAATTCTATAAGAAGAGTGTTCAGCTAAAAACCTTTGTTTGATGGAGTAAAAAGGTTACTTAAACTCATATGACAATCCTCATGAATTTCTAAGCTAGTACTTCTTTAACAGATTTGAAAAGCCTTCCCCAAAATAAGGGGTTGTGAAATCCGTCGCTCATAGTATCATGTATCCTCATTCCTTCTTATTTAAACCAAAATTCCCCTTAACTAATAAGGAACATAACGTGATAAGCATCATTGCCAGTATTAAAAGTCACGATTTTATAACAATCAACTCCTAAAATCATACATTCAAGCAACTAATTCATAGGCTTAACACAATTACACACTTTCAAAATCGAAAAATGCAACATGAAATAAGCCACTACGAGAACTACCAATTCAACTACTTTAAATAGGCTCGGAGTGCATAAACAACACCTACCAATACCGCCCCAGTAGATCAACTCCTGCACCTTCGTTTGTAGATTGGAATTTCCTTTCAACCCCGTCATCCTTCCTCTCCTTGCTCAGGAGGGGAGCCTTTCACCATCTTTTCAGCTTCTTCCAATGACAAGATTGTTCAACTCCGTCGACGGGTTCTATTTGTTCAAAAGGCAAGTTCTCAGAAGCAGAAGTAACACAAGTACCAGTTATCGAGGGAGTTATTGGTTCGGGTTCATCAAACTGATCCCAACAGTCATAGCTTCCATCGTACCTAACTCGCAACTTCTGGTACTTTGGAATTGGAGTAGGCCAGCAAGAGACCTTAGGCTGGAACACCCTCCAACCACTAAAATGTTCAGTTAGTTCAGCGACAAACTCTAGTTGCCCTCCCCTGCTCAAATCACAGGACAAGTAAGAATAGTTACGACCAACAAAACGAGGGAAGAAGACAGTTTCTGGCTTTTCTGGATGCAGCGTAGGAACATAAAGGAACCCAGGTGGATAATTACCCTCTGATGATGACTTCACCGGACCTTCGCATACCTTCCTCCAGAATTTACAGTCTTCATTTAACCTCCAAACACTCAAAACAATCCTCGCTGAAGCAGGTCTAGTGCCCTCCTCAAACACAATCAAGTGCAGAGCACCTTGTGAAATTGAAATATCCCACCACGGATTATTAGCAGAGACTGGGGAAACATCAATATGAGTGGGAGGTATATCAAGGCGGAAAGGATTAATAGCAGCAATCAAAGGTTCAGACAGCCCATCATGGTTGCCTTGTGCTCTAGCATACGACAAATACAAAACCCCATCGCATGAAACAACACAACTTCGTTCGCGTCTGCAGTAACCTTGAAGAACAAGCGCCTCCTTGGTCCATTCTCCAGACTCCGAAGAGAACACATCTAGTTTCATAGAATTCACATCTTGGTATATGCACACCACCCGGAACCGATACTCAGAACCATCTCCTAGACCAAAAAGACTATTAGAATCTAAGGGTTCACAAACTAACCTTGCACACAATCCTGTATGCCCCACTGGTCTTTCAGGGGCCAACGGAAGTGCAATCCATTGCTTCGTAAATGGATTGCACAGCAAGTACGATCTGGCAAGTTCATCATTAGTAGGGCGGTTACCTGGTTCCCAAAAGCCACATAAAAGCAGGTCCTTGAAGCAATCAAAAACTGCGAAACGTGTCAGCTCGTACTCTATATCGGAGGCGCAATCGGCGGGCCAGGGGATAAAGCTCAGTAAGGCAGATTCCTTGTCGGTTGAGTGAAGAAGCTGAGGGTGGGTGTTCATGCTCTGGTGGTAAGAAAGGAAACGACGACCGAAGCAGGGATCGGAAATCAGGGATCTCCATTGCTTGCATACGGCCCTGCTCCGGCAGGCGGATCTAGGATTCGGGAAACCGCGAACCAGAATTTCTGTGAGGAGATCGTCTCCCAGTTTGCTAATCGCTGGAGTAGGAGGATTTACTTCTGAAAGGAGGCGTCGTTTTCCGCAGACTCGAGCAGGGCGGAACCGTGCGCCGAGCGCCAGATCTGAAACCGTGGTGCAGCTTTCCGTCGCCATGGCTCAGACCAATTGACAGAAGACTCTGCTTTTGCTTGCGGATTTGGAAGGCGAAAGGAAATGTTTGGGTTCCAATTGTTTGTCTGGCTTCAAATGAACTAACCACCGATCAAGATATAATAAGCACAAACTTAACCATATCCGAAAAGGAAAACGTTGCTGACACTCAAATACGATTGGCATAAGGAATCCGACCGTCGAACCGGACAATGTGGTTGCTCGAAGAAATTATTATCCGTTTTATCTATAAATTTATGGGTAAATACTAAATATAACCTTATAGACGACAAAGGTTAGTGTAGGTCCGAACATACCCTAATTTACCATATGCCCATAAGTTTTGTTATTTAGACAATAAATTAAACGTAGTTTGGGTGTGATACTACACTCTAACCCCTAATGCATGAATTCCAATCCCCAAGTCACTAACCCAAAGCATAATATTCATTATTAATCTTGAAATGAAAATCAACGATTCCGATTCGTCGAAATTATAAATGAATTTCATTTTAAAATTAAATGAATCTCATGGTTTGGGTTAGAAAATTAGGGACTGGATTTCACCCATTAGAGGTTAAGGTATAGTATCATGCCCCAAACTCTGGGTAATTCATGATCTAAATAACAAAACTCAATGGGGCATACGATAGGTTAGCGTATGCGGGGGCATATGCTAGCCTAAACCAATTATAGATATATATTTATGGGAATAAAAAAAACTATTAAGCACTTGGTAGTCACCAATGTGGAAACTAGAGGTGGAAATCGGTACGGCATCGGTATCCCAATACTAAATACCGAATTACACTCTAAAATCAATCCAAATCTCAATCCCTAAAAATTTCGGTATCGCAATTCCAATCCCTAGATATTTCGGCATCCCAATCGATATTTCGGTATTCCAATCGGTATTATCGAATACGAAATTAATTACCTTTGCAATTAATAATGAAATCTAAAAATTAGATTTGATTGTTTAATTTAGGGCAAAGAGACAAAGCAAAAAGTCTTGAGTTTACCTAAGGCTAGGACGAGAGGTGACAACTCAAGTTCTTGTCATTGGTAATCTTTAATTCGACGAATTGGAGGTTGAGAGACGACTAATACTAGCGTTTTATTTTTTATATTATGAAAATAACAAAATTTTATTTGAGAGAGGAGAGAGACTTAAACTAGAAAGCCAAAATGTTGGATGGGGATTTGTGAGTTATGAAAGAGTGGGGAATTAATAACCAAAAGTTGTGTTATATTTCATTAATTTTCAATTTTTTTTTGTTTCTCAGTATTTCAGTATATACTGATCCCAATCACGTAATCTCGAATACCGAATAGCACCCAAAATGAATCTCAATCTCGATCCCTATAAAATAAATCGATATTCAATAATACCAAATAGTGATAAATTCGGTATGTATTTGGTATAATCCCAAATACCAGTACCAAACTTACAGCAGTAAAAGGAAACTACAAAAATACAATGTACAAGCCTTCCTTCGCGAGGCTAACACTACCTAAATATCTACAAACTATATACAAACTAACACCTGCTAACTTCTACTAACCAATTTACACTATTTGACTATAGAAACAATTGAGCACAAACATCACCCAACCGAGAGTTCCCTTGCCTTGCCAATTCCAAAATCCTCATTACTGATCTAACAATCTCATTATGCTGTTGTTGTTTCCCATCATGAGCCGTAGCACACCTCTCACGCCATAGAAGACTAAACAACAAATTCCATATCAGTTTCCTCGCACGCTCTTTTGGTCTGTTACCTGCAAACTTGTGAACTGCCCAGTTGAGATATGCCTCAAACTGAGTGAATCTGAAAGAGCACGGATTTAGGTGTGCGATTGAGGATCGTGATTGGTATGAGAATTAGGGATTTGGGTGAGGTAGAATTTGAGAATTGGGGTTGAGAGAGGAGGAATCCGGTCACCGGGATGGTGGCCGACGGGTGGGAGAGGGGAGAGGAGTTCGACAATGAGAGAGAGAGGGAAAGCTTTAGGGAATAATTCTGTTTGTTATTGCTTAACCCTAGGTTAGGCCTAACACAGAATATATATAATCCGACTAATTCCCTATAACTACTCAAAGACTTAACCTAACCGATTTAACCCCAAATAATCCCGAAATAGCCAACATAACATAAAACGTCCAAATATAGAGTTGAGTGGGCCTTTCTTCTTGCAGTTTTGGATAAAATGGGATTCAGCTCTGTCTGGAGAGATTGGATCCATGAATGTCTCAGATCATCGTCGTTTTCTATTCTAATGAATGGGAATCCCTCTGGTTATTTCTCTCCGACTAGAGGACTACGTCAAGGCGATCCCCTCTCCCCTTTGCTATTTGTTATCTGCACTGAGGGGTTTGCGGCTTTGATTCGGCAAGCCATTTCTGAGAAGAGACTGGAGGGGGTAAAGGTAGCTCCTCGTGCTCCCAGGATCTCTCACCTTTTCTTTGCCGATGACTCCTACTTATTCCTTCGAGGCACTCTTCAGGAATGTGAAAACCTGATAACAATCTTGAATGAAAATGAGGAACTCAGTGGCCAGAGGGTGAACTTGGGGAAGTCAGCGGTTTGCTTTAGTAAGAACGTTTCTTTGCCAGATCAAGAGTTCCTCGCCCAGATTCTGGGGGTTGGGGCGGTTGGAGTGCATGATAAATATCTAGGGCTGCCTACCCTAATAGCTCGCTCAAAGATGGCTACCTTTCGATATCTGGAGGAGAAATTGTTGGAACGGCTGCAGGGGTGGAAGCAGCGCACGCTTTCTTGGGATGCCAAGGAGACTTTGATTAAATCAATAGCGTTAGCTTTGCCACTGCATGTCATGTCCTGTTTCAGGCTCCCGCTTTCCCTGTGTCGTCTTCTTGACAGGCACGTGGCTCGCTTCTGGTGGGTAGTTGAGGATGGGCACTCCAGAATTCGGTGGATCTCTTGGCGTAACATGTGCAGAAGTAAACATGAGGGGGGAATGGGCTTTCGCCGTTTTGAACAGTTTAATCAGGCCCTCTTGGCAAAAATTGGATGGCGTATCCTTACTGATCCGGATTCCTTGTTAGCCCAGGTGTACAAAGGGAAATATTTTCCGAATACTTCCTTCCTTTCGGCTACGGCTAGATCCCGTCCGTCTTGGGGCTGGCAAAGTGTCCTTTATGGTCGTCAGCTGCTGGAGAAGGGGTTACGTTGGCAGATCGGGAATGGGCAAACTGCTTCTCTCCTACACTCTAATTGGATTCCGCAGGTGCATCCCTGGCCAGTGCGGTTTAACCCCCGGGTGCTGCCTGTAGGGGGGGACCCTACTGAGTTTGAAGTAATCAGCCTGGAGGGCGGGTGCTGGGTGGAGGATAAGCTTACTCAGTGGTTTGACCCGGATACGTGTAGTGCAATTAGAGCTATTCCCCTGCCGCGGTAGAATTTAGAGGATAGACTGATCTGGCATGCCACGACTGATGGGTTGTTCACTGTGAAGTCAGCTTATCATTTAGCAGTTTCAATAGAGAGAAGTAATGGTCGTTGCGCCAGTTGGCAAGTTGGATGGACAAACCTAGCTGGATACGCCTTTGGGAGGCTAATCTCCCACCTAAGTTGAAGGTCTTCTGCTGGCAAATCTTTAATAGAATCCTCCCAACCACAGAAGCTCTTCGGGAGAAAGGGGTGGAGGTTCTTCCTCGGTGCCCGGTCTGCTGGGCAGAATCTGAGACCATGGAACATTTGTTTCTGGATTGTCGAGTGGCGCGTGCGCTTTGGGATTTATCGGGGTTGGATTATCTCGGCCAAGGGTTGCCTCGACATACGTTTCCTTTTTTCCTCAAAAGATTAATGACCCTAGTGCACCAGGCCCCTCTATTTATGAAAATTGTGGTTGTCCTTTGGAGGATTTGGCGATCTAGAAACTGGGTAGTCTTTGAGGGCAAGCAGTTTGGGATCCCGTCCTTGATGCGACAATTTAATCAACCGTTTGAGGAATGGGTTAGCCTGCCTGTCGATCGTCCCCAACCGTTATATGCTCCTCTGCCAGGTCCCTAGTCGTCGGATTCCACTAGGCGGGCTTCGTGTATATGGGATGGGGCGACTAGGTCCGGTTCTCATTCGGCGGGTGGGATGGTGGTGGTGGATGCTAATGGAGATCCGATCTTGGCTGCAGGATTTCAGATTCCTCATATTGATAATCCTCCAGTTGTCGAGTTGTTGGTGCTTCGTGAGGCCAATTAGGTGGTGCCTGAACTTGGGATTTACAGAGATGCGATTTGAAGGCGACGCCAAAGTCATTATTGATAAACTTAATAGGGCGGATGCGAGTGATAGCCAGATGGGCGTGATTCTTCAAGAAGTTATAAATATTTTAGCTGTCCATTCTGGTTTTTGTGTACGGTTTGTAGGTCGGAGTAACAATAGGGTAGCCCATTTGGTGGCTAGGAAAGCCCTGTCTTTGTACCCGGCTACATGCCGTTTCTTTGATTTTCAGGCCTGGCTGTCTTCCAGGATGTAACTATCGTTATTTGATCTAATGGATTATCTTTTGTCAAAAAAAAAAACATAAAACGTCTAAATAACAAATAAACCCCCAATTAATACTCGTCTGACATTCCATCCCCCTTGAAACCCACCTTGCCCTCAAGGTGGACCTTCTTTCTTCTCTTCCTTCTTTTCTTCCGCTTCTCGCGCCTCCATTTCCTCTCCTTCATCTTCCCAGTTTCCCACCAGCAGCATGAGATGACCCTTGGCACATTGGTGCCCCACTGTGTACCTTTCGTCGCAGTTGAAGCAACGACCGTCTCTGCGCTTCTGATCCATCTCCGCCTAAGTCAGCCGGACAAACCCCTTCGGTGGTAGCCTTGACTGAAATCTGCTCGGTGATGCTGCTCCAGTGGACGCCGGGCTTGCATTTCCCGTCTGGCTTTCTGGATACGCCCAGCCGACGTCCTCCAACTAGCCAACTCCTCTTCCTTGCGCCCTGCAATCCTGAAAGCAACTCGAAGAGAGTCAGGTTTAAAAACCTTAACGGCGGTTGCCAGCTCAGGGCGGAGTCCCGCCATACAGAGTCCCACCAGCGTCTCCTCCGTCATTTCCTTACACTGGTTTCCCAGCTTAAGGAACTCCACGCGATACTCGACCACCGACCCAGTCTGTCTGAGCTTGGCCAGCTGTTCCGGGGCCCATCCCTCCGCCTTGCTAAACTGATAGCGTAGCTCATCCTGGAACCTGGGACAAGATATGATCTCGCTGGCCGCTGCATAAGCTCTCCCGGTCCATTCCCACCACTAGAGGGCATCTCCCTCAAGATAGAAGGACGCCATGTGCGCCTTCCGTTCTTCTCGGATCGGGTGGTTTCTGAACCACCTCTCAGCTGCATACAACCATAAACCCACATCTCCCGAACCATCGAACTTGGGAAACTCTATCACTGGCGGTTTAGCTCTGAACACTAATTCCTCTTCAGTCTCATACAGGGGGTTACTGTATTCATACCTGCCTGTGGTCGGTGGAGGCGGTCGAGTTGTCGGTCCCTGATGGTAGTAGCTGCCTGCGGCTCGCTGCTGGGGAGGATAGGGCAGTCGCCCGTCACCTCCTGATGGTTCCCGCCATACTCGGGCTTGGTCCCCGACCCTTGCCCAATATCCCGACAGCCTCGACCCCGGCCTCTTGCTGCTCGCGGCGTACTCCACGGAGGGTACCCATTCTCCTGGCCCCTGCCGAGACCCCTGCCCGGCCCATTCCAGCTGCTGCCCGTCGGTGGTTGACTCGACCCGATTCGGTTCGGACCGGTCGGACCGGGTGGCCGCCCACTGCCCCGCCCGGTTGGCCCGACTGCGGGTCTATCATTCCTCCCCAGCCCTCCGGGTCGCCGAAACTCCACTCCTCATCCCCGGGCCCAGTCGGCAAGGGTTCTTCTCCGTTGGGCCCAATCGGCCACGGCTCTCCTTCGTACCCAGCCATCTTCTGCTTTCCACGGGCTTTGTCATGGGACGGGTCCGTCGGTGTTGGCAATAGGCCAGGCCCACTGAATGTAGGCGCGGGTGCGCTCCTCGCGCCCAAGTTCACCGGCTCCCTGACTCGGCTACGCAGCTCGGCCTGCGTCACCCCCGCCTCGTCTCCGCCGATCGGCGGCTTCTCCTCCGCCTCCTCTTCCTCCCGGCGCGCCACCGTCCCGGTCCGCCCAGCGCCCGCGCCGTCGCGCGGCGCCTCTGTCCGAGCCCGCCGCGGCTGCTGCTGCCGGCTTCGCCCCGCCACGGTTGCTGCTGTCCGCTTCACCCCCCTTAGCCGAGATCGCCAGCGGCTCCCGGTTCTTCAGGACTTGGGTTAGCACCTCCTGCATCGTTGCTGCCAGGGCTCCGTAGATGTTTTCAGCCACATTCTTGCCCATCTCTTCGATGGAAGCCTTGATCTGATCACCCATGGCTTCGATGGCTTCGATGGCTCCGATCGAGCCCTTCGAGGCCTCTGCTGCCCTCACAGTCACCTCTGCCAGGCTCTCCAACAATGCTGCCAGCGCGGAATCCGGTCACCGGGGTGGTGGCCGACGGGTTGGAGAGGGGAGAGGGGGTTTGGCAATGAGAGAGAGAGAGGGTGAGCTTTATGGAATAATTCTGTTTGTTATTGCTTAACCTTAGCTTAGGCCTAACACAGAATATATATAATCCGACTAATTCCCTATAACTACTCAAAGACTTAACCTAACCGATTTATCCCCAAATAATCTCGAAATAGCCAACATAACATAAAACGTCTAAATAACAAATAAACTCCCAATTAATACTCGTCTGACAGAACCGAGGAGAAGAAACCTGTAGTTTCTGAAGGCACCCTTGTACAACTTTATATGAGTAAGGGCAATTGAAGAACAAATAGTCCCTGAACTCCTGCCCCGCACTACAGAATAGACAGTTATCATCTTTAGTCTTCCCCCACAGCTTTAGTTTATCCCTTGTAACAGCTCGATCCTTGATTATTATCCAGCTAAGGAAGTTGTGTCGCGGTATAGAGAACTTAAACCATACCAACTTGCTCCAGGGTACCCTAGGTCTTGCTGGTTGAAGATCTTCCCACACTGTCTTGATAGAGTATTTCACCATTCTTTTGTCTTTCCAGTATACCTGATCTTCAAGAGTCTTTTCCATATCCATGAATGAGTGCTAGATCGCTTGAGTTCCCAGAGAGATTTGTCTTTTATACGATACAGATAGATCCAAGCCACCCACCAAGAACCTCCCTTAGTTCATAGGTTCCAAATCTGACGAGTGGTACATGCCATGTTCCATGCTCTCAAGCATTTCACTCCCAGTCCTCCTTCCTTCTTTGGTACAGCTAAAGATCCTCAAGCAACTACAGTCTTTGGTTCTGCTAGTGACCTCATCAATATCCCACAGAAACTTGCTACACCTCATCTCGATATCCTTTATTACTGATATTGGAAGTAAGAAAATGTCCATCCAAAACTGTGATAGACTGCTGAGTAATTAGTTTATGAGCTATAATTTTCCAGCATAGCCAAGTAATCTAGCCTTCCAACCATTAATACCTTCTCTATCATAGCTCTCCCTTTAAATTATAATCTAGTGGTTTCAATTAATCTCATTTAATGAAGGGTACGGTGATAATCATATATAAATATTTTATTACATAATGATATTCTGATTTGAATATTTTTTTTATATCATGTTTGTAAGGTTTATATGACTAATTTGTATACATTGTAATTTGTAGAATTTGTTTCTCAATTTTGTATACTTTTATGTTATGATTTGTATACTTTGTATTTATTGGTTTGTAATAAAAAATGTATCGGTTTATATTGCAAGTAGTGGTATTTTGTACCATTATTATTTGTAATATTATATATATATGTGGATGGTTCTATCGGACCTTGGGTAAATCAAAGGTACGACATACCCTGAGTGAAAAAACGCTATCTTGACTTCGAATTGACCGGAATTTGGCATCTTGTATTATTCCTAAACCTTTAAAGATTAAAATTAAGGTCTTAATTCTATAAATCTCATACACTAAAATCAATTTAATTAGAAACTAAAATTGACGGTTATGATTCATCAAAATATATGAAACAAATTACATGCACAATCTTAGGGGTTATGCTCTATGATTTAGAAAACTAAGATCTAGGGTTCACTCATCAAGGGTTAGGGTATCGTACTATATATATGGCGGCTTCTATCGTACCTTGGGTAAAATCTCGAGTACGACATACCCTAAGTAAGAAAACACTATCTAGACCTCAAATTAACCGGCCAAAAAGACGGTAGATAAATAAATAAAAAAGGAAGGGGCTGACTGCTGAAAAGTGATAGTGGAAGAGGGAAAAAAATATATAAAAATAGAAATAAAAATTAATTTTTCATAATACCAAAACTATCCCATCACTTATAAAAAATCATTGTAAGAAAAAAACTTATCAAATATCGCTCCAATTTTTTAACTATAAAATTTGTGTGTCGAGATCTAACGGTTAGGAGAGACTTAGTCACCATATCCGCACTCCTACGACAATTGCTACCATCAAACTGACTTGATCTTCAACTTGTCCACTTCTTCCTCCTAATCCCCATTCTCCTGCAATGACCATGAGTGCGACACCCTAGAGGTTTCCTACTGCCGGCTCCGACCATTGCCTTTACAAGGTCAACTACGACGACGGGCCTTTCGCATTCAATGATTTCTTTACTTTTTGACAATATAAACTAGTTCAACTCCGATTAAATAATGATTTAATAATAATAAAATAACATATCATTGATTTTTCAGTACAATATCTAATACAATTTTACAATCTTTGGTTTTCTCATCTCCAACAGAAAAATAAATTTTTAATTAATGAGATGTAATATTTGAATGACATTACTCACGAAGGGCCGCCGGTTTTCACACGATACACGGAGCTGATGAATGGGATCAATGACACTCGGAAGGAAGTGAGGCTGTTGAGGATGATGGGTGTCGTAATGTGGTTTTGAATCACTTGAGGAGTGACCCATGGTGCGGCAGATTTGTGGAACGGGACGAGCAATTCGATTAGCCTGACCAGAGTGGCTTTTCTGGATGAGGTCATTGCAGAGGTGAACTTGTATTACAATGGACGATGGAAGGTGAGGATTGGGAGATTTATGGGGAAATATGTGTTTGCTACTTCTTGGCAGTCACCGACGCTTTTGACTGCAGTAATGATCTTGGTTTTGATGGCGTTCAAAGTGTTCTGCTCGCTTTATAACCGGTATCGTATTCTCAGTGTCAAGAGGGGCCTACTTCGAAAATTAGGAGTTAGCTTGCATTTGAAGGTACTGACCATGGCTGCGGTAGCAGCATTGTAGTAGTACTACGAATATACTTGATATCACCAAACCAGAAAACTCAAAAATTTGCCTCGCATAGAATCTTCACTGTTCAAGTAAAACGCATTTTTACCCGTGCACAGCTTCTTTCCCCTGCGAAGAAGCATGAAGTGCTAGTTGATGTATTTTGCTGAAATCTCTCCGCAGCATTGCCTCTTTACTGAATATGGCATCTGACAGAACGACTGCTGAAGCTCCAGCGGTTATATAGTCCCTTAAAGAATCTGCATTGCATACAAAATCACAGGGAATGAAAAGCAGAGCACCAAAAAGAGATAAGTGCAGAAAAGAAAACTCCCGAAAATCACCGGAAAGCATGATATTCATACAGAAAAAGGGTGCAACACCTGTTGTTATTCCTTGAGAAGCAACCATTGGTATATGGGAGAAAGGCTTCTTGAGGGCTGCAATGTACTGGACTCCACCCAATGCAGAAACAGGATATACCTAATTCATACAAAAAACAAATATTAGACAATGGAAATGATGCCCTTATCAATATCGCCCCACATTCAAACACATATCTATTTTTTAACTTGACAATCAGAAACGTAATTGCATAAATGTTCACCTTGACAATACTAGCACCGCCATTGTATGCACACAATATCTGTAAAAGCAAAACTATACGCTAGTGTTACAATTCCTTAAACTAGATAAGTCAACTGGGAAAGCAATAGCTGAAGAGTCCTAACTGGACTAAGTTTCTTACTTCTGTTGGTGTCATTACACCAGGTATGTAAAGAACTTCAGTACCTTGAACAACATTCATAACATCCTAACAAAAGCAACGAATTCTGTCATGAAGAAAGAATTGGAAAGGAGATCTCTGAAATGAGCGAAAAGTACGGGGAAAACAAGGGAGTCATGCTGTCTCCGATTACAAATTCCCATACCTTCACAGTAGCAGGGCTCATGAGGAATCTGGCTCCAGCATTCATTGCGTTTATGGCATCCGCAGCTCTCAAAACTGTGCCAACCTATGAGAATACTATCAGAAACGTGACGTTCAATTATGAAATGCTTGAGAGTATATAACTCAGGATGAATCTGGGATGTAGTAAACCCTGAAAATCATGGCTCTTTGTTTCAAGAAAATTCTCTTCCTTGACCAAATCATGAGTGAATCCCATTAAATACCGAGAGGATTAGGAAGGGATCTTACCCCTAAGAATGCTGCCGGGTATGCCTCAACCAAGCGTTTCAAAACCTACAAAGCCATTCAATGCAAGAAGCACAGAGATTGGAACTCCATTGAATCACCAAACAGAAACAAAAAAAAACTAAAATTAAGCCGGGAAAAGTTCATACATTAAAGACAGCAAAAAACAACCTGAAACACACCTGGGGTTGACATCGTAATCTCCAGCTGCCGATTGATAAAGAAAAGCACCATGAGAATACTGTATTGTTGTAAGAAGAGCAAAACCCAAAATAGGCCAATAACCCATCAAAGACTCCTCCTTTATCCTAATTTGAGGAGAATTCTGATAGCCAGAATCTTTCAGCTCACCGTTACCCCAAAGGGCCGACAGAGATTTAGTAAAGGGGACTCACAACTGAGATGCCGCCGTCCAGTGCAGCAGAAGCAGCTTCGAATGCAATCTCCGAACTGAAATTTAAAAGACGATCGATGAACCAGGCTGCCGGACAACTATAGAATGCTCACAAGAAACGAGAACCCAATTAGCGAGGATCAGCAAGTTAGTTTACCTGCAGGAGCGAAGGCAGGCAATGATGCCAGAGCTCTGAATTGCGGATAAGGTCGCTGTTTTGGTGCTGCCACTGCCAGAAGTGACAGCGGAAGAAGAGAGCCGAGAAGAGCAACAGGATACTCTTGAGAAAGGTATGGATTCTTGCGGCGACGGCGACGGCGGCGGAATTAGAGGGAGCGACCACCGTGACGGTGAGAGGTAGGCACTTGCTGCACCCATGTCCATGACAGACAGTGCCTACTCCCCACTTCGTTCACACGATTGGATTCCTCGACCTGCGGGTTTTATCTGGTTTAGTCACCTTTTACCCCCTGAAGTAAGCAACATATTCAAACAACTCCAGTTTTTATAAATTTTGTACGTTTTGGTCTTTGATTAATTCCCATTTTCTCAAATCACCTGTTCTATTGCATTTTCAGTTCATTTTGACATTTTCTATTGACATTCTTTTCACAGAATTCGTACGTCATTCCAATAAAGTATGATGACCAGCAAAAGCCTGAAGGTTCTGTAGGCAGAACTCAATATCTACAAACTGCAATTTGCGCTATCTATTGAGAAAAAGAAGACACCAAAATCCAATATTTCGCAGTAGAACAACTGCATAATCAAATCCCAATGCATATTTACTCTGTTGAGAGCCTTCATTTTATGTTTCTTTCCGCTTTCTTCCTTTCAGTAGGCTTCATCACTTTATACAGTTTCCCAGGTTCCATACTGTGAGCTGAAGCTCCCGCCACCATTCTGTAATGCATACTCAGTAATGACTTGTCTTGCACAAACATCCCAACTCCTCGCTATGTCCTCCAACGTCACCGGATGAAGCAGACTTCTCAGGCAGCGGTGCAGCCTTGACTTGGCTTTTACAGAAAGATCATCCTCGCCACTGTCGCCATTTTCACAGTGAAATCGTAAGAGCAGATAAAATCAAAGGAAAAGGGGAAGGGAAGAGAGGGCTAAAGAGACTCACCTGATCTCCACTGGGAACGTTTCCAGTAATACAGGAGAGGAATGCGGATAGTTTGCGGGGACAAGCAATTTCAAGGGCTCAATTGGTTGCTGCAATAAGTGAAGAACCATAAGATACCAGAAAGAACATTGCCAAATGTGAAGATACGTGCTGTTGATGCAAATACAATGAGTCAAAGCTTACCATCGGTGAGATGGAGGCCGCGTTAAACGAGCACTTCATTATGGTCCTTGCATTACCATCTGGAATAATCGCTACATCAGTATCGACTAGCTGCTGATTTATTGTTCTTACTTCCTCCCGGAGAGCTTGATTTCTCTGTAACACAATATATTGCAGAGTTAGAACAATGAAGCTTCTGCTCGTGAGATGTCCCTGTCCCAGGAAGTTACAGCTAGGACAGTCAAACCTGCCTAAAATTCTTCTTATCCATAAAAACCTTAAATCTTTTAGTTGAAAGAAGGCATATACCTCAACCCCAGCAGTTGATATGTCGGGATCAAATGAGGAACTGGAAACCACATCAAACCAACGATTCATCTTCTTTTCCCCAGGGATACGATCACTCGAGTTAACTATTGACCAAATCTCATCCACAGAAGCACTTAATGCTTTGCCGGATATCCACTGAACCTGTGAAATTGAAACGAGTTAAGACTTTACCAGGTTCTCCTGCCTTCTATAGAAAAATGAATAGGAAAATGGAAGTAAGATTGGAAGTATGAGCAAATCACATACCAAATTAACCAAGTGGCTGAAGGGTTCTTCTGTCACTTTCCTACCCGAAACAGTCGCAGCTAAAGCTTGATCAGGCATTATGCCCGTCTTCTCTAGCTCCGAATCAGAGGAAGAAGGTGGTTGTGTAGCAGACTTCACATGTTGATTATGCACAACTGCTTTCTCAGGAGCTGGTTTCTGATGAAGAACCTTTGATGTCCCAGTACTTTTAACCTCCACAGATTTTTGGGGCTTTTCACTAGCAAAAACCTGCTGCTGCTGCTGCTGCTGCTGCTGCTGCGGCTGTGTTTCCTGTTTCACTTTGACATCTAGCATTCCTTGGCGTTTCTGAACTTTCTTCTCCGGTTTTTCAAGCAGGAAAGCTTCCCCTGACTTCTGTGGGCGCTTTGGACGCCCACGCTTGGGGGGAACAGGTCCCGAGTGAGAGGTTGTGGTAGTACTTTGATTCGGTACATTATCGCACAAGTGCGGTGGGAGGACATTACTAACAGTTGGCCCATGAAAACTACCAGCTGGAGGCTGTGGATGTGGCTGTCGAGCATCTTCTGCAGGAAGCATATTAGAAGAGGAAGATTGCCCTGAAGTGCACGACAAAGAAGCTGGCTTTCTTGGCGTCGACTGCTGAACTACAGAGTACATCCACTTCTTGAGGAAAGCCAACTTCTCCTCGGATTTATCGCTGTTTGGATGGTTCAAGAACTTCATGCAAAATGCTAGCTTTTCCATGGTTTTATGATCAACAGACCTCTGCTGGAAATCCATAAATAACAAATCAATCAGAAGATTGGTCATACGAAGGGGGTGAAACTAAAGTAACAAAAATTGAGTACTCTCTCTCGTGTGAAAGTCTCACCTGTCTCAATACGTTTATCACCATGTGGCACATCCTCTTCGCCTCTGCTGTTTCAGCCTGCAACTAAACCAAACGAGGACGACGACATTCATTTCTTCTGGTCGTGGAGAAAAGAGTAATGTAGAGAAAGTTTGTCAATCTGAAACAAAGTGGGTACCTTGAGATGCGATTCATGTTGCCGATTCAAAGCCATGGGACTCGGGTTGCCTACACAGTCACAATAAATCAAGTACTGCTATCACAAATCCGTTATAGAACCAGGAAAGCAGGGAAACAGAAAAAACATGCACTCCATCTTGATTTCAGAACTACATCAGCACATCAACCAGCAGAAACTCTCTGTGGAATTCCAATCGTGAATGAACAAAGTAGCCTTATAACTCACAGCTCAATCAACATCAATCGGTTTTCCTTAATTTCAAGCCCTAATTCATTGGAAATGGAGGGGCTCAATGTTGAGACTTCTGCGCCAAATGGCCTTTAATCTACGTACCATGCGTTTGCAGTGTTGGCGGCGGCCGCGTACGATTTTGGAGATTATGGTTTGTGATGTTGTTGTACTGCGAATAGAATTGATCGAGCAAGCTACTGCTCATTCCATCGGGCTTTTCTTCGCGCGGCGCCATTGACGAGAACGAAGACGAAGAACATCGTTCGGCCATTGGTGAACAAAAAAGCTGAGAACGGCGGCGGGCGGGCGGGCGGGCGGGCGGGCAAAGTTTCAAAGGTAAGCTACACTAACCTGGAATCGGAATTAATGCGTGTGTTTTCTTCGGCCGAGAAAACTGTGTCGCCGTACACAAGTGCGGTGGTCGGAGAACAAGTACGCGGAGTTTGTTGCAAGAGATTACTTGCGAGAGAAGGCGAAGGGGAGCAAGGTGACGACGCGTCCCTGCTTGGCGATGGAAAAGGACGCGTCGCGGGGTGTGAAAACTGATTCAGGAAAAGTGAGCGACCCCATTTTATAGTGCAACGGAATCCCCAAGGGGGAAAAAAAAAAACAAGAAGAATGAATTAATCCACTTTCAAAGAGGTAAGTACTTGTATGTGTTAGAACATTTTCATTGCAATGGTATTTACAATTGCATTTGTTTTTTTATTGTTACTTCATTTTTTTTCAATCCAACTCATCTTACTAAAATAATTAACTTGCAATCCAGTACATCAATGCAATTAACTTGCAATTGCAACTAATTTTTTTATTTAACTTATTAAAACATAAACACTAAAATAATAAAATTAATGAATAATTTAATAATAAAAAAGATGATGGGGTTTGCATTCCATAATTGCATTATATGCAAGCTTGAAAGATACAATTGTCATCTACATCAATGCAATTGCAAATGAATGTCATGTCATAATGCAATTCTAATTGCAATTCCAATGGAGATGCTCTTAGGGTGGTAACTAAAATTCTCTTAGGGTGGTAACTTAAATTCTAGTAGTCACCGTGGCTACATCATTATCTAATGTCCATTTTTATTTTATTTTTCATTTCTTTAATCTCATGGTTAAAATTACGTTAGGGTAATTTTGGAAACGAAAAAGCGTCAACGCTCGATTATTCTATATATTCTACCCAACCCTACTTCTACACTCCCCTCCCTTTAACCAAACCCTACTTCAGACGGCTGTCGACTGCCGGCTGCCCACCCTCCATCCCTCTCCCCTCCGGCCACCTCCCTTCGTCGGCCATCCCTCCCCCTCCCTCCCGATCCCCCCTCTCTCTCTTCCCATCTGTTCTTCTTCCGTAGTAGAACATCCCCACTAATATATACTTGAAATCCAATCCCTCTCTCTCTCTCTCTCTCTCTCTCTCTCTCTCTCCATCTGTTCTTCTTCAGCAAAAATGACGAATGGGATAAAGAATTTTTTTTGGGGAATTCGACTGAAAGAACAGAACAACTGATTTTTTATTGGTATGTACTTTCTCGCATCGGTAGTGTTTTCCCCGTAATGGTAGTGTTTTTTCGTATTGGTATTGTTTTTCCTGCATTGATATTGATTATCACGTAAGGGTATCTCTGTTTTATGAAATTGTAGTGATTTTTTCCGTAGTGGTAGCGTTTATTCGCATTGATATTATTTTTTCGTATTGGTATTGATTATCATGTAATGGTATTGATTTGAATGTATTGCTCTATGGTCAAATCTGCAACGGTATTGGTGTTTTGTGAAATGATAGTGATTTTTTTCTCTAATGGTATTTGTGTTTTGTGCAATGGTAGCATTTTTAATGGATTGGTATTAATTTATTGTTTTATTGTAGTGGTATTTTTTTTTTGTATTGATGTTATTGTATTGGTAGTGATATTCAAGTATTGTTATTAGATAAATCTGCAATGGTATTGGTTAATCAGAGTTATCATGTTGAGGTAGTGGTATTTTTTATGTTTTGGTATTGATTTCTTGTTTTATCTATAATAATATAAGTGTTTTTTGAATGATAGTGGTTGCTTAATGGATTGGTAGTGATTTCTTGTTTTTTTTTTTTTTTGTGCAGAAAGATGGAGAAAAATAAGAAAGGAGATATGGCTAGAGATTGTGGAAGTGAGAGAAAGACAGATAATTGTAATTAATAGATTTTGTAACTACCAAAAATGTAATTTATTAAAAAAAATTATTAATAGAATTTATTTTTTCATACCCAATTCACCCTTAGTAACCATGGTGATCCATAACCCCTCCCGGTAAATACTAAATAGCATAAACTCAAAGAATTCAATCCAGTTTTGGTACCCGCGCTATGCAAACATTACCGAATAAGCCCCGAAAGAGAAGATTCTAACTTTATGTTGTCAGTATGACATTTATAATGTGAATCATAGTTAGTAAAATTTTGTTTAATACATACTTTATGTTAGGGCTGGCTATTTGGTCCGGGCTATTTGGTTTTACCGAAACTGGACCGTACAATCTGGATCGAGACCGGACCGGAACCGGATAACTAACAATCCAATCCCATCTTCGGGCTTAGATTTGAGGTAAAAAAACCATTTGAGACCGGATCGAAAATCGGATAAAGACGGGATAGAGAGCCTAACACTCAAAACTTAACAAACTCTTCACTCTGTGAAGCCTCAGGTCACTCAATTCTCCACAAACTCAATCTATCAAGACCGAACTGTATCCAATCCAATCTTTGGTCCTTATATTCCCGAAAAGACCGGACTTGGACCGGATCAATTCGGGACAATTTAACCGGACCGTATAGCCACCCCTACTTTATGTTATTGGAATGGTTCTAAAAATTGACAATGTAAGAAAGTAAATAACACACAGATTTAGGTGGTTCACAGGGATTGCATAGATTGAGAATGTATATATGACGCATTTTTACACGACCTAATCCTAATGCAACGTGAAAAGGGAAAAGGTTATATACCAGGCCCTAAAGCGTAAAAGAAATGTGTTTAAGCCCGTATGCTCAAACTGGGTGCTTCCCCCATGTATCCTGACTTGCTAACCGGGCAGCAAGACCCATGTGACTTCCGATCAAATGCAGGTATATGTCTTCAAATCAAAGCAACAAATTTCCACCTTGACTTGAATTCTCCCCCAAATATCATATGTACTCAGACTCTCCTCTTGCCTCGGAATGACCCTAGGGGCATCATCCGCTCAGAACATTAAGGGTTTATGGCTTTCCTTGAAATTTTAAGATTTCACAACAAAAAGGAGTATTTTTCATTGTTTTTGGTTAAAATATAAATCTTCACTTCTCCTTTAAGAACTTACTTCCAAAATTCTTTCAAACTCTCTACTTCTATTAAAATGAAAGCCAAATTATTAGTTTTATGTGTCGATCAATTGTTAATATTGAAAATCATGAAAACTTGAACATGTTGGTGTTATCCGTTGAGACGGGATTTTCATGTAGCAGACTCCCCCATTGAATTTTTCCTACAATAGAGGCATTTATCATTGAGGGAGATTGATGTGTTGGTAAGGTGTTTGGTCAGCTGGGCGGAGTTTGACACTCTAGAAGATATGCTCTTGTTTTCCCGGTGGAGAAGGTCCTTTGGGACATTGCAGGGCCAAAACTCTTATGTTTTTTGGGCGATTATGCAACGGCATTGCAGAAAGTGATACAATAGGTATGTTTGTTAAGGGGAATCTGAAAAACACGGATGAACTATGTTTAAGCTTAAACAGTTTTGATGGATTACTTGGTTTTGTCAATACTATTCGCAGATCGAGTGGTGGCACAATTCTGATCCAGTTGGTTCCTTTGTTGGTGTTGTTTGGTTGATGGCCAAGGGAGTTGTGTAGGAGGACTTGGTGGATCTGTTCTTGGTAGAGTTATCGATGTTGTTCGATGTGGTCTATAGGAGCATTCAACTTGGATTTCGGGAGATGCTAATTGTGGGGGATGCTAAATTGTCATTATTGATTAGGTGAATTCGACATCAGATCGACATAGTTAGAGATGTTCAATTATGGAAGAAGCTAAGTGTCTAAGATTCGGCTGGATAATTTTGAGTTACCAGCATGTTTGGTTTATTGGTGGGGATAATAATAGGGTAGATTATATGGTGGCTAATAAGGTCCCTCCTTTGTTTTATGGCTCTTAATAGGTTGTGATTTTTGTGGTTGGTTCGGTCATGAATCTTAAACGTTACATCTATATCTTGGTAATTCAACTGATCTTCCGACGATGACGACGATGACGACGACAACAACAACAAGTCTTGATAATAAAAAAATTTGGATACAATTTCCACTAGTAATGCACTCGACTCTGAAACTACTTTTAAGACAGCAGATTTTAAATTCTAGTTGGTAACTTAGTTGATATTATAATATAACAAAGGATTACAGCTAATTCATGCATTACCCTAGGCTATTAAGTATTAACCTTAAATTTTGAATCCCATTACTAACTTCTAAATTCTAAGCCCATAAATCTTCTATCCTTCAAGTTAATTTATCTTGAATTATCTTTGTGCGAATTGATGCATTTCTTGGTCATTATATTACAAGTATAAATTGACATAATTTTTTATATTAATCGCCTACTCATACTGATGTTTATGAAACGGGTGTATAGTCATACCCAAGAAATAAGTTCGTCGAAGACAAAACAACATAGAAAGGAAAAGAAAAAGAATTTTATGAAGTAGTCAAGTTGCACAAAATTATAGTCATAGTAACAAAAAGGAAATAAAATAAAAATATATATTAAAATATTACCCAAAAAGTGTCAAAATATTATGATTTTTCTACAAAAGAACAATTATGAATTTAATACCATATATAATTTTAAATAGAAAACATGTCTATGGTTAGAATAATAAATAATCCTCTTATTATACCAAGAGATCATTTGGAGAAAATTATTCAGTCGTAGATTCATTGAATCCATAGTTTCAGCCAAAATTTATTTTTCCTGATTTTTGTATCGTAAATTTTAGGTTCGGAAATTTACATTTTATAAAATATAAAAATATCATTTCGCTCATTATTAGAGAGATTTTCTATCTTGATATATTCATATTTTCCTCATTAATATATCTTCCAAATTTTTAGTTATCCCATTAAATACTCGTACAAATAAATTTCCAACATCTCTAAAGCCACCCCGATTATGATTTTGCTACAAAAGAACAATTATCAATTTAATACCATATATAATTTAAATAGAAAACATGTATATTGTTAGAATAATCAATAATCCTCTAGTTATACCAAAAGATCATTAGGAGAAAATTATTTCGGTCATGGTTCATTGAATCCATAGTTTTAGCCGAAAGTTATTTTTTCTCATTTTTTTATTGTGAATTTTAGGTTCATAAATTTTAAATCTATAAATATAGAAATATCATTTCGCTCATTATTAAAGAGATTTTATATCTTGATTTTCAATATTTTTTTCGTTATTATATCTTCCAATTTTTTTAGTTATCCCATTAAATACTCGTACAAATAAATTTTGAACATCTCTAGAGCCACCCCGATTATCTTAAGGATAGGAGGAATGTTGCCAATATTCTTATGGCCAAATAGTTAATTAGCTGTTATAATCGGTTAAGCTTTCGTCCCGGTGTACAATAAAAATTGACTTGATGAAAACATTTGATTCAATCAGTTGTCAGTATCTCCTTTTGGTAATGACTAACATGGGCTTGCCTAAGAAGTTTGTTGATTGAATAAGTGTGTATATGAGCCCGACAAGGTTCAGTATATCTATCAACGGGGTTTATGCGGATATTTGCTGCAAAAAGAGTGGGTGAGGCAAGGGGGTCCCTTGTCATATTATCTTTTTACTTTGGCTATGGAGACTTTATTCTCTTTGTTCAATGATGTTGCCAGGAATGACATTATTGCTTACCATCCTTAGTATCGAAAGATAGTGTTTACTCACTTGATGTTTGTAGATGATCTATTGATATTCACAAAGATATCAGTTGGAGTTGTTACTAAAATTACGCAGATGTTGGAGGATTCTATATCTTCTCGGGGTTGAAGTGTAGTCTTCGAAATGTGAAATCTATTTTGGGAGTTGGTAATGTCAGTTTAAGGATTTCATTCTTCAGTATATTAGATATGCTCAAGACAAGCTACGAGATCGTTATCTTTGTTTATCACTTATTGCAGGTAAGTTCTAGGATCAGGAGTGCACATTGCTCACTGTATCTATAACTACAAAGATTTATTCTTGGCAATCTAGACGATTTACCTATGATTCTATTACTAGTTTATTCCATAATTTATACTAGACCTCCTACCCCTAGCTAGTAGTTCATTCATCAACTAGTCCCTCAAATCATCAATTAGTTTATGAAGTTCCAAACTGATTCTCTCAACCAGTCCCTCAAACCATCGACTGGGTCCACTTCATTGAAGTTTATATGATATGCAACTCGGGCATCTTGTTTCAAGTGAATATCGATCTATACAAACTCGGTAAATAAATTAATATCGATGAGTTATACATTCATTTACTATGATTATAGAATTTCATTGAAAGAAGATATATTTGCCCGAAATAAAAAAAGATCGATCAACGTACGCAAAAGAAATGAGATCGATGAATTTGACATTCACTAAATTCGTAGAAAGGTAATCAGTTTCACCGTGAAAACCCTAAATCATCTAGTTAGAGTACATGTAAATATGAAATATTTGATACACTAAATCAGTAGTGATTCTCTTTCTTTGCTGACTATCCAAATCTAACCCTTTTCCCATTTCGATAATGTTGTTCTTAGAAATCCATATAAAAAAACTTCATATCATTCATCACTCAATTACTTGCGTTACCGATCTAATTGATTGATGTTGTAAAATCATGATTCTTCACCATCCAAGAGTGAAAAATGATGAAAATTTCCTTCTCCTTCTAATTAATTCATCAAAGAGTAGTGAATGATATTGTTTTATTTGTGGTAGCAATTCAACAATCCCACAAACCCTAGCTATCAGTCTAGTTATATAGCTGACGGCTGATTTTAGAACAACGTTAGTTCAATCAAAAGTCCCAAACAGAATGCAAATTTCTATATCATTAAACTAGATCAACACCATCTGTGTTTGTACAATTCAAATCAATTTTTTTCAGAAATTGTAATCAGTAATAATTAAGACTAGAATCGAATTAAGACACGACACAATCATCTCTCTAACAGTTTTAAATCAAATCAAATCAAACTAATAATCAACTTGATCAAAGCTTGAGCGACAAATCAATCCCGGACACATCTTTCTGATCACCACCGGCCAGCTGATCCGCCGCCGCCCGAACCACAACTCCGCAGCCGCTGCCGCCAGAAGAAGAAGAAGCACCACCGACAACAGCTGGCTTACTCCCATTCGACAAGCCAAAATTCCGAAGCAAACCAACACTAGCACTTCTCTCTTCCTTCCTGCCCACAGAAGCAACAGAAATATTGTTAATCCCACTCACCGAACCCGACGAGGCAGCCCCGACCCCACTCTGAAACCCCTCGAGCCGCAGTCGGTCTAGCACGGGAGACACCGACTGCGGCTGCACAGCTGGCACCCTGGACCACGCAGCGAGGTGGCTCTCGTTGGCGGTGCCAAAAGAGCGCCCCGCGTGGTGGAACCCCACGGAGGAGCTCCACGGGTAGGAGGATGGACTCGGCTTGTGGATCAACGAGTCCATCCTCACCCCGAGCGGCCTCCCGAAGGACGAGCCGTAGTAAGGATGGGAGGAGAAGCTCGAGTAGGAGTGGTAGGGGAAATGATGGTGGCCGCCGCCGAATAAGGGCCCCACCACCTCCAAGCTCTCCCGCTTCTTGGCCATGGCGCGCTCCGTCTTGTGGGCGTTCTGGTGCCCTCCTAGGGCTTGGGAGGTGGAGAATTCCCTCTTGCAGAAGTTGCAAGCGAAAACCCTATTCGATTGCTCCTTCTGTTCCTCCTCGATGTTGATGTTGATCATCTCGCTCCCTTCTCCTTTCCTCTCGTACACATTGTTGTTGGTGTTGGTGTTGTTGCTTCTCGATGACGAGGAGAAGAGGTTGATCTCTAACGATTTGGACACGTGGTGGTTCGTGTCCGGATCGTTAGAGAGCTTCAGATCGAGCACGACCCTCGAGCTCGATGACCCTTGAGCTAGGTCCATCTTCTCCTTCATCTTGAGATTCGCCATTTGCTTCTTTTGGGTTGTTGCACCCTCGGAGGAAGCTGTAGCCGAGATGCTCGAGGCGTTTGATGGAGATAGCTCCTGAGACCCAATAGGCTGCATTTTCTTTCTTTCAAGTTAGAGAGAGAGAGAAGAGTTTGTGTTGAAGATCTAGAGAGAGATAGGGGCAAGGAGGAAGAACAAAGACATGATGGTGGAGAAGTATATATAAGTGGTGTTATTGACGAAGTGGGATATATCTTTCCATTTATGTGGGAAGAAATCCCATAAATGTTGTTTATTCCGTTTGCATTACAATTTACAATCATATATATTTGTCAAAGAGATTCAAAGTGTGTTGACTCAACTCGACTCAGATATGCATAGTAAACAGCTGGAGGAGTATGCATATTTGTGGAAGTATATTTTTTTTCGATTATTAATGATTTTCCATTCTATTGGTTTCCCAAGCATGTACCTTTGTGGGTCATAATATGGGAACTATATATATAAGCATTTGGGATAATCCTTTCTTAACAGCCAAATTTCCATACATTAAGGGGAAATGACAGAAATCTCAAAATGTTAATTTTATCATGGTAATTATTGCGAGTTGAGTCAAAGAGGGTAAGATATGAGGAAACTCCTAATGGCTAACCATTAACTAATATTTTGGCATGTAATCTAAATCTCTGTTTTTTATAGTATATACATAATAGAGTCTAGCGTATGACTGGCATATAATTAGGTTTGCGTTCACACTTATTAAATGAATTTGGATGTATTTTGAAAAATCATAATTGTTGAATTATATTTTTTATTAAATTATATTGTGGTATGAGTTTAGAGAATTTGATAGTGTTAATATATACTTCAAATTAATTTCGATGGACTCAATAGCCTCGATAGCTTTACGCGATAAGGTTAGGGTATATATATGTATATATATGCAATAGAAAGCTAGTAATATAATTAATATGACTTCTATTCTTTCCATAATTTACTCCTTTTCTTTTGGTGAGGTGACATTAAAGTTATATGGAAGATGGAAAAAAATAGAGATTATATTTTAATTTAGAAATTACACACGTTGGTAATTAATTATTTATGGCAACAAATAATGTATCATTATATCACCACCCACCTTAAGCCCTTTTTATTCCTTATATTTTCCAACCCGTAAATTCATGCATGTATTTGCATGGTTATCTTCTAGAAACCAAATCAAAGAATATGTTCAACTTGATGTATTATTATTTTCTTTTTTAACCTCTAATTCCCTGATTATGAGTCAAAAGTATATTTGTTTGTTGATTGCTCGTATTAGTTGTATTTAAGAATGTGATGCTGCATATAAAAAACGGATGTGAGGAGTTGAAATTTTCTTTATTAAGAGTATGATCTTGAATTTGAATTTAGAATCACTTTAGAAAATTTAAGTTTTATTATTACCGGAAGATAATCACTCTATTGAAATCACCGACTGATTGGCTTCAGAGTATAGAGTAGTGTTGTAACTTCAACTTCAAACTTCGACCATTCAAAAAAAAAAAAAAAAAAACTTCAAACTTCGAAGAATTAGAAATATTAGATATATTAATTCGCCAGTTTTGGTTTAAGGGGTCGGGGCAAATGCGGACGGGTCTACCGCAAGTTTGGTGCCTCCCCCCCCATTAATTACCTTTTCTTTTCCCTTGGTTTTTCGCCTGGCGATTGGGCAAGCTCATCCCTTCCAATTGCGGTGTGGTTCCCATGAGTGGTTCAGTCTCCATTCCTTTTGCCCCTCCGATCCGTCAAATCTCTGGAGGTTGGCCAAGATGGAGCTAGCCGGAGAATCGAAGAGCCAACGCCAAGCTTCCCCATATCTCGGCCGACGCAACCCTGGAGTTTATGGTATTAGGGGTTTACTACAACGGGTCTACCATCAGCCATTAGGCGCAATTCCGAAGTAAATTCTCTGCGCGGTGTTTAATCCACTTACCCCCTCTGACGATCCCTAACGGCTGGCCAAGCTGGGTTCCGAGATGGTCCTTTCCCGCCAAACACTTATCGCCAATCATATCAAGGAATCCCTTTCTCCTTCTCCCATATCCCACATTTTTCCAGGATGCCGGCTAATTGAGTTTGAGCACCGCTAAAACTGAGGATATGGATTCAACCACTCTATACATCACTATGGAATTGGCTTAACCAGACAATGAGGGCAAGTTGTATTCGTTGATGAGATCCATTGCATGCAGCCGACCATCTTACTTGCGATCGAGGAGGATGAGGGTTGCAGGAGATGGCGCTGCTGAAAGTAAACCCAAATTAAAGAGGGACGCAGAGAGAAGCAATTATGTCATGTGTGAGAGTCTGGTGTCCAAGAAAAGAATGTTCTCCCCGATTTTGATTGGGGTTGGAACCCGGTGAGAGAGACATGATGCAAGGGAAGGAGATGGAAGTCATGGAGCTGAATTATGTTTGTATTTATTGACACATGTTATTGATCTTCGTTGCATGTATGTAAAGAGATGGCAGGGGTTTAGGGTGAAGCAATTACATATGGAAGGGACGAAGGGAACTCAACGTACAATGGAGATTTGTATGAAAAGAAATAAATTAATTAGATGAAGCAATTATAGAATACAATAATCACACATTGAGTCAGCATTCTATCGTAATACAATAGTCACACAATGAGGCTTGCTCAATATTGTTTGACTTTGTTATCATTATATGAGTAATAGTTGGAACAAAACGATGGTCTAGGGGTCAAATGTGAATTATCTTGACATTCCTAGAAATTAAATATAAGAATACATGTTAATTGATTTTAAAGTATAGTATTCATTACTTGATATATTTGTCTATATCAAAAGAAGGATCAAAATTAGGTACTATCCTGTCGACGCAATACTGCGGATTAATGGTAAAAACTCAATTTTTATCCAAAATCATTTTTCTATCAAAAGGCTAAACAATCTAAAATGTTAGTTTCAATCTCTAAAGGCATCTCACTCAATTTAAGAAAAGATCCATCTAAATGTTATATGACTGATATATGTGTTGACAACCCGCCGCAACGCGCGGGCCAATTATCTAGTAGCTTTTATAACTGGAGAAAAAACTCCTGGAATTACATGCAGATAATTTTCATGCATTTTATGGTAGTTAAAATTTGTACAGAGAATCTCAATTGTACAAAAAATAATGTAATCTCAAATAATTGGGCGCAAGGGACTTAAGAAATGTTTTGGAACCTCACTTACATTTTTTTTTTTTTTTTGAGTTGTTTGAATGAATAAATTGAAAAATGAGACAATTTGATCAATTGTCTCTTTTTATAAAATGATTTATTTAAAACGAGTCAATTTGAATTACATATCCTCATCCTATACAATTATAATTTCCTTAAAACGAGTGAATTCAAAATTTCTCAGACCAAATTTCTCCTTTAAATTTTATGTTATTAAATGGGTCAATTTGATCCAATTGTCTCAAAACGAGATAATTGAGTCAAATTGATGCAAATTTTTCTGACACAATTCCACGAAGCAAACATTATTTTTGCGCAAATAAAACCAATTTGTTGCACCAAGCCCACTCTGTTAGATAAATAATTAATTTGCTTAATAGAGAATCAGAGACAAGTCTTCTCTTGATATATAAAAGCATATCACCTTCAGTTTAAGTAAAGATATTTCTTTTGATCCACTAACAATGTCCTTTTCATGATTATCATTGTGTAACTAATGCCAATTAAACACCTATATATTTTAAGTGATCTCAAGGTTAATTATTCTGAACTTCAAAAGGGTATCATTAATATCCTACATTGACAATGCTTGTTCGATGGTTTTATATAACTCGGTATCAGAAGTAACCCCCCATATTTGCCTATCTATCTGTAGTTGTAAATCAATTCAAAAAGAGAGTTTAAAATTGTTTCTCTTTAGCAATTATAATGCGTATATATGGAATCATTATGATCTATTAAATCAACATAACGTTATAAAAAGTCTTAAGATAGGCCATCTCACATTCAAAATAATTTGAAAGGGAATCAGTGTTATTGCTTATACTAATGGAGTACAGAGTTTGAATGGTTTCACAAGACGTATAAGTTATAACAAGTTAAGATCATCCTGATTCATAAGTCAGTGTATGTATATATGTGCGGGTTGTTTAACGTAAATCTGGTACCGCTTAGTAAAAAAATTATATTTAGATTTTAAATTAATCTGAGTTTAAGGTATGACATTTAGTCAGTTATGGCTATTGTTTGCCTCCGGGCACCATTTTTGTTCCTACCTCAAATCCAACTTTGAACCATTTCCTGTTGTATGACTGTCAAGGGCTCTTCGAACCTCGTTGGTGTTTAATGAAAGTTGGGATGCTTTTGTAAAAAAGAAAATCTGATGAGCAAAACTTAGGTCATAATTCTCTAAATTGTATACCATACAATCAATTTAATTTGAGACAATAATGGTTATGTTCGTCAAAATACATCCAACATACTATATGCACCATCTTTTTTTGCTTAGGGTTTGGAAAATTATGACCTAAAGTTTACTAATTAAGAGTTAAGATATAGTGTCGATAACACCAAATATTGGTATTGTTTACTTTCTTAGATCTTCGTGTTTTCATGTTCATTTGTGCATTAAAGAGTGTTCAAACCCACATTATAGCCTATTATTGCTTCTTAAAATATGCATGGTTGTTACTAGGTGAAGATGTGTGCGTTTAAGGCATATGATCATAAATATCAAGGATCAATTGTAAGCAAATTGGGGCAACAGAGATCGTGCGCAAAAAGAAGCAAATCACGACCATGAACAGCCAGCCGTGAACTCGAGATCACGTAACACGCAAAAGGTCACGACCGGGATCCTTGGTCCCTCGATCGTGAACTTCGGGAGGCTAGCACATAGAAGAACAAAAGGTATCGCGGCCTCACTCATAGGCCTTCGGCCCCGAGACAGCAAGAAAGATCATGGTCGGAATCTCTGGTTTGCGAACGCCCTTCGTGAACAGGGAAAACCGACGCCGCATTGATATCACGACAGTCTTGGAGTTCACGACCGTGAACTTTCCTGCAAGGGTCGTGAACTTCTCCAGATTTTCAATCTCTATAAATAGTTGGAGAGATAGATTTTCTATATAGATTTTAGAGAAAGAGAGAGGATAGAGTGAGAAGTTAGGATTTCTCCCTTAAAGAAGAAATAGGAGTTTGAAGAAGATGAGAGCTTGGAGAAGAAGATTCCAACAACAATGAGACTCCTCTTCATGATTTTCCTTTCCTTATTTTGTGTTCTTCTTCCCCCTTCATGGGGTATTAATTTAAGTTACTTGGGGCTAATCCTCTAAATACTAAACTAGTATATTGCTTTTATATAATCTATGGTGCATTTGAGTTCAATTAGCATTTCTAATGCTTTATTACATTATTTATGTGTATACATGTGAATGTTGTTTGCATGTTGTATGTCTTCTGATGATGATTTTGGGGTTTGACCTAGGTTGAGGTGATCATTCTCATAGGTTGAGTGGAGACTTACCTAATTGATTCTTCTTGGGTGTCTACATGATCATTGTTTCACTTGAGTTGTGTGCCTAAGGGTTAAAATCATTTAAAGAGGGTAAGAGTTATCACTATATTAGCCAAGGAAAACCAATTATATGATCATTGAGCAGGTATATGCATGGTTAGGAGGGGAGTTGGAAGACATTAACATTATACGAATGGCCATATTAGCGACCCTTACGCCTAAATTTCCATAGAAATGTATGCTAATCGTTGCATATCATTACTCGTATGTTAGGGTGAGGAAGACGAACCGTGAAAATCATCTTTCATTTTGTGAATCTCATTTAGTTTAATATGTTTAATTTAGCTACAACAAAAACCATAACAAAGATTGACTAGATAACGATAAAGCTAGAGTAAGCTAGGAAATTAGGACCCATGGAATACGATTACTTCGATTACCAACTATACTTCTACAGCAATTAGGTTATACTTAACCCTAATTCGGGTGGTAAGATAGAAGTGTTTGAGTTTATAACTCCTGTTTTTGAGAGCGTCTGTGAACGCGCGCAAGTTTTTGACGTTGTTAACGGGAAACAGTATCAGTAACTAGTTGAATTGATTGAAGTTGTTAATTTACTCATTTACTTTTTCGCATTATAGTTTTGTTTTAGAGTTTATAGTCACTTATTTTATTTGCTACAATACTGTGTTCTCCCGGAATTTGCAAGTTTCTTGTGACAAGAGCCCCTCGTTACAGTATAGGAGAGGACTATACAACTTTAATGACAATGGCAGAACAAGAAGTTTGGAATAGAGAAGGCCAACCTAATCGAACTATGGGTTACTACTCTTGTCCTAGGGAAACAGACCTTCAATTTCTATATTCTGAAGTACAATGTCAAGGGTTGAAGATTAATCGCAGTGTTGTATTGATTATCAAATCCAACATACAATTTCTGGGGTTGAAGGATGAAATTCCACATAAACATGTTGAGCATTTTCTTGCCTTCACTAATAGAATCAACATATAATTGGGGTGCCCCATGAAGCGATACACCTCCGGCTATTCCCTTTTTCACTCGGAGGAACACGATGGTGGCTCCTTCGTCAACCCCATCATACTATAACTTCATTGGCATACTTCTGCAACAAGTTTCTCAGCCGATATTACCCACCCTCCAAAATGGCTTGGTTACGGAATGAGATATTTAGTTTCACTAACAAAGTGGAAAACCTTTAAATGAAGCATAATTCATTACTTCTCAAATGCTTACATCATGGATTCCAAGACCTAAAATAGGTCAATATATTCTCTAGTGACATGAGAAGCGAATGTAGGAAACAAATAGCTATGGCAGGAGAAGGTTCAATGAGAAACAAGAAACCAGAAGATGTGCAAAAATTATTGGAAGACATGAGTGAAAAATGGGCATGAATGGGAAGATGATTCGGTAAGTAAAGGAAAATATTCGAATTGTGCATGTCATTATGATCTATTCTCTTCAATGGTTGAGAAGATTTGCCACTTAATCTAGATAGTGGAGACTCTGAAAATTTATTCAATGATCTTAGAGTGGAGACATAGGAGTTCACTTCCCCCCAACAATCGATTAGACAATATCTAGGTGTGGAATGGAATCAATATCTCTATGAGTTGAGCCACAACCAAAATTCGATTTTCTTACATACCAAAATCAATCGTACTTCACATATCACTCAACTAGAGGGAATTTGAGGATTATCATTCTTCTTATAACATGTTTGTCATGAATGCACACAAAATTAGGTCACATGTTATCAAATTTGTCATAAGCAGGGATGGCAATTATCCACCCATGGGTAATTTATCCAAATCTAATTAAAATCATTGATTATGTGTAGGATATAGGTGAAGCATATATGAGTTTGAGATTTTGTAGAGGGGTTTGGGTAGAGTATGGGTATTGCTTCCATACTCGAAATGGTCATTGGTTGGGTATGGATGTCCACTTCAGGTTATTTTAACTACATACAAAAATTGGAACTATTTGTAAAACTAAAAAAAGTTTAGGTATCAAAACATAAAACAAAACATTTAGGTTCTAAAGTGTAATTAGGTATCAAAACATAACACAAAAAAATTAGGTTCTAAAGTGTAATTTTCCTTGACAATTTTAGTACTTGTAAGCAAAAAGATTAATTTTAGGCACAATCTAAAGATCTATTAAGTTTAGTTATCAAATTGTAATTTGCATATTGGATGGGTACAAACCCAAATTCATGTTTTAAAAACCCAAGTCAATCCAAATAAATGGGTATGGGTATAAACCCATCAAACTCTACCAATTTAACATGTATTTGGATTTCAAATTCATCCCAATTGGTTTGGATAGTAAAATACCCATGAATTTTGGTAAAATTGGCATCCCTATTCATAAGTATCTGTTGACGACTAATATAGTCGTGCATAATTATTTAGGTTGTGAAAGAAAAATACTTGTTTCATATATATCCCAAAGGAAATAACCATATATGAGAATAAATGCATGACTTTTGCCCATCAAATAAAAAATGGAAAGGAGAAAAGGACATTGGTCGACTAGTAGTCGATCCAAAGATAAGAGGATTTGCTTGTCAAAATATGATCAACCGTGTTAAACCTAGGAGGCACACAACTACAACGAAGTTAAAACCTAAACCTCTTTCATAATAGCTCCCCCAATGCGTGCGGTGAATCCTTCGTATTGACCATCTGAATGATCAACTATGCATTACCCACAAAACATACAATTAAAAAATGAATGTGACAAATACCAATGAAGAATATTCCGAAGATCTAAAGTTGACACATACACAAACTAAACAATCCGATGTGCTGAGAATTCTACCCGAACCAGATTTCATTCATATAAATAATATGTTTGGAGGCCAATTCCCACTCGATTTCTTAAAAATAAATTTTTGGTAATAAAATCGCCACTTGATTATTGTTAGGGATGACAATCAAACCCATGACCGTGGGTACCTGATTCGGGTCTAAATGTACACATTTTACCCATTATTTCTTGTCCGTTATGCTTAGTTGATCACCGTCCCTCGACCAATTTTACGCTAGGTTGTGTTTGTTTTGGTACATTTCAGGTCCTAGCATGTATAGGAAGGTCTGGGACGAGTTTCGGGTCATTCGGAGGTCAAAAAGAGCCAAAAAGTGGAGGCTGAGCCCTGTCCATGGGCTGGAGCTTCAGTTCATGTATCTAAGATCATGAACTGAAAGCCCAGACCGTGAAGTGACCAATTTCCAGAACGGTTTGGAAGTTACTAGCATCAAGTCAGCTCACGGTCTCTAAGACCGTGAACTGAAAGCCTAGACCGTGAAGTCGTCAGTTCACTGTCTAGGACTGTGAACTGAAGCACGCGGACGTGAACTGAAGCACCCGGTCGCGAACTAGGCCCTGTCGTGCAAATTTAAAGACAGCAGCGGGGAGAGGGAAAGGGGTGCTGGTTTTTGGAGAGGGATTCGATTCTCTCTAGGGGTTCAAACCAAAACGGCAAAGGGGAGTTATAGTAAGAGAGAGAGTGCTTGAGTGATCTTGGATTTTAATTGGAGGCTTGGGTTGATCTTGAAGACAAGGATTCAAGCCTAGAATAAAAAGAAGAAGAAGATCTTGGGCTCCAATTTGTAATTCTCTCTTCTCTCTCTAGAAACTCGTCCTCTTCTCTTGGTTTAAGAACCCTAGGTCTAGATTTGGGTTTAATGTTGAGGTATGTGACACATTCCATGTTTGATTGATGATTTTACTTAATTGATGGATGTTTTCTTGAATGACATGAGTTGGGTTTCCATTCTAGAACGAGTCAAGTTTTTGCCACCGTTTTCGAGGAACCGTTCTAGCTTATTTGAAAAAGGGTTAGGCCATTACTTTAGCCATTTTGTTTTTGTTTTGTGTTTCGTTTGTGTTTCGTTCACCAACTCTTCGCTTTGAAGGGTGGTTTGTGTTTATTTGATTTTCTTTTCGTGTTTTTGTAGTTGTAGGTTGAATCATGGATCCCAATTGCTTCCACAACATGTGGGGGTATCCACAACCACCCGAATGGGGGTACCCTGGTGCTTCATGGGACAACCAAGAGGATGGAAGCCAAGGAACCGGGTTCTATGATCAACCTCTCTTCCAAGAACAAGAACCATACCAATGGGGATATGAAGAGGTTTCCCCATATAAAGAAGATTTCCCTTCACAACCCGAGGAGAAATCCAAGTTGGAGTTGGCCATGAAAGCTTTCACGGGGCATTCCTCAAGATCATTGGCCACTCCGGAACCGGAGCCAAAGAGTGAATTGGAACTAATGGTGGAGCGGTTTTCCCAAGGCACCGATGAAGGGTGCTCAAACTTGGATCTCCCACAACCCTAAGTGAAGTCTAAGTTGGAGCTTGCCATGAAGAAATTTTAAAGAACAAGCTCCAACACGGATTTTCGTCCCCTCCCTCCTCCCAGTTTGACATTAGAAGAGAAGGTGGCACGTGCTTGTGCAAGTTATCGCCTCTCATAATAGGAGTAGAACGAGGAGGTTGAAAGGGCGATCATTGACAACCGTATGGAGCAAGAGGAACTCACCTCGGAGAGCTCCCATGGTGAGGATGATCAAGAGGGTTGCATTGATGATTTTTACACCTTTCCCCTTCTTGAGAGCAACTTTGAAGACCAAGTCACGAGGGTGGAGGAGCAAGAGAATCATTTCTATGATCTTGCATGGCATCTTATCCTCCAAACCGTACTTGAAGACATTAATGGGAAGAAGAAGGAAGAGGTTGAATAGGAGGAAGTAAGCATTGAAGAAATGGAAGGTCTTGATTGTTCCCATGGGGAGGAACAAATTGAAGAAGACGGAAGGGAGGTTGAGGTTGAAGTAGAAGTAGAAGGAGCAAGTGATGTCCAAGATGAGGACGAGGTCAAGGTTGATGAAGCATCCACAAGTTACAAGAGATATCAATGCTTTCCACCTGACCTTGATGCGCTACTCGAGAAGGACCCATTTGCGACTCTTTGCCAAGCCAAGGCCAAACCATTGGCGATCTCTCTTGGTGGATGTGATGTAAGTCAAACGATGATGCACTACATGGTGTGGGGCAAAGAGAAAAATGAATAAGGAAAGAAGGAGAGCTCTCGTGGGTGGACCCTCATGACAACTCAAGTTCACGAGCCCTGAATCATGGATTCGTCCAAAGCTCGTGACTTGAGACACCGCCTCACCGACGAGAATCTCAACTTCAAAGAGGTTCTTGGGTGGACATAAACTTGAAGAGAAACCATCCGGCTCACGACGTTAAAGAAGTGCTTGTTAGGAGGCAACCCAACCACCATCAGTTTGTTTTCTTTTTGCTTCAATAAGAAGAACATTGGAGAGATTTTGGTGGTGTTTTTTCGTCTACACGCTCTTCCGGATCTCAGCCGCCCTCCGCTCCCGATCACCAACATTCACCAATATCGGTAACATCATTCTAACTTCTTATTTTACGCCATCGAGGGTAATGTCGAGGTTAAGTGTGGGGGGGGGGGTAGTCTATTATGCTTGTGTGTGTGAATGTTTGGTGTGATTTTGAATGCTTGGAGCCTAGTTGTATGCCCAAATTTTTAAAATTTGAGAGCTCCAAGCATAGCAACTTCTACATTTGCATGATCATAGTGGCACTTGTGGTGATTTATTTTGAATCTCATGGTTATTATCATTGTCTATGGATGACTTGCTTGTGATTATTTGCAACCTATTATGCTGATTGAGACTTGTATTAGGTTTGTGCATAGGTTCATTTCTGCTGTGTTTGTGAACCGATATATGTTTTGAATCGATTACTTGCTTTTCACAGTTGCCTTTGCATCAAGTTTAGGGAGTTAGAATGGATGATTGAGCACCTAAGTAGCCATGTGAGACCTGCGATGTTCATTTCGTTCTTGTGCGATAGATCCCCATTTACATAATGTGTAGCATTCACGTTGTTGCTAGCGAGGAAGATGGAGGCATAGGATTAGTCCACGACCCAAATGTTGACCAACCCGATAATATCATCCCTTAGTCCACCCCTTTGAGTCATGTGTCTAAGGGTCGCTCTCATTTAAGGTAGCTCACGCTACTTGAGCTTGATTAATTTAGATAGAGCGACCCTACTTTCTTCGTGTCTAAACCGTTATCGAGTCACACTTGTGTTTGGAAGCTCCATTCATACCATTTGAGCTTAAATGAGGTTCCACATGAGTGATTTGCGTATGGTTTTGCTAAGAATGAAAAAGTGAGTGTTGGAGGTAGTTTTTCAAATCGAGCATTTTTCCTTAAGTTAAAAAATGTGGGATGTGTATATAGCTCTCTATAGCCCTCGAATAAACCGAGGTGAAAGGTATCAAAATCCACAAATATTGTTTGAATTTTAATAAAACTTGATTTACTTCAACTTATGTCTAGTTTTTTTCATGACATTTGTTGAAATATGCTAAAAAGGTTACAAATGAACGCATCCATAATATGATATTCTTTTAAAATTGTAACAAGAAAAAAAAATTACGTGAATCATAGCTATATTAAATATATGTCTAAACTTTAAGTCGAAGAATGCATTAGATTAGTGAGACTTTAAGAAAAAACATGGCGAAATATCTTAATTTTCTCATAAGTATGACTATATACGACATAAATATTTTTTTGGATACGAACTCATACCAATAATTGGAACACGGGTTGGGTCGGGTTCTACGGGTTGTGTAATCTAAAATCCAAACCCAACCCAAAAGAGGCGGGTTGTACAAAAGAAAACCCTCACCCAACCCAAAACCTTCGATTTAGCGATAAATACGGGTGGGTTGGGTCGGGTTGGACGGGTGGGTCGGTTTGCGGGTGTGTTTGTTCACCCCTAGTGTTGGTTGATGAATAATGTGAGAACTCTTCATTTACACAATCTTAATACAGTTGAATGTCGTTTGTGGTGGTTGCTATGATTACTTTGTTTTTGTCCATAGGTCGGTGTCTAATAACCATTGTGATTCATTTGTTTTGTGCCCTATGACATGCCTCGAAAATTTTATGGAAAAGATAAGTTGCAAGCTTACCTTGTTTTGTACTTGGTTTGCTTGGGGACAAGCAAACGTTCAAGTGTGGGGGAGTGATTCGAGTCCAAATGTACACATTTTACCCGTCATTTCTTGTCTGTTATGCTTAGTTGATCACCGTCCCTCAACCTATTTTATGCTAGGTTGTGCTTGTTTTGGTACATTTTAGGTCCTAGCACGTGTGGGAAGGTCCGAGACGAGTTTCGGGTCATTCGAAGGTCAAAATGAGCCAAAAAGTGGAGGTTGAGCCCTGTTCACGACCTAGAGCTTCAGTTCACGGTCTCTAAGACCGTGAACTGAAAGCCCAGATCGTAAAGTGACCAATTTCCATAATGATTTTGGAAGTTACTAGCATCAAGTCAGTTCATGGTCTCTAAGACCGTGAACTGAAGCACACGACCGTGAACTAAAGCACACGCCCATGAAGTGGGCCCTGTCGTGCAAATCCAAAAACAGCAGCGGGGAGAGAGAAGGGGGAGCTGATTTTTGAAGAGCGGTTCGATTCTCTCTAGGGTTTCAATCCAAAACACCAAAGAGGAGTTCTAGTGAGAGAGAGAGAGAGAGAGAGTGCTTGAGTGATCTTGGAGCTTAATTGGAGGCTTGGGTTGATATTGAAGACAAGGATTCAAGCCTAGAAGAAGAAGAAGAAGATCTTGGACTGCAATTTGTAATTTCTCTCTTCTCTCTCTAGAAACTCACCATCTTCTCTTGGTTTAAGAACCCTAGGTCTAGATTTGGGTTTAATATTGATGTATGTGACACATTCCATGTTTTATTGATGATTTTACTTAATTGATGGATGTTTTCATGAATGACATGAGTTGGGTTTCCATTTTCACGTATTGAGCTTTTGACCTAGGAGGGATAAAATCCCCATAGAGCCCTTCGGGTCACTCATCATCCTATATCGTCTGGGTAATCCCTGAGGGAGTCAATTCCATCAATCTCCTACGATATAGGATTTCCCTAGGTGGAATAGAGCCTACCACATTCATCGATTCGTCGTTCCGAGTCATTCCTGAGGGAGTCCATCTCCTAACGGTAGAGTATATTGAGTCAATCGAGCTTTTGACCTAGGAGGGAAACAACTCCTCACCCCATATAGTCCGGTTAATCCCCGAGGGAGTCGATTGGATCGATCTCCTACGATATAGGGGCGCCCTAGGTTGAATAGAGCTCCTACCCATCCATCACTTCACCGTTTTGGGTCCGTCCCGAGGGAGTTCATCTCCTAACGGTAGGATAGTGGGTCGATCGAGCTAGGATGGTACTCAACATCGATCATATGACGGAGCTAGGAGGATTCAAAACAATGGAGCTCCCTACCTTGTAAATAGCTAGGGTTAGTGGTTAGTCTAGGTTAGTTAGTTTTTTTGTATTAATCATTATCCTAGGTTGACTAGATAACAAACCTTAAACATGAAGTAGGATAAGCCTAGATCCCCGTGGTACGATAAATTCTTATTGCTTGCTTTCCCTGCGCTTCACTCGGGCGGTGGTTATACTTGACCGTCGATCGGGATGTTGTAGTTAGAACGAGTCAGTACCCGACCGCTCCCGATCAAGTCAGTGGGGGGAATTCCCCGCATTGACTAGGTATGGGTAAAACACGCAAAATGTTTTATGGGTTTGACGTGGGTATGGTATTCGCCTCCTCCGCCCCATACCCCGCCCACAAAGAGCATTACTTCGCATATAAAATTGTAACCTATCAACGATAGTGACTTAGTGAGGGCAACTTAAGAAAATAAATAGTAGAAATGCAATAGAGTGGTTAGTCAAATCAAAACCTAATTCGTTTTCCTCAACTCTCCTTTCACTCTTTCACTTTTTCCCTCGCGTTAACAAGATTATCTTAGTTAGTATTACTTAGTAGATGTATCAGAGTCAGTGAATAATGATTTGAATTACAGTACACTCTATCTTATGGAGTAAAGGATATTTTAGGATAAGATGTGTTGAGCCGTATTAAGAATGATTGTCTTTTTGTCGACTTCATGATATGGTAGGTGCGTTTAATATTATGACTGAAAATTCTCATGTAAAATTTTAGATATTATTATGTTGGATGTACATAGTGGGTATTACCCAAGGGTATGGGGATGGGTTTGCAAACATTTCCCGCATGAGTATAGGGCAAGTATGAATTTGAATATTTAAAAACGAAAATGGAAATGATTTAGGTAAACTCGCCTCATTGTCATCCCATATTCTGCCCTATCATTAGCCACCAAGCGATGATACTCCGAAAAACGTCAGGGGAAAAACACAAGTGCCAACTAATAACGATGTAATTGCACATGTTTGCGCCCCTAGTTCTTATCCGTTTGAGGGGTATAGTCGTGTGTTTTGGCCTATTTTACGCCGGGTTGTGCTATTTTGTCATATTTCAGGTCCCAGGCGTCAAAGGGAAGGCTAACCACGAGTTTCGGGGCATTCGGAGGTCATTTCGTCAAGCTGGGGCCAAAACACGGGCACACCTAAGGCATTACACGGCCGTGCTTTTTATGCCGAGAGCTGAGCTGATTACACGGGCAAGGCCGAGACAAAGCACGGCCGTGTTCAAGCATTACACGGCCGTGTCCAAGGCGAAGCACGGCCTTGTTTCTCCCCAACTGCTGGACGTGTAATTAACATTGACCGAGGCACGGGCGGAGTCAGGCAAAGCACGGCCGTGTCCTCGACCGTGCTTTGGCCATTGATGCTTTTAAGCAGATTTTCAGCCACAAGTCAAGGGGATTCGAGTTTTTGAGAGATAGAACGACTTCTAGAGAGAGAAAGTGACGAGCAAGAGTTCCCAAGTGCCCTAGATTGATCTTCAACACCATTGGAGGCCAGCTTGAGCTTGGAGAAGTGCCAATCAACGTCCAGGAGCCGGAATCCGTCCTTCGCAGTATGAATTCCGTGTCTGATTCTGCTTTTGCTTTCTTCTCCATGGAGTAGTTCTCCCATTCATCTGGGTATGGAGAACCCTAGATTTGTATGTTAGGCTTTGATTGTATGAACCCAAGTACTGATTCTGTGATTGATTATATTCGATTGAGGTTTTAATGATTGAATGACTTGAATCCTGATCAAATTCCTGTTGTTTCTGCTTTAACCTAGAATGAGAATATCTGCCTAGGTTGATAGAGTATCCTTGATTGAAGGTAGGGAGTTGGTGACTTTAGTCGAGGAACCAACTCACTATTCTGTACCGGATTTACTCCGGTAGTGGAGGTTTTGTTCTTAGGGCCTCAATCTGTCTACTCCGGTGGAGGTTAGTCGCCCGCTAGAGATTCAGATTGAGAGGGTCTGAAGACCTTTAGTCGAGACTTCAGGCTGTTTAAGAACCTTCCGCAGTGTAACTATCATAGAAACTGAACTTGGTAATTACAATCCGGCTTAACTGCAGTCTAGGGGGAACCATATCCGGGTGACCTCTTTAACCTGATTACAACCGTTTACTTGCTTTGTTAGTTTGATAGTTTAGACTTGCATTCCAGTGTCATTGCTAGATAACAAGAATTCACTGAGTAGTCATCAGATCTAGGACCCGGGTTGACATATAAACCTAATCCGCTATACTACGCTTTAGGAAGTGGTTTCACTTGGCCAATTCCTAGGGTGACAGTAGAGTCGAGTCAGGTTTTTGGCGCCGTTGCCGGGGACGGCTAGGTTGTTGAAGAAAAGTGATTTCTGTTAATTTAGCTTTTCTTTTTGCTTTGTTTGCTTTGTTCCACTTGTGCCTTCACGGGTTTGTTGCTTGAGTGTGTGCAGGTAGTGCATGACCCGTAGCCAGTCGGGAGGTTTACTGCCGTTGAATCCAGAGATTGAACGCACCTGTCGCCAACTCCGGAGACAACTGCGAGCTAGACTGGCTACGGAAGAGCGCATAGACGGCCACGTGAGCAGTGATTCTGAGGAGGAGTACGAGATGGAAGACTACAATCAACACCAGGGGAATCCTCAGCAGGCTCCCCCGGTGAATCAGGTCCTGGGGAACAACCCCATACCCCAGGATCATGGAGTTCATCATCCACCGCAGCCGGGTCCCACCTTGGAGTACTACTACACTCCGCGGATTGCTGACATCCGCCCGGTCATCCTCTACCCGCCTATCCCAGCAAACAACTTCGAGATCAAGCCATGCTGGATTCAGCTCATAACATCTTCCATCCAGTTCCATGGCTTGAAGGATGAGGAGGCCAGGGTACATCTCTCCCGTTTTCTGCAGCTGACGAACGGGTTCAAGCTGAATGGTGTCCCGAATGATGCAATCCGCCTTCACCTCTTCCCCCATTCTCTGGCGGGGAATGCTAAGAGGTGGTTGGAGACCCAGCCCCCATTGTCCATCACCTCTTGGGACGATCTGGCGGACAAGTTCGTGCACAGGTATTATCCGGCATCGAAGACTACAGAGATTCAGCAGGAGATCACTTACTTCCGCCAGGAGCCAGATGAGTCACTTCGTGATGCATGGGAGCGGTACATGGGATATTTCTGGCAGTGCCCCCATCATGGCTTCAGTGATGCATTCACAGTGGGGAACTTTTATAGTGCCCTCTCTCCAGACAGCCAGAGGGTGATTGAGTCTCTATGCCCAGGAGGGGATGTTCTCACTAAGACTCCACCCGAGCTGAACCAGATGATTAATACATTGGCTGCCAGAGATCATTCCTGGGGGCAGAGCAGCAGAGGCAGACATTCCAGGGACCGTGGTGTGCACGCCATGGAGACCAGATCCAGGCTCGAGCAGCAGGTAGCTGAGCTAGTGCAGACATTGAAGCAGCCCAACAGTCTTATTCCGGGCAGAGGTATGGCTACACCTCCAGTTGCTCAGTGTCAGTGGTGTGAGAGCTCGAGCCACTTAGTAGAAGATTGCCAGGCTATGAGGGAGTCTACTACCCCCCAGGAGCAATTGGACTTCATCGCCAATGCTCGGCGCCTCGACCCGTACAGCACCACATATAATGAGGGGTGGCGCCAGCATCCCAACTTCTCTTGGGGCAGCAACACCACTAAGCCACCTGGTTTCCCAGCACCAGCAGGTGGTTATTAGTAGAAGCAGCCCTACCAGGCTCGACAGGGGCCAGTTCCGCAGCAGCAACCCTACCAGCCTCGACAAGGGCCAGTTCCACAGCAGCAGCCCTACCAGCCTAGGCAAGGGCAACCCTTCCAGCAGCCCCAGCGCCAGTTTGCCGAGCCAGCTCCAGCTCCAGATACTTAGATGACGAAGCTGGAAAATATTCTGGCTTCATTCATGACGAGCACTCAGGCGACTATCACTAGGTTGGACCAGAGTGTAGCATCACTGGAGGCAGGTCAAAGGAACCAGGGTGCCATTTTGCAGGATCTGCAGACCCAGGTGGGCATCTTGGCCCGCCAGAACACTACCAGGGCACCGGGGACTTTGCTTGCCACCACTGTCCCGAATCCTCGGGATCCTCACCAGCTCCAGCAGCTTGATGCCATCACTACCAGGAGTGGCAAGACCACATCAGCTGCTCCTGCCCAGCCCAGTCGAGATGATCCACTACCTGCTTCAACACTTCCAGCTGATACTGCAGACGTGGGGGAAGACACAACAACGCCTGCTCCCAAGCCACAGCCAGTGGTTAAGGAACATGTACCTCAGCTTCCTTTCCCCACTCGCCTGCATAAAGACAGGCTGGAGACTGAGTTTGCCAAGTTCATGGCAATGTTGAAGCAGGTCAACATCAGCATGCCGTTCGTGGAGGCACTGTCGAAGATGCCCAAGTATGCCAAGTTCATGAAGGACCTCCTCACCAACAAGAAGAAACTTGGGGATCTTTCGACAGTGATGCTGAGCGAGGAGTGTTCTGCCATCCTGCAGAACAAGCTGCCCGAGAAGCGAAAAGACCCAGGGAGTTTCACTATCCCTCTTGTTATTGGCAGCATGCATGTAGGGAAGTCCTTGGCGGATCTAGGCGCTAGCATCAATGTCATGCCTTATAAATTGTTTAAGAAGCTAGGCCTAGGTGAACCTAGAACTACTAGGATGAGCATTCAGTTAGCTGATCGTTCTATCGTGCATCCTAGGGGTATCATTGAGGACTTGCTTGTTAATGTGGGTGCATTCACATATCCTGTTGACTTTGTTATTTTGGATATAAATGAGGATGTGGATGTACCTTTGATTTTAGGTAGACCGTTTCTCGCCACTGCCAAGGCGCTTATTGATGTGCACAGTGGTAAATTGATTCTGCGTGCTGGAGATGAACATGCTACTTTTTCTGTGTCTGAGAATGGGAAACACCCTCATTTGCATGATGACATAGATTACTGTGATATGCTTGCTGATTATGAGACCGCACTCGCTATCACGAGTGCGGGTACTGACGATGTTCTTGAGCGTTGTATTTTGCTAGGTGAGCAGGCATCGCAGGAGCCGCAGCTGGCGGAGCAGTTGGCCGAGTTGGAGAGTGGCCCCTTCTTGGAGGGCGACAGGCTGTTTAAACCGATCTCATCCTCCACCCGCATCACTACTTCCTTGGAGGAACCACCAGAGCTGGAGCTTAAGCCCCTCCCTCCTCATTTGGAGTATGCATTTCTCCGGGAGGGGAATAAGCTGCCAGTCATCATCAGCTCGACCCTCACACCCGAGCAGAAGACCAGACTGGTGACCTTGCTGAAGCGGTACGAGCGAGCTCTCGCATGGAAGATCACAGACATCCGGGGGATCAGCCCTTCTTTCTTCTCCCACAGGATACTGATGGAGGATGAGATGCGGCCAGTAAGACAGCCGCAGAGGAGACTGACACCGAACCTGGAGGCTGTGGTTCAGGCAGAGATCGTGAAGCTGCTGGACACGGGGATCATCTTCGCCATTTCCGACAGCGAGTGGGTCAGTCCCACCCAGGTGGTACCCAAAAAGGGTGGGATGACTGTGGTGCCAACGAGAAGAATGAGCTGATCCCGATGCGCACGGTGACTGGGTACCGTGTCTGCATTGATTACCGGCGTCTCAACGACGCTACTCGGAAGGATCACTTTCCGCTACCATTCATTGATCAGATGCTGGAGAGACTAGCGGGGCACGAGTTCTACTGTTTTCTGGATGGGATGTCCGGGTACTTCCAGATCCCGATTGCACCGGAGGACCAGGCGAAGACCACTTTCACCTGCCCCTTCGGCACCTTTGCATACCGGAGGATCCCATTCGGGCTATGCAATGCCCCAGCGACTTTTCAGCGATGCATGCTTGCTATCTTTGACCGTCTGGTCGGCGAGATTATGGAGGTGTTTATGGACGATTTCTCGGTTTATGGAGACTCATTCTCTCACTGTCTCCATAACCTGGAGCTTGTCCTTAGACGATGCGAAGAAACGAACCTGGCACTGAGTTGGGAGAAGTGTCACTTCATGGTTCGAGAAGGCATAGTTCTTGGGCATAAGATCTCCAAGATGGGGATTGAGGTGGACAGAGCGAAGATCGAGACTATCAGCAAGCTGCCTCCTCCTACATCTGTTAAGGGGATCCGGAGTTTTCTTGGTCATGCAGGGTTCTACAGGCGGTTCATCAAGGATTTCTCGAAGATTGCTCTGCCCCTAACTAAGCTTCTAGAGAAGGATGCCCCCTTCCAGTTCACTGATGCATGCACATCGGCTTTCACGACCTTGAAGGAGAAGCTCACACAGGCTCCTATCATGGTTGTTCCTGACTGGTCCTTACCATTTGAGATTATGTGCGATGCCAGTGACTTTGCTGTTGGAGCTGTGTTGGGGCAGAGGCGTGATCAGCATTTCCGACCCATCTACTACGCCTCAAAGACCTTGAATGATGCCCAGGAGAACTACACCACCACGGAGAAAGAGCTGCTCGCGGTGGTGTTTGCCTTCGATAAATTTCGCCCCTATCTGGTCTTGTCCCATGTGATTGTGTATACTGATCACTCCGCGATTCGATACTTGATGAGCAAGGCTGATGCCAAGCCTAGGCTCATACGATGGATCTTACTGCTGCAGGAGTTTGATATTGAGATTCGGGACAAGAAGGGAGCGGAGAATGTTGATGCCGATCACCTCTCCCGGTTGGACGCACCCCCTGCGGACAACCTCGAGGAGGAGATCAATGACTCCTTTCCCGATGAGAGACTGATGATGATGTGCCTGGTGGAGAGTGTCACCCCCTGGTATTCTGATTTTGCAAATTATCTTGTGGGCCAGCAGCTGCCCAAGGGGATGACCACTCACGCCAAGAGGAAGTTCTTCTCCGACCTGAAGTACTACTTCTGGGATGACCCCCATCTCTTCAGGATCGTAGCTGACGGGATCATCCGTCGATGTGTTATGGAAAGTGAGATGGAGGACATTCTATCTCACTGTCATGAAGGACCTGCTGGCGGTCACCACGAAGGAAACCGCACGGCGAGGAAGGTGCTCCAGTCGGGCTTCTACTGGCCCACGCTCTTCAAGGACGCAGACGCCTTCGCACGCAGGTGCGACCGATGCCAGAGGTCAGGTAACATCTCTGCCCGTGATGAGATGCCCCAGAATGTGTTTATTACTTGTGAGATTTTTGATGTCTGGGGTATCGACTTCATGGGCCCCTTCCCTCCATCCTTTGGTAATACATATATCCTTGTTGCTGTTGACTACGTCTCTAGGTGGGCCGAGGCGCAAGCTTTGCCCACTAATGATGCTAGACGTGTTTGTGGTTTTCTGAAGCAGCTATTCTCCCGGTTCGGGACACCTAGAGCCATCATAAGCGACCGCGGCACCCATTTCCAGGGTCAGTTCGATAAATTGTTGTCTCGCTATGGTGTAACTCATAAGGTGTCCGTGGCCTATCATCCTCAAACCAGTGGCCAGGCCGAGCTGACGAACCGGGAGCTCAAACGGATCTTGGAGAAGACGGTGAACCTATCTCGCAAGGATTGGTCCACCAAGCTCGATGATGCTCTGTGGGCATATCGCACTGCCTACAAGACGCCCATTGGCACCTCACCGTATCGGCTTGTCTATGGAAAGGCATGCCATTTGCCCATGGAGCTAGAGCACAAGGCCTTCTGGGCCCTTAAGCTGCTAAACTTGGATGTTAGTGTTGCAGGTGATGAGCGAAAAATGCAGATGTTGGAGCTGGAAGAGTGGCGTTATCACGCCTATGAGAACACCAAGCTGTACAAGGAGCGCACGAAGCGCCTCCAGGATGCACGATTGCGGGGTCCGAAAGAGTTCCAGGTTGGTGATCGAGTTCTCCTTTATAACTCTCGCTTGAAACTCTTTCCCGGAAAACTCCGTTCCCGGTGGTTTGGACCGTACACGGTCACGCAGGTGTTCCCGTATGGCACGATTGAGATTGCTAACCCGCAAACTGAGCCGTTTAAAGTGAATGGCCATCGTCTCAAGCTCTATCTGGGAGACGAGGTCGAACGTGCGGAGTTAGCAGTGGAGCTCGCGGACCCTTAGTTCCGCAATTGACGTCCAGCTAAAAGACGGTAAAGAAGCGCTTGTGGGGAGGCAACCCCACCACGGTTTGCATTTCTACCTTTGTTTTTATTTATTTATTTCATTTTTGTCGGTTTTTGAGTCTTTGAGTCCGTTTGGAGTCAGTCTGGAAAGTTTTTAGTGCCTCGGGCGGTTCGTTTTGATGTGTGATTGGGTAAATTTTGGAACCGGGGCACGAATGAATCTTGGTGGTTTGCGATTGGAAATTGAAAAAATTGCATTTCAGGCTCGGCATAAAAAACACGGGCAGCAGGGGAATAAAACACGACCGTGTTTCGCCCCTTACCTGCCCGTGTAATGGCTTTTGTCCGCGGCATAAAAAACACGGGCAGCAGGGGCTAAAAACACAGCCGTGTTTTCATCTGTGCCCGGCCGTGTTTTAATGAGCTGATTACACGGGCGCGGAGCATCCGAAACACGGCCGTGTAACGGCCCGCCCGTGTTTCGGCCTCCCCCCTTTAAAAACGATTTTTCAGCCCAAAAATTTCAGATCAGCCTTTTTTTTTCAAACCTCCTCAGCCCCCCTCGCCGGAAAATCGCCCCTTTCACCTTCTCCCTCGATTTTCCGGCCATAACTCCCTCTCCCGACCTCCAAATCACAAACCGCGAGCGCCCCCACGCTCCTGGCGTCGAGGAGCACATTCCCCAACGATTTGGGCTGGTTTGGCTGAGGTTGGGTCGCCGGCGATGTGTTTTCCGGCGAGTCTCCGATGTGTTTTCCGGCGACTTTGGGTGCTTCTCTCCACTTTCTTCCTCTCTCTCGTGGTATCTTCTTGAGTCTCCAGGTATGCTCTCCTTGTATTTTCTTATATTTTTGGAGAATCGATACCTAGAGTTAGGCGAAGAACTTTTGATTGTGGAATGCATGGTTTTGGGGGATATTTTGGGTTTGGGGGATGATTGGGCTGATTGCATGTTGAATGGCCTGTGTGAATTGTGATTTTTCTGTGATGCCTCGGTTGGTGCTATTTAAAGCAGTTGTGGTATGCTTGTTTAACCGGGGGCCTAGTCCACTGTCCAAATCGCTCGATTTGAGGGTCCCCGGTGTACTCAGCTGGTATTTCTCGTATGATGGGTCTGCTTGTGTCGCCGGGAGTCTAGTCCACTGTCCATATCTTCCGATATGAGGACTCCCGGTGTGGTTTTGGTCTAACATTGACCCCGTTTGCTTGTGTACCCTTTGTCCTTCATTGTGTTTTGCAGGATCATGGAGGCTTATCTCGACCAGCTGAACATCATCCAGCGCCACAAGCTGCGGAACCTCCGTACCCGCAGCATCGCCGAGCACCATCACCTCGATTGGGAGGTGTTCGAAGAGCTTCATGCCAGGCCACAGATGGAGGCCGCGGTCCGCTCCCCTGCTTGGCGGCGTCTTCTCACCCTTGCTGAGCCGACTTACAAGGAGCTGGTCTTGGAGTTCTACGCCACCTTCACCCACAATCAGATGGGGAACTCCGATCACGCTAATGCAGTCCAGTTCACTCTCGGTGGGGTGGAGCACTCCCTCAGCTACTGGGAGTTCGCCAATGCACTTCGCCTCAAATCCCGGGAAGCTGGTGGGCCGCCTCTCCGCCTTGATCTCGCTGATCCCACGGACTTCCCTTCTTAGGCGTACTTTCAGAGCATCTGCCTGCCCGACAGTGTGGATGAACAGTACGTGGCCAGCCAGACGCGGGCTTCTCTCCTCCGTCCGGAGTGGCGGATCCTCAACCACCTGATGTGCACTTCCTACACACCCAGCGCAGGCTCGGCCAACCGGGTCACGCTCCGCACACTCTGGTTGATGCATGCGATGGGTCGTTCTGAGGACACCATCCAGCTGGGCTCTGTACTGGCGAGGACATTCACGAAACCAGCCATCAGCACGACTCGCGCCCTCGTTTGTGGGCCGGTGATCACCGCCTTGGCCCGCAAGTACGGGGTGGATTACACGAGGATGACTGTGGTGCGCGGGCCGTCCCCCTTCAGCGAGGCTACTCTTCGCCACCAGCACTTGCTTGCTCGCCACGGGCGTCAGCGATGGATCGAGGGCCTTCCTCAGCCACCTCCTCCTGCAGAGGGTGACCAGGCCGAGTCGAGCGCCGCTGGTGGGCGCCGAGGTCGACGTCGCGTTCCCCGTCGTGGCCAGGCTCCCGCGAGCCCCTCTCCTGCTCCCCGGTCTCCTTCTCCAGGGTCGCCTCCTCCAGTGGTGGTGCCCATCTCCGACCAGTTGGCGGCGATCTCGCAGCAGAATGAGCGCCTCCTGGCCGGCCAGGAGCTCCTCCACACCCGCCTTGATCGTGAGCGGGACCGCGGGCGTCGTATCCTGTCCGGGCAGCAGTACATCATGTCCTATTTGGGCTTGGACCCGAGCGCAGTCCACTACCCGTTCGTGCAGTCCCCGGGGTTTGAGGATGAGTACCCTCCCCCCACCGGCGATGGTGGTGATGCCTTCTAGAGTGGGTTTTGTGCTTTATCTGTTTTCCAGACTGAGACTCCGTGTTTTGTGGTTTCGTTGTGTTTTGTTTTCTCTCGGATTGTAGACTTGGTACTCTGACTCCTATCACCCAGTGTGTGTTTTTGTTGTCTCTAGCTCTGTGCCCCTTCTTTTGACTGGTCCGCCATCCAGTCAGCGTTCCTGACCACTGTTTCACGGTAACATCGTTCCCCTTCCCTCTGCTCCATTGAGGACATTGTCGCGTTTAAGTGTGGGGGGGTTCTTTGTATGAATTGGAACGTATATATATGTGTGCTTGGAGCCTAGTCCACTGTCCAAATCTTGAGATTTGAGGGCTCCAAGCACGACTGTTTGCTTGATGATTGATCGTATCGGCACTGTGGATGTGATTAGTAAATGGAATGGCTTTTGACTTGATACATGGCAACTTGAGTGTGACTTAGACAACTTATCGTGATGACTGAGATGTGCAATAGAATTGTGTAGGAGTTCAGTTTCTCAACTGTTTGCCCACCAAATGTGACTTTGTTTGATCACTTGCTTTTGACAGTCAGTTATGCATCTAGTTCAGGGAATCAGAACGAGAGATAGAGCATATAGGTAGCCATGTGAGATTTGAGCCTGCTCGTTTCTTTCTTGTGCGATAGTTTCCTCTCCCATGATGTGCAGCATTCACGTTGTCATTAGCTAAGATGATGGAGGCATAGGATTAGCCCACGACCAAATTGACTGTCCTAGTGTGTCATACCCCTAGTCAGCCCCTTTGAGCCGTGTGTTTTCCTTTCTTTCGGTCTTCAATGAAAAGTCACCCTTTTGCATCTTTTAGAAGGTTCCACAGAGTGATTTTTACATGTTCTCTGCTGTTTCTGCTAAATGTAATGTGAGGGTTGGAGGTAGTGCTTAAAAGTTGGGCAGGTGTTTGAAAATTTGCAGAGGTGGTGGTTCTCTTAGGAAATGAAAAATAATGAAAGAAAATCAAAGAAAAAAATGAAAGCATAAGAGAGCCACCACCAAAAATCTGAATAATGCCCATGTAGTAGTGTTTCTTAGCAGTCTGGCTTAGAAATAATAGCATTTTTGTAACCTCCTTCGCTCTTGTGCTTTGAACTTGAGTAATGCAGAATAGCAGAAAGAAAGTTATTGGTTCGATTGATTGTGAATCTGTTGGGTTTGGAAATGTGGAACCTTGTGCTGTATGAATACTTCCACCACCTAAAAGGCCTTTTCCCCATGTCCAAGACCCTAGCCAGTCATCTGAACCTGTGTCTAAGACCTCCGGATTAGTTAGTGATGACACCCCATATGTGAACTCTAGCACTTAGAGGCTGCATTCATGGTGAAGAGATGTTAGGGATTGAGAGATTAAGCATGCGCATTTTTCGCATCATATTGTCCTAACCCCACTGGTCGAGAGTGAGCGATTCATTTTCTCTTATTCTCTATACTCTTTATCCCGGTGAGGACCTAGATATCTTGAACTTTGTGCATGATGTGACTGTTTTGAACAAGTGGTTGAGTCGAGTCTATGTTGGTTGGTGAACAGAAGGGAGACTCTTCCTTTGCTCGATTTTACTGCATTCGAATGTCATCTGTGGTGGTTGTCTAGGTTGTCAGTGAGGTTGTCCATGTGTTAATGATCGAAAGCCAGTATGATCCACGTGTTTTGTGCCGATATGTCATGCCTTGTTGTTTTGAGCTTACCTTGTGTCTGACTTGGTTTGCTTGAGGACAAGCAAACGGTTAAGTGTGGGGGAATTTGATAACGATGTAATTGCACATGTTTGCGCCCCTAGTTCTTATCCGTTTGAGGGGTATAGTCGTGTGTTTTGGCCTATTTTACGCCGGGTTGTGCTATTTTGTCATATTTCAGGTCCCAGGCGTCAAAGGGAAGGCTAACCACGAGTTTCGGGGCATTCGGAGGTCATTTCGTCAAGCTGGGGCCAAAACACGGGCACACCTAAGGCATTACACGGCCGTGTTCCTATGGCCGTGCTTTTTATGCCGAGAGCTGAGCTGATTACACGGGCAAGGCCGAGACAAAGCACGGCCGTGTTCAAGCATTACACGGCCGTGTCCAAGGCGAAGCACGGCCGTGTTTCTCCCCAACTGCTGGCCGTGTAATTAACATTGACCGAGGCACGGGCGGATTCAGGCAAAGCACGGCCGTGTCCTCGACCGTGCTTTGGCCACTGATGCTTTTAAGCAGATTTTCAGCCACAAGTCAAGGGGATTCGAGTTTTTGAGAGATAGAACGACTTCTAGAGAGAGAAAGTGACGAGCAAGAGTTCCCAAGTGCCCTAGATTGATCTTCAACACCATTGGAGGCCAGCTTGAGCTTGGAGAAGTGCCAATCAACGTCCAGGAGCCGGAATCCGTCCTTCGCGGTATGAATTCCGTGTCTGATTCTGCTTTTGCTTTCTTCTCCATGGAGTAGTTCTCCCATTCATCTGGGTATGGAGAACCCTAGATTTGTATGTTAGGCTTTGATTGTATGAACCCAAGTACTGATTCTGTGATTGATTATATTCGATTGAGGTTTTAATGATTGAATGACTTGAATCCTGATCAAATTCCTGTTGTTTCTGCTTTAACCTAGAATGAGAATATCTGCCTAGGTTGATAGAGTATCCTTGATTGAAGGTAGGGAGTTGGTGACTTTAGTCGAGGAACCAACTCACTATTCTGTACCGGATTTACTCCGGTAGTGGAGGTTTTGTTCTTAGGGCCTCAATCTGTCTACTCCGGTGGAGGTTAGTCGCCCGCTAGAGATTCAGATTGAGAGGGTCTGAAGACCTTTAGTCGAGACTTCAGGCTGTTTAAGAACCTTCCGCAGTGTAACTATCATAGAAACTGAACTTGGTAATTACAATCCGGCTTAACTGCAGTCTAGGGGGAACCATATCCGGGTGACCTCTTTAACCTGAATACAACCGTTTACTTGCTTTGTTAGTTTGATAGTTTAGACTTGCATTCCAGTTTCATTGCTAGATAACAAGAATTCACTGAGTAGTCATCAGCTCTAGGACCCGGGTTGACATATAAACCTAATCCGCTATACTACGCTTTAGGAAGTGGTTTCACTTGGCCAATTCCTAGGGTGACAGTAGAGTCGAGTCACCAACAGTAACAAAATGGAAGTAATCCAAACTAAATTTAATAAGAGTTCGGTAACAAGACAATTGAAAAGCAGTGAAGAGAATGCCCGATAAAATGACTTCACTTCAATGGTTTGTCCATTTGAATGAGCTAGAAAAGTTAGGAAATAAGGGGTTGTTTGGTAGATGCGTATCTAAATGATGTATTTAATGAATGCATGTATTGTAGAGATGCATCATTTTTTTGTTACAAAATAAAACACAATTCATGTATTTAATTGTTGATGTGACATTTGAAATCATTCAAAATGAATGATTTAGAATCTCAACTATTTGGTGAGATTGTTGAGATTGCATTTTGAGATTATGAATCAACTTTTCTTCTTTTTTATGCCTTTTTCTTCTCTTTTATTTATGTCTTTATCAACTTTTATATGTGATTGACTTTTATATCTAAAATGAAGGATAAATGTGACTTTTCATTCAAAAAGTGATTTTCCTACTACATTTCTAAAAATACAATCACAACTACCAAACGTTGTAATCTTAAAATACAAGCATTTAACCAATACATTAATTTATAATGCATGCATTCATACAATCTATCAATTTTAACAATCACAAATACCAAGCTCAAAGAAAATTAGAAAGTGAACCAAGAATAATTTAGGGCATATAAGATAAGTTTCTTAATTAAGGGCATGATCGAAAAAGTTGGATAGTTTGCACCCCCAAAAAAAAGTTGGATAGAGCCAAAATTTGTTTTATTTAATTAAATACGAGCCAAAGGTTGTCCAATGTCCATAGATAGGCCGCCACGTCATCGTGCAGCCCAACAATGTTAATTCCTGTTATTTCATGATTGGACTGTCACACGTATGCTTGCGAACCGTCGTCACGATATCATCATTTTTTCATATAATTTTTTCCTATTTGTTTTGTCAAAACACGTACGGACGGATATCCCACGGCAACGAAGTTCTGTATTTTAGTGCCTTTCTTTTCTGCAGATCTGAATTCTGGAAAGTTTTCTGCAGCTTTGATGAAATTCTGGTTAGATACACAGCTTGTTTGATCGAGAAATGGTTAGAGGATTCATCAATTGATTGTCGATTTCTCTTTCGAACAATCTGCTGCGAAGGGGGGAATTCTCATTTCTGGGCTGTGTATTTGGGGGTTTCTCCGTTGGATTTTATGCTTCTAATCTGGCAGCATGAGGAAGAAGCTCGATACCCGCTTCCCGGCTGTAAGTCTCTGCCCTTCTTCCGAGTGGGTTTCGATTCTTCGATCTGGAATTTCTGTGTCTGTTTGGTTTGCCGTGGAAAATATTTAGTTTTGACTTTTTGATCGATTAGTTGGTGTTCCGATGTTTGGCTTGCCCATTTCTGGGTTTTCTGTTTCTTCCTCATTTCGTGGCTTGGAAATTGGTTTTCAGCTACTGGGTTGCTGTGAATTGGGAGGAAGTGAGGAAAAGGTACAGACTTGAAAAAATGAGGAGTGAGACGATTTGCGACTAATTTCTGCTTAGTTTGGCCGCCTTGCATGATTAATACAATCTTACCTGGCTTTTTACTCTTGCAACGCTGATGTTCTGCTCACAGTCCAATTCCTGGGAAGTGAAGTTCTGATTAGTTGATAATTCTCGTTATGCTACAGAGTTTGCTATTAGGGATTGACTGTTCTCTCTCTATGTATCTGTGTTTCTTTTCCTGAGTTTCTTAGGCTGTCTTGTTGTTCATTCATTGGCGTTATTTGGTTATGAACTTTAACTACTTGTTCAGAATGGGTATAGATGGGATGGTTTAGGGCTTTGTTAGTGAAGTAATTCTTTGATGTGCTAGTCCATTCAAAACTAGTGAACTGAATTTCGGTGGTGAATTTAGGACTTCTAATTTACCTTTTGTCACTAGCTTTGATAGCAAAGTTCGCATGGCTAATTTTTTGAATTTGAGTTCTACCTAAGGTGACAGAAGACCGTCTCTGATTGAAAGTTAAGCTCATTTTGTATAGTATTGTATAATTACACGTAGCTTGTGTGTTTTAATGCTCATTGGTAGGTTGAACTTGGCCTTGTTATGCTTACAGAATCAACATCTATTTGCAGTGATTTCTGGGCTCAGTTTTCTGAGGCTCTATCATGACAACTTCAATTGTTCTTTCTTGACACTGTCTTGTATGCTTTTAAATTAACACTGCTGCAGTTGACTTTCTTGAAGCTTTTACAGTTACTAAAATTTGGATGTTCTCATGTGGCTTTAACTAGTGTCCTGAGAGATTGATGCTTACTTAGTAGATTTAGTGCATGGAAATACTATTCACCATCAATTGTGTGTGTGTGTGTGCGCGCGCGCGTGTGTGTATGTGTGTTTTTTCTTTTGTATTGGGATTTAAGGGGCAGCTATTTATTTTGACAGGCTCGCATAAAAAAAATCATGCAAGCTGATGAGGATGTTGGCAAGATAGCCCTGGCAGTGCCTGTCTTAGTGTGTAAGTAGTGAGACATTTGTTTTGGTGGCTTCAGAATTTGATTCTGCATTGTTAGTACTCATGTTCTATGACTGTTTGTGCAGCTAAAGCATTGGAATTGTTTTTGCAAGACCTTTGTGATCGTACTTATGAAGTTACCCTTCATAGAGGAGCGAAGACCATGAGTTCACTCCACCTGTAAGTAACTCCTTTGCTGTTTTGCCAGAAGGAGTTAATGTTTATCTGGTCAAATGACTGGATTGATGATAGCATGTCATAGGCTCATAGCAATCTAATAATTGACCATCCAGTTATAATCTTTTTTAGATTCAAGACCCTCCAGTTATATATCATCTGACCATCTGGCTTCTTCTGATAGTCCACTGGTAGTGTTGCCTAGTTAAATGACGTAGAAAAATCTCATTTAACTACGGGGCTACTTTTTCCATTCTTTTTCTTTCGTCAAATTCTCCATCTTTGTGAAGCTCTTGATGGTTAGAAGATTAAAATTTTGATCCCCCTCGATAGTTCTTGTCTTGCTTTTGTTTAGCTCAAAGATTCGATTACCTCAATTATACACTAAACGTCTGTTGTATTTGTCTTTTATGCAGAAAACATTGTGTCCAAAGCTATAATGTGTTTGATTTTCTGCGAGAAATTGTTAGCAAGGTTCCTGATTATGGCCATGGTCATGGCCACCCTGATGCACCTGCGGATCACAGAGTCCTTCATAAGAGGTCAGTAGCTGAGAATTTTTTTTCAACCTGGTTTATGTTATCTTCTTGGATGGGTTATTCAGAGCAACTTATTTTCAATTGGTTGACCACATATGTTTTAACAGGAAGCCCATTATGGATGAAGGCAATGAGAGCGATGAAGAAATGAAGAGAAGCAGGATGGTAAGATTGTCCACTTTAGTATTGTTAATTTGAATTTTAAACAATGTTGGTTCTCTTAATTTTTACCCTTATTTTCATATATAGTAATCACACTGTCTAGTTTTATCATCCCAAAGTTGTATGAGTCTGCCATTATTACTCAGCTTTCCTTGCATGCAGAAGTGTTTTTGAACTTAATATGCGGGTGTTTATTTGCTTCCATTGTAGCATGATACAAGCCACACAGTCGTTACTGGTCGAGGGAGAGGTCGTGGTCGAGGGAGAGGTCGTGGTCGAGGTGCTCGAAACGCGGATAGAGAATTGGCTCATCGTGAGGCCGACTCTGAAGCTGCTTGTACTACTCCACGCGGCAACATCCCAGTTCCTGGAACGATGATAGATGACGGAATGGATTCAAAGGAGATGTTGGTGAAAGAGCCTATGGAAGCAGTTACAGATGGTACAGCCAATCAACCAGAACGAAACTTCGATCTTAATGCTGAGGTCAAAGACAACAACGAAGACACGAAAGCTGCAGCAGCAGCAGCGTTGCCAGCTTCTTCAGCAATAGGGCCTGTGCCTGCTGGCCAAGGTTCGTCCACGGCACCAGAAACCACCACCCACGAAGAATATCCAGGTTGGTCGCTTTCAGAAGTCGACAAGATGGCTATTGATCCCTTACAGCTGGCCCAGATGAGCTCTAGGATGGACGAAGAGGAAGAAGACTATGACGAAGAAGGATGATTTATGATGTCTCTTATCAGTAATAGTTATTGGTCTCGCGTAGTTCGTAGAAACCATCTGCTAACAGAAAACCCAATGATGTCCTAGTAGGGATCTGTCTACTATCTGAGAAGAAGACAGCGGTTTGTGTAATGTAAGAATCTAATGTTAGGAGCAGCTAGCAGCCAGCATACATGACGGCCTTCCTCTGTCAATGTGCCGTCCAAGAATGTTGTTATTATGCTCGTCTCTGTTGTTATTGTTGTTTAGTGAATCTCATCTCCTTGGTTGGTAGTAGTGAATCTCTTCTAATGAGAGTATTGCACAAGTCGGGATTTCACGAGTGAAAGACTGGTGGTTCATGTAGAGCAGAAGCTGTTGGAGCTAGATTTCAGTTTGGCTTGGTTTGGAATCCGTGAGCACAAGAATCTAAACGAAATAGCTTCAATCTATCCTAGTTTGATCTGAAATGATCTTCGAATGCTGAAAGGAAGAGAATGATCTACACAATACGACAGGAAGTCTATATACTATATAGCATATCATCCATTACAGGTTCACAAGCAAACCATAAAGTTCCTGGTTGCTACAGGATCACACTCTTAAAACATAAGCAAAAGCAAACCATAAAGCTGTTCGAAGGTTTCTACAAGCTCACACTCTAAAGAAATAAGCACATATATGTACAGTACACAAATCAGTGAGTTGGCTCCATATGATTGAGATGGAAAGTGCCTTCAGTAGTCTTGTGCACTTCGACCTTCAACTTCTCTTCGGTAGTCCCTCTCTTCACCTTGAGCACCATATGAAATTTCGCAGCATCGTCCACCACCTGCAGCATTGCGAAACCAGCACAAATATAAGGATGGAGTTGCGAGGGGACGACGGAGATGAAAGGACAGATGGGAAGTGATACAAAGTCGCAACAAACCTCAGCTTTGGCATCAACAACTTCTTGAAGTTCGTAAGGAAACAATGAGTTGGAGCGCTGTTGAATTGTCTTCAGAGCATGATCAGCTGCATCTTGAACAGCAGGGTCATGAGGTGCCACATCCCTCAACCCAGATCCATGGCATCCTGAAATACGCACCCAATAGTATTAACTCAAATGAAATCAGGGCACAAGCCTCAAATTTTCAATCTTTCCGTCTACCCTATATATGATTTCAGAGTTCATCAAGGAAAAACGATGAATCAATATAGTTTACTTCACCAAACTCACTGGTATCAACTGATCCGATAAGGGTAGGAAGCTTTTGGTAATTAGAAAAAATGCTAAGAAATGGGATTTGAGGGGAGAGAAGGGAGAAGGAGAAAGCAAACCTTTCTTGGCGCCAAGATCAGAAGGGGTGAGCTGCGGGGAATCACCAGCGTGCTTGAACTCCTGCAGTTCCTGGAAGTTCATCCATGGCTTCACCCACACTTTGGCTTCGTAGAGCTTCTTCTTTCCAGCATCAACCGCCTCTATCACCAGATGATGAAGCGTCCCGGCGACGACTTGCTCTTTGGCTTCCACAACCCTCAGAAACTCCACCACCGCATTCTGATTTCTCACCATCAAAAAGGGGGAAAAGAAAGGAAAGGAACAATTTCATTCACCAAAACAGAGAAGCGCGACAGATGGAAATCAAAAACAAAAGCGGTAGATCAATCTGCGGCTCACCTGCTTCTTGTTGTGCTCGTCGACGGCGAACCGAGCAAGACCCTCGATTTCAGCGCTGTTGGCGGAGCCGGCGGGGGAATCGCGAACGCCTCCGAGGGTAGGGGTGGCGGCGGCCATTTTATCGGGGCGGTGGTGGTATTGATCGGCGATTTGGCAGAGACTGGCGATCGCAGGAGAGGCAGAGAAGAGTAAGAGAAGCGTGAGAGTGAAGAGTGGGGAAGTGAGGAGATCCATGAAAACCGGTAGTGTTATAGATTTCTGTACGAAGTTTTAGCGCGTTTTGGGATCGACGGTGAGAACGGAGCCGAAGCGCTGCCGCTTCGCGTCTATTTGTCCTTTTTTTTCAGGCTTCCCCCGCTAAGTTTACTGCGTGGCACGGTTAAATATTGACACGTGTGAAAACGTGGAGATTGGAGGGTGTCTTCGCTTAGTCAGTAAGCTTACGGCTACGGGGGCAATTACTGTAGGCTGTAAGTGTAAGTCGGACGCTCCTCGCCGTTAAATGTAACGTCGTCAATCCTTTTAGAACATGCCAACATGGGCCTCGTTTTAAGAAGTCATAATTCTAAACATTGATGGACCTGCAGTGGGCCGATCTTGTGACCTGTCTAATAAAAGCATAAAAAGGTTTATGATTCTCCAAATCCACGGCTCAAAAAGTCACAACTTTCAAATGAGGCTCTACTCTCTAGTTTCTTTGGAGGAGATATATGGTAACGCGAATCAATTAGTGCAGATTGATTTATACATTTAGGAGTTGTGAACAATTAGTGCAGATTGATATCATTGATTTGTACTAGGGGTGGGTATTGGTGCGGTCAAACCGCTCCGAACCGCATCAAACCGCATTTACGGTCGAGCCAAACTGCATCATAATACTTGCGGTCTTATATTCGGTCTGAATTTTTAGCGGCTCGCGGTCGAGTTAATCCAAAACCGTGCGGTTGCGGTCCAAAATCACAAATAATTGGTTGCCTAGTAAATTACTAAATTCAAATTTGGTTTATTAACTTCTTCTCTTTCGTCCGCCACCGGATGCCGGTCCGGAGGTGATGCTTGTGAAAATATATCTTCAGAGAATATCTCATCGTCCAGTTGTTGTCGCGGCAGTTCCACCTCTGTTGTCGACGCCAACGACGACAATATCTTCGAGAAAGGAAACAAGATCCGAGCAGTTCACTTCCGACCGGCCGTAGTCTTTTTTTCTTTGATTCGTTTACTTATTCTTGAACGCCTCTGGGAAATTGGGATTAATTAGTGTTATTGGGAAATTGAATCGTTTAATTTTTTTATTAATTATTATGGGAGGCATTAAGCCAGGGGATTAAACGGCTGAAGTGCTGAACCAAAAATACAGCAGGTCAATAGGATTAATTATTGTTATTGGATTAATTAGTTCATAGTACATTGCAGTTCAATATGCGGAGCGGTCCAAGCCGCACCAAACCGCCAATCTAAATGGTTTGGCTTGACCGCACCAATAAAATTGCGATTTAATGTGTGGTGCGGTCCAAATAACATGTAGTGCGGTGCGGTCGCACCACTTGCCCACCCCTAATTTGTACTTTCAGGAGTTGTGAACGTTGATGATTCGAGGACATATTCATAGATTATCCAACATTATCAAACATGGGTTAAGATTGTCAACATAAATGATAACGTATTTGATTTGGATGTAAGATTTGAATGATGAATTCTGCTCAAACCAATGGACACAAGAAAAGATTTGCTAGAAATGGTTGCCAAATATCTGCAAGGCAAAAGTCACAAAAGAAGACATATACACATTTGACATTTTAGTGTTAAGAACTCCACACAAAAAAAAAAAAAAAATCAAATAGTAGCGTCTGCAAAATATCAGCAATGAATCACATACTTGAATATCAATACATTGAAGACTGTCAGTAACTCAGCACGCCAAACTACAACCCCGTCGGGTCACAACCTGTTGGACGTACTTGTTGGTCTGTTTCAAGGTACCAAGATGTTCTTCGACATCAAACATGAAGATACAGATACAAGAAAGCAACATCACCAACGCTCCCCTTCAGAGGAGGTAAAAAAAGCATAAAACCTTCTAAAAACGTTCTTCACATCAACAAACGCTACGTTAAAAAACCACTTCTGATGGGGGAGGACGAAAACCACGAGGGGCTCTCACCAGCAAACCACAAATTGGCCGGGGGCAGAGAGAATGCTTCAGAAAAAAGACACAACCAGGTTCTTCAGAAACAAATATGAACAGGTCCTTCTCTCCCGGGCAGTGATGACGGGCGCTCTCCCTTGAACAGTTGAACCAGCACTCATGTAAGTAAAACCTCCTCTTCCATTCCTGATGGTAAGTAGCGAGCAGAAGAAAACTGGGAAACGGCTCCACCATATCATTAACTGATGGACCCGAGAAACATTGCACTAAACACAGTAGACATATACGTTATTTACAGGCAGCAGTTGCGTTGTTTTGTTGTTCTTTTTCTGTTGTATTATTCAGTGGCTTCTCCTCACAAATAGGATTTGTGAAGCAGTCGATTTAATGTCCATCCCTGACCCTGATTGGATCCTCACCTGTGATTTTTAGGGTCAAATAGTAGTCAGAATCAATAACTTTACAGAAGATGTTAGGAAGAGCTTTTTTTTTTTTTTTGAATAAAGTTAGGAAGAGCTAAACACCTGGTAATAGAATAGTTCTCTCATTAAAAGAAGATGGAAAAGCAGAAAAACCAGGTTTGCGGGGTTTTCTTTAACTAGCTAGTTGGAAGTATATATTCTAACCATCATGGTCAATATATTCGCATACACAAAAGGAAGAACGCATCGAAACGCTATCCCCATCAAGCATTGTACAGCAACTAACCTATGCATTGATTCGTTTTCACTTGTTCGATTACTAAAGCAGAGTACTGTTGGGTATAAAGCCAACAAAAGAAGAGCATACCATTTTTGTTAAACCAAGAGGCGAAGCACGAACCTCGTAGGATGCAAGCAATGAAGCAAGCATAGCACCCACTCCAGTGATCACGGGTTTCTGACACGCACAGGCACATACACCAGAACCAAAAGGAAGAAATGCTAGATTGTTTGTAGGATCATTCAGAATCAGTGGGCCTTCAGTTGCATTAACTTCTTCTGTAGTCTCTGGAACATTTTCAACATAAAGCTTATTAATTCCTGGTCAGCCCTCCTTAGTGGCAAGTATTACTGAAACTCAAGCCTCCATGAGGTAAATATAATGGACCGCAAATATTTGCCAAAAGACAAAAAATCAAGAATACTAAGATGCAAGGACAACATGAATACATTAAAAGAGTCAAGATCCTACCATCACTTGAGGAACAGAGAACTAAGTTTTTCAAAGGGAAAACTGTATCACTGCACTCCGAACCAGGAGACCCCAAGACTCAGATGCCTAGAGAAAAAACTAGCATTTGCAACTTGACTGACCACAAATAATATGAACAATAAAATGCCCACACTGGCCAACACAATCTTCAATTAAGTAGGTGAAGAATCTACTAACCAACTCATGCAAACAATTCATATCAAGATTTAACAAACACAACATGCTATGGAGAGTGATGTTCCAACCTGGAACAAATGACTCTTGCATTAAATTCGAAGACTCTCTAGATTTTGACAGAAAGCGGTAAGGTTTAAATTTTTCAGCATCAGAACCCCAATTAGACTTCTCCATATGCAGTAGCTGCACAGGCACCATGAGTACAGCTCCCGCTGGTATGGTGACACCAGATTTTAGATCCAAGTCTAGCAATTGAGGGGGCGAAAAGGGACAAATCAGTATATAGCATGATAGAAGTTGGGCATGACAAAGAAATCATAACCAATAAATAGACAGACAAATACCAAATATTTACCGTCTTTTAAAGAACATATCTGAAGTACAAGTCCAGTCGCCAGAACACGGGATGACTCATATATTGTAGCCAATAACAAGGGCATATTTACAGCACCATGACTTTCTTTTGCTGAAACTTGTCGTAACATGGTTATTTGTGTGTATACCTGCAGAAATTCAAAGTTTAGATAGAGGAAAATCTAGCAAGATAAAGCATAACTGCACAAAGCCTCAACATTCTTTCTGTCAGTAAAACAGCTCAATAGAATAAGAAAACATCACAATACCTTGTGTTGTATCTTGGGATTTGTGGCCAGCCTTTCTAGTACAGCACTAATCAGACCAGCCATAGACAGGCACCCATGAAACATGATCCCCATAATGTTCCCACATAACTCTTCTGCTGAATACCGGTGGCTGTCGATTTCCAGAAGGGAAAGCTGATCCTGCAAGAAATCCCTAGGAGAAAATATCCCATCCTTCTTGGAAAATGAAGCAGTTTTGCCATAACACATCTGACCACTCCCATAATATATCTTGTCATTTTTCCTACATTGCTGCATTAACTCTCCAGTCAAAGTTTTCAACTCTGTACATAGGGATTGGAATCTCCAAAACTCCTTTTTCCAAAAGGGTTTGATGGTATGTGAAGCCCAGAATGAAGCATCTTTAGCGATCTCCATCAGAAGCTCCTCATAACAAGTAGCCTTGGGCCAAGTGACAAAAGCATCTCCGAAGAGCAAAGTCCCCAGATAAAAAAATGCAGCATGTTGAGAAAACATTCTGCAATCTACAATCCCAGACCTCATACCCTTGTCCAGCCTATCCATCATATAGTTCACAACTCGCCCTAGTAATTTTCCATTTAGTTCTAGTTCCAATGTTTCTCTTCTCTGTTTTGCCTGAAACAAGAATATGTTGAATTCATGTCAGGGAAGGAAATGGAAAAGAACTAACACTATAGCCATTGACAAAAGGAAAGTTATCAAGCAATAAATAGCTGGAAAGCAACACTGGTTGTCTCGGAAAACAACTGAACATCAATAGCAAGAAAATTCTATAAGGTAGAGCTCATAGATACATATGAATGATCTGAGGTCACCTTACAGAAATGACTGTACTTTCTTTTCTTAATGAATTTCCCCTGTAAGGGTTATAGAGAAACATATGAATGATCAAACCTCGTTCATACCTGTTCATAGGGGCAGAAAAAGAGGCTCGATCGTCCAAATGGCATACGGAAAGCCTTCCCCGTAAAGGGCAATTTGTCCTGAGCCTGGAAAGAACCTCCCTTGCCAGCATCGGATCCTTTATGGATACCATAAGCTGAGTAGGCCCCAGCCATAACTTGCAAACTGATCCATATTTGTTGTGTGACTGGGATACAAATTCTGAAAATACAAATCAATGTCTCAGGTAAGTTTAACTCCCATTGCTGGCGGGAAATCATGGAGGTAAAATTAGAACATACTTAGTGACGGCTAACAATGGCAACCAGATGCTTATGCGCCAGGGTTTCACTTTCTTTTCACCCCACAAATCCAAATCTTTTCATTCCACATATACCCGAAACGCCACGAAGCAAGGTGGACAGTAATTGAAACAAACACTTCATCGGCATTATTTCAGTGCCTTCCCCTCGTTTTCTCAACAACCAAAACAGAGGATCCACCGAATTGAACATTTCCACCTAAATTGTGAAGTCAAATGAAGCGGTATATCAACCGACTCGCTCACCCATGAAATTCTCGCGAGAAAGGAAGCTGCCGCCGCCGCCATGGCCGAAGAAGGAGGTACAAGGCGGGCCGGGGATCTTCCTAGCCATTACCCACAACCGGAACAACTGAAGAACCCTCTCGAGCAACAGAGCGGTGATTGCGATGAGCGAAACCCATAACAAGATATTGAACTCCCTGGCGGCGTAGTCTCTAAAGAAACAGGAACCAGTTCCACCGGGACTGCAAGTTCCGACCTGCTGGTGATCCGTCGATCGGAAGAGCGAGGTCAAGAAGATATGATTTGGTGGACCATATCCGCACGAGGAGTTGCTTTCAGCGCGCATTTTCCCCCTTCCCCTTCGTATAATCACTGGTGAATGGTGATGGTTCAGTAAAAAGAATAGAATAGAATAGAATAGAATAGAATAGAAGTGAAGCAACAAAGGGCTGACTTTTGACTAGCGCGCGCAAGGAGGGGACAGCGGATGGCAAAAATATCCGTAACCGTGGATATCCTCCCGAATCCGACCTAATTGGATAGGGTAAAACCCGAACCCGAAAGACATTTAGTGGGTACGGGTAAAAGCCCGAACCCGAATATTGTGGGTAATGGGTGGTAATGGATTTCTCACTATCCAACCCGAACCCGCCCGATTATACAAATGCATATGTATTTTCTCTAGATATAATCATTATTTTTCTCTAAAATATTTTATATTTAGCATATAAGTATATTATTTTCATGAAATTGTGTTGTTTTAATTAATTTTCTTCATTCTAGTGAGTTATTGTCGTACTTTTCCTCGTACGTAATGTGAGAATTCGTGTGAATGTGAACATATTGGTTGAAGTTATGAAGAGAAATGATTACCCATGGATAACCGTGGATACCCGAAACCCGAACGGGTATGGGCATGGTTTTGATTTTCTACCCGTTTCACATGTGGGTATTGGTATGGGTAAAACCCGAACTACTTTGGGTAGGGTAACGGATATGCACTATCCGCCCCCGACCCGACCCATTGCCATCCCTAGACAGCGGACTGATTGAACATTGAAGGGCGAATTTTTTTTTTACAGTATTGAAGGGCGAATTCATGGTGAACTTTTTTATGTTATCCATAGCGGCTGAAGGTTTGGACCTACCTACCAAACAAGTTGCTCAAAAAAATATTTTGGGTGATTTGGACGAGGAATTCTAATGAATGAATTTGACACAATTGCCTTGTTTTGAGACAATTGTGCAATATTGACTTGTTTGGCAGTAGAAAATTTGAATGAAGCAATTTTGTGACTCATTTTGAGGCAATTACATTTGTCTGGGGTGATCAATGATCGCCTTGTTTGACATGAAACGGCAAATGGGATTTTTACGGTGAAATCAGCTTACCATCTGGCTATCTTACTAGATAAAAAAGAAGGTAAGTGGCGCTCGGTAGTGAGGTAGATGGATAGACCCATCTGGATTCGCCTCTGGGATGCTCCTATTCCCCCTAAGCTGCGAATTTTTTTGTGGCAAATCTTCAATCGTCTTCTACCTACGACCGAAGCTCTTATTGAGGAGGACATTCAGGTCCATCCTCGATGTCCGGTTTGTTAGGCAGAGTGTGAAACGATGGAGCATCTGTTCCTTGACTGCCCAGTTGCTAGGGCCTTGTGGGACTATACAGGTTTTGAGTATCTTGGGTAGGCCTGTCAATTCGGTTTCGAATTTTCGGGTTAACCCGAACCCGAACCGATATGCATAGTATTGGTTTCAGTTTTTTCGGGTTCAACCCGATGCACACTGCAGTGGTTTCGGTTTCCAAAACCCGCAAAACCATACGCAGCGCATCAGTAGACAGTCACGCTCACGCTGTCGTTTTGACTTTGAGAGCAACTCCTACCCTAGCTCGCCGTCTCTTCGATTTTGGAAAACAGAGCGCTGAGCGAGACGATTGAAAAATAGAGCCTCCTCGCCACCATCATCGTCCTCGCCGCCAGCGGCCTCGTGAGGAATCCCTTCGCCCTTCATATGTGTTGTTGTGGTTGGTTTAATATTGCTTCTGAGTCTGCATTCAGCACAGGAGGTCGAGTTTTAGATTCGTTTAGGACATCCTTTGACTGGAGAGTTAATGCAGCAATGTAGGAAAAATGCTGCGAAATTTCATATGTGTTGTTGTGGTTGGTTTAATATTGCTTCTGAGTCTGCATTCAGCACAGGAGGTCGAGTTTTAGATTCGTTTAGGACATCCTTATCCCCTGAAGTTGTGGAGGCTTTGATTTGTTGTGAAGATTGGATAAGATCTTCAGACTTTGAGTTGGTGGCTGATGGAGAAGATGAGGGTGATGAAGTGGTATTTCAAAATGGTAAGCACTTAGTCTTTCTCTTTATTCTTATATTTGTTATCTTGATCAAGTCATATTCTAACTAGTTGTTATTGTTTATGTTATCCAGTATATGCAGCTTTTCAAACTCGGAGTGCAAGTGCACCTGCAGGACCTAGTGGAAGCTCTCCCGCTACCCATGTTTTGGTATCGAGTCCTACTATGTCACAAGTGGAAGAAGACTATGTCGACAACAATTCCGATGAGAATGATGAGACTTATGTAGATGTAGAGCCTGATGAGGAGTGATAATGGTAGTAGTATTTATCTTGTATGGTGGATGAATTTTTATTTTACTTGGATGTTATCATTTGAGAATTGTAAAACTAATGTGTTTAATTACGAGTTGAAGATAATCTCATCTATGATTGTCGGTATTTTATGTTGAACAAAATTATTTATAATTTTGTGCCAAACACCAAACATTTTTTTGCATATGATAGTACTTCAACTTTGGACCTATGGTATTACTAAAACATTTAATTATATGAAAATCCACAATTAAATGGCCCAAAAGGTTGTATTACTTAACATAGCAATACATAAAATTATAATAGTATGTATATATTTATAGAATACATAAAATTAAATATTTTAATGATTAACTAATAAGAATAAAATTGTTTGTACAAACAAAAGAATGTACAAATAATAAGAATAATATTTTAATAATTAACTAATAATAATAAAATAGTATGTTTTTATATTTAAGAATGTAGAAATAATAAGAATAAAATTGTTTTTACAAACAAAAGAATGTACAAATAATAAGAATAATATTTTAATAATTAACTAATAAAAATAAAATAGTATGTTTTATGTTTAAGAATGTACAACTAATAAGAATAAAATTGTTGGTACAAACAAAAGAATGTACAAATAATAAGAATAATATTTTAATAATTAACTAATAAAAATAAAATGGTATGTTTTATGTTTAAGAATGTACAAATAATAAGAATAAAATTGTTGGTACAAACAAAAGAATGTACAAATAATAAGAATAATATTTTAATAATTAATTAATAAAAATAAAATAGTATGTTTTATGTTTAAGAATGTACAAATAATAAGAATAAAATTGTTGGTACAAACAAAAGAATATAAAATTCAAATTACAAAAGCATTTTAAAAAAAAATTAAACCGATTCGGTTTCGGGTTCACCCGAACCGAACCCAAACCACCAGTGTTATTTTCGGGTTTCTGAACCCGCAACCCGCAAAACAAAGGCTCGGTTTTGGTTTCGGGTTTGTGGGAGTCGGTTTCGGTTTTTCAGTTTTTGCGGTTTTCGGGTTCGGTTACCCGAACCGAACCGACAGGCCTAATCTCGGGTCAAGGGATTCCTAGGCACACTTTTCCTTTTTTCCTAAAAAAGTTGATAATATGTATTCACCAACCTTAGTTGTTTATGGATGTTACTGCAGTCCTGTGGAGTATCTGGCGCTCTCGTAATTGGGTTGTCTTTGAAGGCAAGCAGTTAGGGTCCCAGCGCTCATGAGGCAGTTTAAAGCAATATCAGGAATGGATAAGTTTGCCTTTGGATGGGACCCAGCGGGTTCCTGCCCCCTGCTGATCAACTTGTGGGGACTACTACCCCTTCCTCGGTTATCTGCAAATGGGATGGGGCTATCAATCATGCATCTCACTCAGCAGGAGGAGTGGTTGTCATGAACCCGGCAGGGGAGGTTCTTCGGGCAAAAGGTGTTCAATTTGTCGGGGTTGATGAACCTTTGGTCGCTGAGATGCTTACTCTTCATGAAGCAGTCCTTTGGTGTATTGCATCCGGGTTTACGGAGGTTCAATTTGAAGGGGATGACAAGGTGATTATTGACAAGTTTAACCACGCTGATATCAGAGACAGTCGAATTGGAGCCCTTCTAGAAGAAGTATTGCATTGTTTATCTAACCATAGTGGGTTCAGTGTGCGGTTTGTAGGTCGGCGTAGTAATAGGGTAGCCCATTTGGTGGCTAGAAAGACTCTTCTTTTGTACCCGACTACAAGTCGCGTCTTTGATTTCTTGGCCTGGCTTAATTCCAGAATGTAATTATCTTTTCTCTGATCAATATATGATTATCTTTTGTAAAAAAAAAACACATTTGTCTGGGGTGGGGGCAGGTAATTCGAATTGACTCGTTATAAATTACTCATTTTGTAAAACGAGTCAATTGGTCAAATTGTCTCATTTTGCAATTGATCCATCCAAACGACCCCTTTGTTTTTTTTTTCATGTAAGGTTCGGCGCATAAGAATTTTACCTTATAATTACAACGTGAAATCTCTAAATTGAAAATTATTAGACCGAATTCTTATACAATGAAGCAAGCTCATTTAAAAACAACTGGGGTTAATAACTTAATATTGTGAGGTTGGTAGAAATACAACCAATCGTCCAATCCTCCTATATACAGTAGGGATGGGATGCTAACCATATAATGGGTTAGCACCGTAATAACTAACTAGCTTATTACCCGGCCCGTTGGCCGGATTACTGTATGTTACCCACTTGTGGAACGGGAGAGAAAGCAAGTGAGAGTGAAGGGATTGAGATTCCACTTGATTAGGACCGGCCCACTAATCCGATTCTTCCCGACCCGCCCCAACCTAAAGGGTCAGAAAGAGCTAATAAGAAAATACGAATGGAGAGAATTAGTAATATATCTTGACTCTTCAGAAGTGGGTCAAACAGGATAAAGGTTGGGTGAGGGCAATTTTTAGCGCTAAGCAGAGTTCTGGGTTGAATAACTTTACCTAGGCCTAGAAATTGGTTCTGATGCAGACTGCAGTTTTTATCATACCATCATCAATCATCATTGAATTAGTCCTGGGCATCCCTCCCCGTTGTCGGTCTGAATTTTAATGATGGCTTCATTCCTTGCACCAGCCATATCAGCGAGTTGTCATCTCGAGCATGATTTGCCTATGTACAAATGATACAATTAGAGTATGAAACTGAATTCAAAGAAAAGGAAAAGAGAATTCTATCACATGCCAATAAATACACACATAATAGTTGAAGCTAAGTGAAAGTCATTACTCGCACATCAATTCTCAAAAATTACAGACTAAACAATGGCTAGAATGGCACTGAAACTACCAAGAATCATGGACGAAACAACTTGTCAAATTAAATAATCCTTATACTGAAACTACCTTCTAACTTGAAATAAGACATGATCACAGTTCATAGCACTCTTATCACTATGAATTGGTTGCAGCTCGTCCTTATCACTACCTCCCAAGCTCAATTCAAACAGAATAGACACAGTTATGTAAGATAACCATATCCTTACTGATCATAATTCCTTTCTTCACTCCATTTTTGTCGGAGAAAAGAGTTATCCCCCTCTCATGCATTTCCCTTTCCCCCTCTCTTCTCCCTCTTCTTCACAAACCGATCCCTAAACCAGCAACAACAACACAAAATAGCCTTCGCCTCTGCCATCTCCATCTACTGAACGCGTTGGTGGCAAGACAGGATTGCAGAAGCAAAATTTTCTAAAATCAAACTAAATTTTTTGAAGGAGACTCAACCACGAAAAAAGAGTAAAGCAACAATGCTAATAGTTCAGATGGTTGGTTTTGATGTTATACGTTGCTTTTGTTATGGTCTCCAGTGTATCAACTGCAACAGAGATGTTTCCTCCAATCATCTTTAGTGCATGATTTAGAAGTAAGTCCTCTTGTTTGTGTCAAACGGAAACATTCATGGGTTCTTAACTCCCCTGTTAGTGTAAATGCATCAGCAGCAAAGAAGTTTGACAACACAGCGAGCACCCAGGCAAAATGATACAATGCAGTAGGTGATATGTGTCTCAAAGGTTTTGAGTTACTAAAGTTCATGTTAAAAATAAACATGAATTAAAATGGATTATTCTATTAAGCAAACATCCCCTCTAATCATACAAAGATCATATATCTAATTCACAAACAATTAAGCCATAAAAAATCATCACACATCCACCACCTTTGATTGCCTATATTTGGTTTTTCGCAAAGTTGTGGACTCTTAAGGGTAAAGTTCATGGGTAGTCTGTTTCATAACTCTAGAGAGCACAGTAAGCAGCCACCAACCAGACACAGTAGGCGAATATGATTCTCAATTCACAATTTCTCACCACCGGAAGTAAGAACAGATCATAATAAGCGTAGCGTTCATGGGTGGTCTGTTTCATAGCACTACTACACAATTTGTTAAAAAGGAAAGAAAGGTATTTAGCATCACGGCGGAACAACTTTTACAGGCCAACAACGACAACATGCTGCAACCACCAGAATTGGTATCACAACTCATAGGGAAAGTCAAAAGATTTACTCTTAAATTAAGTAGTTACAACATCGAGCAATCGTCAAGCACATACACCATCACAAAAGTCACAGAACCTGATTCACAAAGCATTCAAACATTTGAGGACATTTCTGCAAAGATACAACTTATATGTCTTTTTTCCAAGCCATTTCCATCAACATGCTAATAAATTTGCAATGCATAAAACAAATGGGCCAAAACTTGAAATTCAACCTGTTTGACCGACCCATGCCAAATTCTAATTATTCTTTACTTTTAAACTTTCTATTTGAAAATAAAAAAATAGTGAAAGAAAAAAGACGACTACAATTCGCCATTTGCACATCACTTATTCGGGAATAAAACCATATAAATTCAAAAGGAACTAAAATGTTGAGGATCGTTTTAATGTTTAAAATAACCAAATAGATTTTTATGTTTAGTTTTTTACTAACAAATACCAAACGATTTCCTATAAAATACACTATAATTTGATAATTATGATGTCAAATAATTATAAAATATATATTTGAAATGATAAAAATTGGACTAATTGGGTTGGTCGAGGTTGAACCATTGAATAACTTTAAAATACATTATATTTTAGCCACTAAGATATAAAATAATAGCATAATATATATTATGCCAGAGAAAATAGCTTGTTTTAGAATGGCAAACCCATGATGTTCATTTGTTTTACTTGATGACCAAATCCCATGTAGGTCAGGCCCATTCAACTCTTTTATTTTATGGTTAGCGGTTAGCCCATTAGATACCATGCATTAGTCTATTGTTAAATTTTTTATTTTTAACAATAAAAAGGAGTATTATTTTTGCCTTTTCATATATATTTTATCACCACGGATAAATAAAAGGGTATGAAGAAAAAAATTGACACTCCTTGACTCGTTTAAATCCGCATGTGTACGGTAAGTTGGCCCGTTCCATAGAGGAAAGAGAAAAAATTGACACTCCCTATTTTACCCTTCCTACAAACGCTCATGGAACAGGGAATTTGAAATGGGGGAAGAGTTTTTTCCACCATGCTATTATATGTTTTTAATTTAAAAGGATACAACAAATGTACTTAGTGTGATTGGTTATGATCCTTGCCTTTCTTTAAAATGGTCATGGTTCGAATCCCAATACATACCTTTTAATGAATAAAAAAAAAGTAATTGTGAAGACCAAAATGTTCTTCCTACTTTCACTCTCGTTGCAGGAAATTTGAAATGGGGCTCCCGTTTTTCCCTTCGGTGTATTATATTATGTGTAGATAACTCTTCCCAACCCCATTAATTTATAGGCAAAATACACTTGTGTAGCCAAAACTTTGACGGTTTTGCCAAATATAGCCACTTTTGGCGAAATACCAAAAATAGCCACTTCTGTCCAATTCTTTGACGGTGTCAAGTAACAGGCTGACTGTACTAACGGCATTGCTGAGTTGGCGACCGTTAGTCAATTAAAAATGTGAGGTGGAAACTAAAAATAAATAAAATAAATAATTTTTATTTTCTCTCTCCATCTCTCTTCTTCCCCACTATCAAAATTTTATCTTTTTATTAATTAAGTCAAATAAAAAATCATAAAAAGGAAAAACCTTCTCCCCTTTTCTCGTATGCATCAACGAAGAAGAACCTTTCTTCTTCCCTAGAAATCCTTCTCCTCTCATCTCTATCTCCTTCTTTCTATCTTAAAAAATGTCCAGAGCAGAATCAGATATGAACCCGATTCTCAATCCACTCTTTGCATCGCGATCTCCCTAATCTGAATTTTCTGCTTACTAAATTGGGGGGTTCAACTGGTGGAGGAGAGGAAGGACGGGGGAGAAGCTCCGACGACGGTAGCGGCGGGTTGCGAAGTGAACTTGAAACCAGGTCAGAGATGGTGATGGCTCCCAGAACCGCAGCTCCACTGTCGATCGATGGTGATGGTGGCGATGGTGACGACGGCAAGGATTTGGGGATTAGGGATTCGGTGGCGATGGTGATGGCTCCCTGTTCCAGATTCGTCCCTTTGTCACCCAGGCCGTCCTACGGGTGCTACCGCTGCAATCGATTCGTCCGAGTGCGGAGTCAAGCACAGCAAGATGACAGCCCAGTTTCGTGCCCCCGATTGCGAAATCGGGTTTGTAGAGGAGATCGAGTATCCTCCGCAGATGAATCCGATGAAGACGTCCTCGCACTGTCGGAGCTTCGCGGCAGCTATGTATTTTGCCTCATTCTCTGCTTCTCCCTCTGTTCGCGACACCAGAGATGGAAGTCATTGCTGTCGGCTGCGGAATCGGTGCCACCGATCTGACCCATTCTCTGCTTCAATACGTGAATCGAAACCCAGAACCAGGGTTCCCAGCGGCGCTTCGTTCGAGCTTTGAGGAAGGACTGGATTCCAACTCTCTGTTTCCAGTTGTTGGCGGTTGTTATTGGAGAGAAGCAGACCGACAACAGAGTAGCAGATCTTAATAGATCTGGTATGGGGCGGAAATCCCGAATCCCTCGCCGGCCCGAGTCTTCTTGATCTCTGCTTATATTCCCCCCTTGTTTGTTAGAGACATGAGATCAACCTAATATGCATGTTTTCCTTCAATCGATCTGGATTCAGAGCACCAAATAGTTCAAGAGTTGGTGAAAGTGGACGAAGATGAAGACAAGAATCAAGTTGATGATGATGTGGGTTAAAGCTGGCGATGATTGTGTGGCAGGAAGTTCTTCGATTGTGAAGGGGATGAGAGGAAAAATCGATTTTTGTTTTGATTTTGGAAGCTTCAAAACCAGCGAGATTTGTAAAAGGGATCACCTGATTTGTTTTTATTTTTATTCAATTTTGTGATTAAATAAAATTATTCATTTTAATTTTTAATTAAAATAACACGTGGCGTCTAGTTGTCATCAACAGATGAGTTGTCGCTGACGTGTGTGATGATTTGGCATCCTAGTCAGCCTAATGTTAACCTAACTCACGGAGTTTCTAACCCCGTCAAAGTTTGTAACGGAAATGGCTATATTTGTCATGAAACTTTCAAAATTATGGCTATAAGTGGTATTTCTCCAAAATTGGCTATTATTGTCACAAACACGAAAGTTTTGGCTATACAAGTGTATTTTGCCTAATTTATATTTCCGTCAAACTAAGAGTGGTTTTGGTGGAGGGGTATTTTGGGTAACCACACGTGATTGCTCCCTTGAAAGTTGAAACAAACGTAGATGAATATTTAGGTGATGAAGCCAATAACTGCTCCACATTTTTAGCTAATTTCCTTTTCTTCATCGTCTCTCTCTCTCTCTCTCTTTCACGGTCTCACGATCCGGAACCCATTTCTTTGTTCTCTACCCTCGGCCCTCGCGATGTCTGCCTTCTCATCACCGTAGCCGTCCTCAGCGCCTCCCTCTCACGCGCCGCCGTCGTCTGCAACAACATCGCCTTCGTCGCCATCCGATGAATTGATGTTGCATGCGCCGCCTTTGTCACCGCTGATGTCATCTGCGTCGTCCTTGCCTTCGCCGCCCTCACCGGCATCGTCGTCGCTTAAATCTGCCTCCCCTATGTCGTTTGCATCCGCCTCGCCTACGTCGTTTGGACTATAGGTGGATTAACGTTCCGTATTGGAGGCATTTAAGTGTGTTTGAAATTTCAGATCTGGTATATGTCTTGTTTAATTACTATTTAGTCAGTTTTAGAGTAGTAGTGATTTTCAAAGGCTAGTAGTGTTTCATCAGATTTAGTAGTATTTTTTCACTCTATTGTAGTAGTGTTTTGCAATATTTTTGATTGAAATATTTATACGGTGTTCTTTATTATTATACGCAATAGTTGGGTTCTACAGGTCTATAGTGGTACTTTTTTATTGTTTGGGCATTTTCTTTGTATTGTTCTCTAATTTTTGCAGGACCTAGTAGTGTTTTTCATATCAATAATCATTTGTAGTGATTCTGTGAGTAGTAGGCTTTTGAACGTTGTAATAGTGTTCTTTAGATATATGGTTTTTGTGGTTTATAATTTTTGGGCATTATTTTGATAGTCTTCTCCAATTTTTACAGAAGCTTGTAGTGTTTTTCATATCTAGCATTAGTAGTGATTTTTATTTATTGAACATTAGTAGTGATTCTTATGTAGTGATTATGTTGCAAAAAGTCGCCGTAGTGGTTCTCGTTATGTATTAGTTGTGATTTGTGACTTTTGACAGTAATAATTTGTCTGGTTCTGCTAATTAATTATCAAAATCACTGCTAGTAAATCACAAAATCAATACTACATGCCTTAATTCTACTAATAAACCACTACAAATCTTGAAACAAAAGAATAATGACTTTGGACGCAAGACCAGTACCAACATTTAGTAATATTTTCAGAGGTAGTAATGTTTAATGATCTTAGTACAAAAACCACATTTTCATGAATCTAGTAACGGTTTACAGAGGTAGTAGTGTTTTCAGTGAATCATAAGATGATAGTGGCAAATGCCCATGTGTAGCTAATTGTAGAGCTAATAATATTCTTAGAGCCGGTCGTTTTCCATAAGAGAGAGAGAGAGAGACGTGATTGAGGAAAATGGGGAGAGATGTAATAGATGGAATTAAGCTATGTTTTTATTTTCCTAAAAAATAGCATTAACTTTCCTATTTTAAATTTTTATTGTTTCTCTAATTTGTCCTTTGTTAGCATGGTGCTAACCCTCTATGAGGTTAGCACCCAATCTTCTCCCATATACCGTATACTAATGATTACTTCTTAGGAGTTGTTTAGAGAATTGGAATCTAAATTACTAGGTTATAAATAATTCAAAAATTCGAACCTTCCAGATTGTTCAAATTTTATTTTAAAAGTTTGATTTTCGATAATTGTGATTGTTGACCTTTAATGAAAAACAATCGATAAATCAAGATATAGTCACTCTATATTTAATAGAGTTTTGATATATATTGGGTTAATACCACTACAACACCCGAACTATCCGGAAAATGGCACTTGTGTCCTATTGTTTCCAATATTCTATCTATGTCCTGAACTATTATTTCGTTAGTGTTGACCGGCGTTGACCGTTAGTATTTAACAGAAAATCCAATCAGCGTTGACGTGGAATTTTCATTATCAATTTTCATTTAATAAAAAATATAAAAATATAAAAAACTCCCAATCCCTTCTCTGCGTCTCCTCCCGCCATCTGGTGGAACCCTCTGCCGGAGCCCTGTCCGGGAAGTCGCCATCAACACCCAAATTTGGGACCTTAGTCGAATTCATGATGTGTGTGTGTGCGCGCGCGCGTGGGGTGGGGGGTGGGGGTGGGGGGGTCAAGCTGAGAGGACAAGAAAGGAGAATCGAAGGTCGGGGAGGGGAATCGTCGTTTTTGAAGCGACCAGGGGCATGATTCCAAGATCTCATCGCCGCAAAACTTCATCCCCACTCAGTGCTCATCGCCGTCGGCCTTCCTAACTCTCCTCCACCACCGCAACAACCTCCAGATCTGACGAGATCCTAACCCATGGATGGCGAAGCTCCTCCACTCCTCAAGCTCAGCGATTGGAGATCTGAATCTTCTGGTCCTGTTCAGAGGTTGGACGGCAACGAGGTTTCGGGACATAGGAGGGCGAAGCTTGTTGTGAAATGGAGAAGGGCGAGGGAGGCTGTCGATACTGGTGGAGATATGAGGGGATTCACCTCGTTCTCTCCCTCGCTCCTCATCCTTCTCTCCATCCCCAGTCAAGCAAACCCCACATCATCGCTACCTTCGACTTAGCAACAGCCGCATGTAAACCCAACCTCTAGTCCCCACGAACGCGCTCTGATTTCTTCTCAGACCGACGAGCCTTCCATCAACCTTCGTACTCCTAGATTTTGAAGGTTCGAGATGCGCCGCCGCCCTCTTTTGTGCTTCGACGGTTCCTGGCCACAATCCAGCCGCATCCACCTCGTCTCTTCCTTTCTTTCCCTCTTCCACATGGCGGTTCCCTCCTCACTTCCGTCATCGCTGCAGGAGCAGTCGGAAGTCGTCGAAGTATCGACGGGAAAGCACCAACCAAGCAGAGAAGAGAGAGACAATCGACGAAATCAATGGAGATTTTTTTTTTGAATTTTGGGGTTTTAGAATATTATATAGTAATATTCTTGAATTTAAAGTTTTTTCAATTTATTATTTTCAAAGTTTTATTTAATATAAGTTAAAAATGTGAGGTTTCAATGGCTTGGCACTGCCACGTCAGCAAAAGTCAATGTTACGTTGACCGTCGTTTAGTCAACTGTTATCTTTAACGGTTAACGAAATTGGCAGGATACAAATGACACAAAATATAATAATATAGGACATAAATGGAATATTGAAAAATATAAGATACAAGTCGGGTGTTGTAGTAGTATTAATCCATATATATTTGATAAAAAAAAGTAACAAAAAATATAATTTTTTGTTGAATATATGAAATTTATAAATTTATGTTTCAAATCTCATTCTGAAAATAGCTCCGGATCACAATTCATTAAGCAAATCAACTTTCTATGATTAATGGGAAAAATCATTAAATTATGGGGAATCTCTAATTAGAGTACCCACATATGAACTTTATACAATTTGTTACATGAATCCTTGCAACAATCAAGTTTTAACTATCTACACAATGCAATGCAATACAACACAAACTAATTTCTAACACCACATGCCAAACAATGTGCTTGCAACTAGCTTTTAGGATGTTAATGGATGGATTAGTGGAGGATTTTCCTAAACCATTACTTCACCATTTTGAAATATTCAAATTCACACCTGTTACATCAATACATGAATCCATAGATTTAGGGCGTGGATTCATTGAATCCATAGATTTTGTAGAAAGTTATGTTTTTTTTTGTTGTTTTTTGTATTGTGGATTTGAGCTTTAGAGATTTCAAATCTCTAAAATCTACTGATATCAAATCTCTCATAATCAGAGAGATTCTATATCTTGATTCGTAAGATTTTTTTCCTCAAACTTTTTCTCTTTGTTTTATTTATTTATCATATTAAATATATTTATCAACAAAGATTTTAATATTTCTCGAACCACTCTAATTTTTTATTAAGGATAAACACGTTATTTAATATAAAAATAATTTTGTTTATTTTCATTGAATGTTAACAATCACAGTTACCAAACAATAAACATTTTAAAATCTATTTTCAACAATCCAAAGAGTTAGAATCTTTAGATTGTTGACAATCTATAGATTTAAACTCATATTCTCCAAACGACCCCGAAAGGTTTTGCATCTCCATCTCTATACCCACGATTTTCGGGTACTCGTATCGTACATCCAACTACTATATTTAAAATTCAACATGTAAGTTTTTAATTATAACATACAAACATAATAAATAATAAAATCAATCAAGATACAACCATTTTGATATAAATTAATCGCATACATCCATTAATAATAAGAAAATGTGCAATATTATCCAAAATTTTCATGTACAACTCCGACACATTTTGACATAACAATCTTGTTAAAAGGGAGGGAGTGAGTGAAGAGAGAATTGAGGGGGAATTGAGGGGGAAACTAAAGTTTTGTTTAGGTGAATGGTGATTACTCAATTACATTTTAACTCTTTATTCTAAATATTAACCAACTTTCTTTTAATTGATAAGTTATAATTTGATCTCTATTCTTTTAAATATATAAAGGAATAATTGTGGTGGGACCGAGAGAGTCTAAAATCATACCCGTCTCATCCCTTAAAAAAAATTATTAGTTTTACTCATTCCCAGTCAACGTAGAGATTCTCCATATTATCCGCAATCGTGGATTTGATTGTCATCCCGCTTCTACCGAAACAAGCAAGCTCAAAGGTTCTCCAAATCTTCCAAATAACTCCCCTGACTACAAACCCTGTACTCCATGTAAGAGTTGGTTTATCGAGAAATTTCTCTCAGAGGATTGTACTTGAGCTGGGGAAGAACTTTAAACTTGGATTGGAAGTTAACTTGCATTTATTGGATCCAGTCACTTCTCATCGATGCAGCTTGATCATCTTCACGTTCTTTCCCGGATCATCACACGGCTGATGCAACCAGCAGATAAAATCTATGGACAAGAACCACGAGAGAGGAAAGTCGCCATCATAGACAGTTGGACACAGCTTGATGAAGTCGATGAAGAAAATGACAGCAATTTCACACAAGAAAACAACACTTTCATGCATGAGCGAGCGAGAAGTTACATCAGATTTACAGAACTGCAGTAGCATGAAACGCGCCCTTGACCAGCAGCATCCAGAGTGACCTCAATCTAGTAACCATCGGGTTAGGATTATGAAGGCGTTATGGTGGTCTAATGCAGGGTTCCCCCTTATTCGGCAATTTCCCCCTCTTCCAACTCTTCAGGGTTCATATTGAACCTTAGAAAATCATCTCCACCGTTACCTCCCATATCCATGGGCAAATCACCTTCAAAATCAAGAAAGTCATCGGTGTTGATCTCTATTATATCTGAATACTTATCTATCAGGCTCTGGTCAAAATCGAAATCCATGTCATCAAATATTCCACATGGAGTGTCCTTCAAGCAAGAGAGCAAATTGTTTCCCGACAACGAATTCTCCTCAGCTGGATTATCTGTGGCTTTCTGAGCCGGCTCTTGGTACCCTGGATTCTTAACTTCGCCCTGTGCAAGAAGATCATAAACCTGAGTATCACCTGAAGGACCATTTTCTTCTTCTTCTTCTTCTTCTTCTTCTTCTTCAATGATTTCCTCCTCACGGAAGGGAACACCATTCGGGATCATCAATTGATCATCATTGCTCACACGATTCTTAGCTTCCGGCCTACGCGCCACCGGAAGCAAGTCTTCTACAACTTCAAAATCACAACTTTGAGAAGGGAGAAGAACGTAGATGACAGGGTACTCCAACACACTTAGATTCCCTAATTGCTGCTTTAAAGGGGCCTTTATATCCAGCTCCCGAAAAGGTGATTTCCCCTGTAAGTCAAAATGAGAGCATAAGGCTTCAGAAACTCGCGGGAGGCATTGTGATTCTAAAGATGCAACCTTTCTTTGTAAACATATACATACCTTTGGATATTTGCGTATGAAGCACTTGAGAGATTCCAAACCCGCTTCACAGAACTGCTTTAACTTATGCTTCCATGGTCCTGGGCTCAGATGCTTCTGAATCTCAGAGCAAATTGACGAGTTTTCATTTACGCTGCAATGGGAAACAAGTACCGAGGGTTTTCATATGCATCATAGTGAAGCCACCATGGAAAAGTACAACAAAAGACCTTGAGAGTAAATAAAAAGGATTATACAGACAAATTCAATACGGCTTACCCATGGTCAACTAGAACAACATCAGTTGAGCGAAACCTCCATTCTATGGTCCAGAAGATCGACTTCTTCCTGAAATATGTCATGCAAAGGTAGTCAGAATATGTGTAATCGTTCACAAACAGAACATATTACATACGCTCATAAGGAATCAGCAGACTCACAAAGAACAGTTCTTTGAAAACAGCCGTTACCTGCGGTCATAGCGAGTTTGGTTCTTCTCCCTCCTTGACATTCCACTAGGGAGAAGAAGGAGGTTTGTTCTGCGACTTGATGCCGCACGCTTCAGGCTTTGAAGGTGAATGGGCAGCCGAAATTGAGGGTAAGCACGCAATTGAACTCTCATCCTTGCACCTGAATCAACCACTCTCTTCGCTTCCTCGAGAAAGTTATAATCTACGAGCCACATAGTCAACATTCAGGCCGAATCAAAACTTGGCAGAAAGCAATGAACTTTTCATTCAAAGCTAGCAAATTCAAGTTCCCATTGTGAGAAAAGGTGTGAAGTGGGAAGAATTGAGTACCAGAAAGAAGGGTTTTGTCGTCGAACTGAGACATGGGAACGAAAGGGGCGACGTCTCGCTTGCCGGAGCAGCCAGTCCGGTGCTTGTGTGATTTGACGCAAGGGAGGCTGCAGGTCCGGAGAGAGCAGCCGGGGCATTTGTATTTCGCCGCCTTCTCTTTGCATTCTACGCATAGTACTACCGTTGTGCGTTGAGCTTCTTGGCAGAAATTCTGATTCGGGTTCGGCTCCGTTGGAGCGCGAAGCTCTGGCGACGGCTGCTGCTGCCGCCGCGGCTCCTCCATTGGTAGACTTGAAAAAGAGGGAAAGAAACAGAATGAGGGTTTTAAGTCGGCGGGATGAATTGAATTTCTTCCAGGGTTTTGTTCCGTGAGGAGGGCGAAGATGACGTGTCATTTACATCCCACTGCCACTACCAGAACGCTGAACAGAACGGTGTCGTTCGCCTCCCTATTGCCGTGGCCCATGCAGACAGTACTAGTAGTAGCCCAGCAGGTTAGTTGGGCCTTCGATCTGTTACGCTACGGGCCACGTTTGGCTTTTAAGGTAGTTTGTTTGTTGGATTTGAAAAATAAAGATTTTGGTAACAAAAACCTTGGGATTCATGATAGATTTAGGGGTCGTTTGGATCCCAAAATGTGGGCAGGGATTCGGCCCAAATCCTGGCCCGTCCAGGAATTTAACCCATTCTCCTGTTTGGATAGCTAAAAAAAAGGGGCGGGATTTGGGCCACCAGGTTTTTGAAATTCGACCCAGCCCGGAATTAAAAATAGCTGCTAGCCACCAAGTATTTTAAAATCCGGCCCCGATTTTTTTGTTTCTTCCCAGTTTGTCCCTGCGTGGCTGCGAGAGAGACGACCGACGACGATGTGTCCCTGTGTGGCTGCGTCCCAACGTGCCCAGAGCCAATCTCGCCGGAGTTAGACGCAAGAGAGACGACTAACGACGTGAGAGAGGCGACCACCACCACATCCTCGTGCACCGCCGCCCCCGACTCATCTCCTTTCTCATCTTCCTTCGCCGCACTCCGCTTTCTTCCCCTGCGCCGGTCAGCGAAGAATTCAGATCTGGAACCTGAATTTATATCTTCTTCATGAGCCGACGAGAGGGTTCTTCGAGCAATTCATCTACCTCCAAAGATTGGTCTACTTCCAGCCGGCGGGAGGGTTCTTCGAGGCATGCGGCAAGCTCCGGCTAGAGAAGGAATCAATTTGGGTTTGGGGTTCTTCGAGGCTTGCAAATCAACATGCAATAGGTTTGGGCTCTGGGTTCAACGAAATCAGCGTTAAGATTGAGGGGCGAAAAGAGGAAATAGCTAGAGAGATGCGATTGACGGATTCAGCAAGCTGCCGTTGAGAGGAGCAACAGTGGGAAGGTAGAAGAAAAAGATGGGTTAGGGAAGAATATTTGGGTTGTTGTCTGCAAAGAAGAGTAGCAATTAGCAAAGGGCAGAGTTGTATTTTGGCATCTGCCATAAAAGGTTAAATTGTTGTTTAAGAAATCTCGGGCCCGTAAACAAACAAACAAATTGTTAAAATCTTGCACTTTAAATACCCGTGTTTTATAATGAGGAAATTGGATCCCAAATTCCTCACATCATAATTCTAGATCCAAACGACCCCTTATTGTATTCTGGATTGAAAAGTCTAGTGTTTGAGTTTAAAAAAAAGTCTAGTGTTTGCATGATAGATTTAATAATATATTTATGATGGATTTTTCACATAAGTAACTAACCATTATGAATTTACAAATCCCAAACAAGTATGTGGGATTTACAAGTCCGTAGGATCCACGGGTTTGATCTCAAATTAAAGAACAAATCTGTGGACTTCACGGACTTGGCACCCATCAACAAACAATGAAATTGTGTTAAATCCATCAAGTTTGTGATTTGGGTACCAAATCCATGATCCAAATCCAACAAGCAAACTACCCCTTAATGTTCTTCCGAAGAATAGGTATAGTTAGTGTTAGGAATTCTCTACACCACTGTTGGTGTAGTGTGACAATTAATAGACCGCCAAACTAGATTGCTGGAGCTATATAGTGTCGCTTTCCGTGTCTGTTAGCTAATAATAATATGTCATCTTCAACATAAAGCGGCCTATTTCACAATCTATACATTGTCCTCTATCTCGCTCGACTCAAGTGAAGCAGGGCTTGTGACGCGAGACAAGTCGGTAAGAAGCACTCCAAGAAATACATTTTTCACTTTCCATTCAATACGAATTCCGCCATTGGACAATCCAAATTTGACTGCAGAGGATTGGTTTCAAGGGTCGTTAGAGTTTCATCATCATTGAGCCATCAATCTAACTATAACATTTTTTGTCGACCTCCCCAAACCATCCAACAGGTGCCTATCAAATTGGATATTAGAAATTGGTAAAGGAATCCGCAGAATTTCTTGCGACTCAAATGTTTGGCATATGTACTCTGTCTTTACTTCTCAACGAAGGAGAAGAAAGTTACAAACGATAACAAACTGAAAAAGACCTATCTACCAATTAGAAGTAAACACGTATATATGTACAGTAAAAATGGAAAACTGACTCCACAGTATTTAAGATGATACCATTCTCTACTCAGCCCATCTGTTGCTTCTGAGGGAGAAACGTCGTTGTCCTATAAACTCTATAGTGCTGAAGTCGATGGAATCATCTCAATACCCTCCCTCAAGCTGATGCATACAAGTTCTGTATGTTTAGCTTGGATAACAAGCAATCGAGTCTAAAGAGGTTGAGTCCCTTCATGAACAAGTCAGTTATTTGATTCTTAGTTTCAAGGTGACCTAGCCCTATTAGTTTCGATTGGAGGAATTGTCTAACCAAATGACAGTCGATCTCTATATGTTTTGTTTTCTCGTGGAATACTGGATTTTCTACAATATAAATTGCAGATCGACTGTCACAGAAGAGATTCACAGGTTGAGGATGTTCTATACCGAGTTCCAGTGACAATCTCTTAACCCAAACCGCTACACAGGTTAGTTGAGCTAGAGCTCTATACTCAGCCTCGGATGATGATCTGGAAGCAATACTTTGTTTCTTGGATCTAAATGATCAAAGAAGAACCAAAAGTGATGCAATATCCATTTGTGGGTCTTCTTGTATCAGGGCAAGATGCCCAATCCCAATCACTATAACCCCCTAACTTCAAATCAGAAGATGATGGATAGAAAAGATCATGACGTGGAGCATTTTACTGAAACTTGAGGATCCTGTATGCAATTTGCAAATGTGTGGTTGTAGCGGCTGCTTGATACTGGCATAACTGTTGTACAACAAAGGTTATCTTAGGTCGAGTAATGGTTAGGTAGTGTAACCTACCAACTATCTTTCTGAAAAGCGTGGGATCTTCCATAAGAGGACCATTATCTGCAGAAAGTCTGGTTTCATGTTAATTGGTGTGAAAACTGGTTTAGAATATGTAAATCCAGTGTATGTCAATAGATCAGTGCAATATTTCTTCTGACATATGTGCAAACCCTCCATGGATCCACCCATTTCCAGTCCTAGAAAATAATAGAGATGACCCAGATCTCTCAACTTGAACTGAGAACTAAGATGAGTCTTCAACGCCAGCATACTAGATGTATCATCACCAGCAATGATGATATCGTCAACATTCACCACGAGAATGGAAATACCAAAGGGAGAGTGATTTGTAAACATGGAGTGATCATTCTGAGATTGCACATAACCAAAGTTGAGTAGCACATAAGTAAGCTTAGCAAACCATTGGCAAGATGCTTGTTTTAAACCATAGAGAGAATTCAGGTGGTAGTTCCATGTACACAGCCAAAGAGTCTCAACTGAATTCAATTTTGCAACTGGAGAATAAGTATCTAGGAAATATATTCCATATATTTGTGTGAATCCTTTAGCCACCAACCTAGCTTTATGCCTCTCAATATCACCATTAGCATGGAATTTAATAGCATATACTCATTTGTTCCCCATCTCCCTCTTATTAAGTGGTCCAGGGACAATGCCCCAAGTTCTATTAGCTTCATAAGCCCCAATCTCCACATCCATAGCTTTCCTCCAACATTCATCCTTCACGGATTCTTCAAAGCATGTTGGAAGTGCCACTGAATCTATTGCCATCGCATACTTCTTATAACCTAGTGACAGTTGATCATATGACAAGCAAGCAACCATAGGATACAAAGTCTTGTTATGTGTGTTTCCTGGATGCATGACATAATCATTAAATCACAACGTCTGGATGGTTTTCTGATGGCAATGGGTAAGCTGGTGTTTTGTGGAGATGGAGGTTCTGGGATAGGAGATCCTATCTAATTTGAGGAAGAAGAAGAAGGAGAAGAATCCGGAGATAGAGGTTGAGGAGAAGTAGGTACTGGACTTTCAGGTGTAGGAGAAGAAGTGTTGGGATTTGGTAAGGGTTCTGGATCAAGAGGAGATGACTGAGTCGGGAATGGTTCTGTGGTAGGAGAAATGAAGGTATAAGGTACTTGAGATGTGGAGGTACATGGAGGACTGGAATCAGTAGATAAGCAAGGAATGATGTTTTCACGAAACACCACATCCCTAGAGAAAAAGACATTTTGTCCTTGCAAATCAAACAATTTGTACCCCTTTACTCCTGGTGGAAACCCCATGAAAATACATGGTTTAGCTCTAGGAGAGAATTTTGTTTTGTTGTGGCTAAGAGTTCTAGCATAACACAGCCACCCAAACACTTTCAAATTTGATACATCAGGTGGATGGCCATATTGGATTTCATAGGGAGTTTTGTTTTCTTGATGTTTTCTCTCCACACGAGCATTCTGTTGTGGTGTTTCAACACATGACATTCGGTGAGTTATTCCAAACTTTAAATAGAAATCAGGCATGTGAAACTCCCCCTGACCAGACCTTACTGTTTTAACAGTCTTTTCAAAATGTGTTTTGACCGTCACACAAAAATCTTTTAACAATTTTCTGGCTTCATATCTAAACTTCATAAGGTAAGTCCACACACATCTAGACTTGTCATCTACAATGGTAGGGAAATAATGGAAACCATTGTAACTGGAAACTGCTAAAGGGCCTCAAATATCAACATGGATAAGCGCTAAAACATAAGTGATATCTATACTAGGTACAACTTTCCTTAGTGCTTTAACTCTAACATCAAAAGGATGTCCAAGTCGCCAATGCCAAAGATCAAATGATTGTGGTGTAAGGTTGTGAGTCTTGAGAGATGATAAACCGTTAGTTACACATGTTTTTACCCCTATTCTGGAGCCGTTTGAGGTGTTGATTCTTGTGTTTTAGGCCGATTTCATGCTAGGTTGTGCTTGTTTGTGATATTTCAGGTCCTAGGTCGTGAATGAAGGTTTGGGAGCGAGTTCGGGGTCGATTGGACGAAGATCGGACGCGTGGCGAGTCGCTGAGAAAGCCACACGGGCACAAATAAAACCCACACGGCCGTGTGAAGGAGCAATGTGGCCGTGTGGGATTATGCGAGGCTTCACACGGGCAGACTGGGTGAGTCACACGGCCGTGTGTCCCTGGCCGTGTAGGTAGCCTGAAGTGCAAATATTTGGAACGCGACGTTTTGTATCTCACACTGGCATCTGGGTATGCCACACGGCCGTGTGGCCTGCCCGTGTGATCGGGATTTTCTGGTTTTTACCCAATTTCGGGCCACAAGTGAGAAAATCGATTTGGGAGAGCAAAAACAGAGCCCTAGAGAGAGAAAGTGCGAAGAACACATCCTAGAAGCAATCTTGGAGCTGGGTTTCATCAAATCGAGCTTGGAGATCGTCAAAGGAGTGGAAATCATCATCCCAGAGCAGATTCTTCCCATTGTTATGAGTATGACTGCTTTGTATTCTGTTTTCCTCTCTCTCTCTCTCTATGGAGTAGAACCCTTCTCTCACTTCGGTATGAAGAACCCTAGTTCCATGTGTTAGGGATTTGATTGTAATGACTTGGGATGATTATACTGTTTGGTTTTAATCGAATGATGCATGTTTTATTGAATTGATTGAAGTCTGATCAGCTTTCCTTGATTTCTGCTGCAACCTGAGATAGATACAATCTGATTAGGTTGTTAGAGCCTCTTCATTCGGTAGTAGGAGATTGGCTATACGAGAGTTAGCCAGTTTACTGGTTTGTACTGGAATCCAATTCCAATAGTGGAGTTCTGTGCTTATTGCTTCAGCTTTCTATCCCGGTGAAGACTAGTCGTCTGCCGGGTAGTTAGACTGAGAGGGCTTGGTCAGCTTAAGAGATTCCAAGCTACTGTCGGATCTTCCGCAGTCTAATCAATAGTAAATCAACCCAGGGTAATTACAATTGAGACCTAACTAAGGAGCTAGGGGGACTCATTCCCGAGTGACTCTTCTTTGCTTGAGAAAACCGAACCAATTCCTGCTTTCTTACTGCTTTTGCTTAAAACAACAATCACTTGACTTAGTTGGCTAGATAATAGATAATCACGGAGTAAGCAGTAGATCTAGACCCCGGGTTGATAATAGAACTTGCCACTTTACTGCATTCCCGGACTGCGATTACACTTGGTCGCAGTTTGGTGTTGTGTTTTAGCGTGTCAAGTTTTTGGCGCCGTTGCCGGGGATCCTCTAGGTTATTGGGGAAACGTGAAAATTTGTTACTCTAGCTTTTTCCTTACTGCATTTTATCTCTTCCACCTGTGTGCCTTCACGGGTTGTTTCTGCTGATTGTGTGCAGGTAGTGCATGACCCGTAGCCAGTCGGGAGATCTACTACCATTAGACCAGGAGCTTGAACGAACCTGCAGGAACTTCAAGCGGGCTCTAAAGGCGCGACTAGCTGCAGAGGAGGAGCTAGCACAGCTGCAGATTGCTGAAGAAGAAGAGATGGGGGATCCACAGGACCATGATGTGGTCCTTCCCGAGGAGCAGACCATGGGATACTACTGGACCGCCAGGGCTGCGGACATGAGGTCACCCATTCAACACCCTCATGTCCCAGCCAACAATTTTGAGGTGAGAACCTCCGTCATCACCATGCTGCGCGGTTCAGTGGTGTTCCGTGGCAAAGAGGGGGAGTGCCCCCGATCACATCTCAGGCGATTCCACGAGCTCATCGATGGAATCAAGATAAATGGGGTCCCAGCAGATGCCATCCAGCTGAGGTACTTCCCATTCACCCTGGAGGGGCAGGTCAAGGAGTGGCTAGACACTCGACCTCCGGGCTCTATCACCACGTTCGCCAATCTGGCGGACAAGTTCCTCACCCGCTACCATCCTCCATCCAAGACGGCGGAACTGCAGAAGCAAATTACCCATTTTGCTTAGGATGAAGATGAGACCATCCGGGACGCATGGGAGAGATACAACAGTCTCTTCCTGAGGTGTCCCAATCATGGTTTCAACGATGCTTTCAAGGTGGGCACCTTCTATCACGCCCTCTTCCCAGAAGACAAGCAACTGATTGACTCGGTTTGTGGCGGGAACATGCTGACCAAAACACCGCCACAACTGAATCAACTCTTTGAGGAGATGGCAGAGAACGGGTATGATTGGGGAACTGCAAGGAGATCAAGACGAGCACCAGGGCGGGGTGTGCATTCTGTAGCCACCCAGTCATCTGATTTGGTGCAGGTGGTATTGAAACTGGTGTCAGCCATCGATCGCTCTGGGATGATTCCAGGGATCGGACAGCAGCAGGCGATGCTCTGCCAGTGGTGCGAGAGCACCCATCACATGGTGGAAGACTGCCAGGAGATGAAGGAATCGACCACACCCCAGGAGCAGGTGAACTTCATTTATAATGTTAGGCGAAATGACCCGTACAGTAACACTTACAACGAGGGGTGGCGCCAACATCCCAACTTCTCATGGGGTGGGGCAAATTCCAGACCACCAGTCCCCCAGGGACCACCTGGCTTCCAGAGGCCTCCGTACCAGCCTAGACAGGGGCAATTCCAGCAGCAACAGCACCAGTCTCTCTACCAGCCCATGTAGGGGCATGCTGCTCAATCACAGCCGCGACCTTTCCAGCATCCAGGTGCAGGCCCTGCCACCCCAGTGCAGAATGATCCGATGGCTGAACTGCCGGACTTGGTGGGTTCTCTTGCCAGTTCTAGTGCTCAGAAATTCAACACTATCGAGCAGTTCATGCAAAAGGCCTCAGGTAAATTCCTGGCTCTTGAAGCTGGCCAGAGGAACACACAGGCTGTCTTGCAGGATATCCAAACCCAGCTGGGGAGCGTGGCTCAAGCAGTGGCGCAAAGGGCTCCAGGTACCTTGTCAGGTGATACCATTCCCAATCCGAAGGACCCGAATGCCCACTATAATGCTATCACAACCAGGAGTGGCAAGATGACTGCTGATCCACCTGTTCGGGCACTAGAGAGAGATGCCCCTGCCTCGGCATCTCCAGCGGCTGAAGAAGAAGCGGAGCAGGAGGTTGAGGTGCCTACGCCTAAACCGCAACCAGTAGTGAAGGAGTATATCCCTCAACTCCCCTTCCCTACTCGGTTGCACAAAGACGGGCTGGAGGCAGAGTTCGGGAACTTCATGTTCATGCTTAGGAAGCTGAATGTCCAAGTACCTTTCTTGGAGGCACTATCTCAAATGCCTAAGTATGCGAAGTTCCTGAAAGATCTTCTCTCAAAGAAGCAGAAGTTGAGCGAGCTGGCCACTGTGGAGCTCAGCGAGGAGTGCTCTGCCATTCTACAGAACAAGCTTTCGCAGAAGCAGAAGGACCCAGGTAGTTTTACTATCCCTTGCTCTATAGATAAATTGCATGTAGAGAGGTCCTTGGAGGATCTAGGTGCTAGTATCAATGTTATGCCGTATAAATTGTTCCAGAAACTAGGCCTAGGTGAACCTCGTGCTACTAGAATGAGCCTTCAATTAGCTGACCGATCTATAGTTCATCCTAGGGGCATAGTGGAAGACCTTCTGGTTAAGGTTGGCAAATTCTTTTATCCTGTGGATTTTGTTGTCTTGGACATCAATGAGGACACAGAAGTGCCCCTTATACTGGGAAAGCCTTTCCTAGCCACCGCCAAGGCTCTCATAGATGTGCATGACGGGACCTTAGTCTTGAGGGATGGCGAGGAGCGAATAACATTTTCAATTGCTAATACTCTCCCTGCTTCTTCGCCTTTGCATGCTGTTTCTCACCAGGAGCACGAGTCTGTCGTGTATCCTTTTGTGCTTTCCACTTTGCAGGATCCCCCTCCCATATCTTCGCCGCCACTTCCATCCACTCCATTATCAGACAAAATCAGGGAGGAGTGGCGGCCGAAGCTGCAGGTAGCAGAGCCTGCTCGCAAGAAAACCGGAGACCACTATGAGCTGGTCCCGCCTCCTGAACCTCGACCACCTTGGCCATCCGAGTATTCACTCGCTTGCATCCTGCCGGATGGCCAAGTCGAGTTGGCGAATGCTGGTGGCCACATTCGTCGGGTGCATGGCCACCATCTGAAGTTGTACCTAAAGAGCGAGGTGGATCCGCTCTTGAAGGCACCCGCGCCTACACCTCTCTGAGGATCCACCTACTGGCGTCCAGCTAAAAGACGCTAAAGAAGCGCTTGTGGGGAGGCAACCCACCTAGGTTTGCATTTTCTTACCTTTTTCATTTTGATTTTTTGTGTTTTTGAGTCTTGAGGTGTTGTTCACGAGTCGTATGTCGTTTTTGAGTGAAAACAGGTCAATTTCGGAGTTCTGGCAGCCCACACGGCCAGCCCTGAAAGTCACACTGCCGTGTGGAAAAGGGTTTTGGCCGTGTGGAATCCCTGGACTTTTCACACGGGCAAGAGGGGTCCCTCACACGGCCGTGTGGATTTGGCCCCTGCCCGTGTGAGCTCTCGACATTTTCCACACGGCCGTGTGGAATTCCTCGGCCTGCCCGTGTCGGCCGACACGGCCGAGTGGTAAAAAATTCATGCATTCATGAATGACATCGATCTGGACAACCTTGGCGACGAGTAGGCTGTACTCGTCGCCCCTTAGTGTGTGTTTTTGTTTTAGACTTTTTATGTTTGCTCCATGTGTTTGCGGAGCTTGAACTGAGTCTGTCGTTTGTTTTTGTCCTTTTGGTTTTCTTTTGTGGATTGTTTATTTTGTGGCCATCTGGGCCAACTCTGATCCCTAACGCAAGGTGTGCTAGTGTGTTCTTGATGTTCCTTTAGTGCGGAAATGCCCGTTCATTCCATAAGTCCCCCGCTGACTGGTCCACTTCCAGTCTTCTGCAGTATTTCAATCCGGTAACATTGTTCCCCTTATCTCTCCCTCTGCTCCATTGAGGGCAATGTCGTGCTTAAGTGTGGGGGGGGGGGGGGGGGTGCTTTGTATCGGTTGGAATTTATATGCGTGTGCTTGGAGCCTAGTCCGCTGTCCAAATCTCAAGATTTGAGGGCTCCAAGTACGGCTGTTTGATCATATTGGCACTGTGTTTGGATTGGTGAATCGAATGGTTTTCGGATTAATGCATGACAACTGGATGGTGACTAGGACAACCTATAATGATGACTGAGACGTGCAATAGAGTTGTGTAGGGGTTCAATTTTTCAACTGTTTGCTTACCAACTATGACTTGGATTGATTACTTGTTCTTGACAGTCGTTTATGCATCTAGTTCAGGGGATCAGAATAAGAGATAGAGCATATAGGCAGCCATGTGAGATTTGAGCCTGCTCGTTTCTTTCTTGTGCGATAGATCCCTCTTCCATGATGTGTAGCATTCACGTTGTCATTAGCTAAGATGATGGAGGCATAGGATTAGCCCACGACCAAATTGACTGTCCTGGTGTGTCATACCCCCTAGTCAGCCCCTTTGAGTCGTGTGTTCTCCTTTCTTTCGGTCTGCAATAAAAATCACCCTTTTGCATCTTTTAGAAGGTTTCACAGAGTGATTTTTACACGTTCTCTGCTGTTTCTGCTAAAATGTAATGTGAGAGTTGGAGGTAGTTCTTAAAAAGTTGGGCAGGTGTTTGAAAATGTGCAGAGGTGGTGGTTCTCTTTAGAAATGGAAAAAATGAAAGAAAAACAAAGAAAAAATGAAAGCAAAAGAGAGCCACCACAAAAAATGTGAATAGTGCCCATTAAGTAGTGTTTCTTAGCAGTCTGGCTTAGAAATACTAGCATTTATGTGACCTCCTTCGCTCTTGTGCTCTGAAGAATTTGAGTAATGCAGAATAGCAGAAAGAAAGTACTGGTTTGATTGACTGTGAGTTTGTTGGGTTTGGAAATGTGGAACCTTGTGCTATGAATACTCCCACCACCTAAAAGGCCTTTTCCCCATGTCCAAGACCCTAGCCAGTCACTTGAACCTGTGTCTAAGACCTCCGGATTAGTTAGTGATGACAACCATTTATGTGAACTCTAACATTTAGAGGTTGCCGTCATGGTGAAGAGATGTTAGGAATTGAGAGAATAAGTATGCGCATTTTTTGCATCAAATTGTCCTGACCCCACTGGTCGAGAGTGAGCGATTCATTTCCTTGTTCTTTACACTCTTTACCCCGGTGAGGAACTAGATGGCTCGGTCTTGATTCTGATTTCTTGAGTTTGATGCATGAGTTGACTGTCTTGAGTAAGTGGTTGAGTCAAGTCTAGGTTGGTTGATGAAAAAAGGGAGACTCCTCCTTTACTCGATTTTGTTGCACTCGAATGTCTTCTGTGGTGGTTGTCCAGGTTGCTATTGAGGTTGTTCATGTGTTGATGTTTGAAAGCCAGTATAATTCACGTGTTCTGTGCCTATATGATTTGTCCCCAATGTTGGTATGATTGAAATATGTGAGCTTACCTTGTGTCTGACTTGGTTTGCTTGGGGACAAGCAAACGGTTAAGTGTGGGGGAGTTTGATAAACCGTTAATTACACATGTTTTTACCCCTATTCTGGAGCCGTTTGAGGTGTTGATTCTCGTGTTTTAGGCCGATTTCACGCTAGGTTGTGCTTGTTTGTGATATTTCAGGTCCTAGTACATGAATGAAGGTTTGGGAGCGAGTTCGGGGTCGATTGGACGAAGATCGGACGTGTGGCGAGTCGCTGAGAAAGCCACACGGGTACAAATAAAACCCACACGGCATTTTGTATCTCACATGGGCATCTGGGTATGCCACACGGCCGTGTGGCCTGCCCGTGTGATCGGGATTTTATGGTTTTTACCCAATTTCGGGCCACAAGTGAGAGAATCGATTTGGGAGAGCAAAAACAGAGCCCTAGAGAGAGAAAGTGTGAAGAACACATCTTAGAAGCAATCTTGGAGCTAGGTTTCATCAAATCGAGCTTGGAGTTCGTCATAGGAGTGGAAATCATCATCCCAGAGCAGATTCTTCCCATTGTTATGAGTATGACTGCTTTGTATTCTGTTTTCCTCTCTCTCTCTCTCTCTCTCTCTCTCTCTCTATGGAGTAGAACCCTTCTCTCACTTGGGTATGAAGAACCCTAGTTCCATGTGTTAGGGATTTGATTGTAATGACTTGGGATGATTATACTGTTTGGTTTTAATCGAACGATGCATGTTTTATTGAATTGATTGAAGTCTGATCAGCTTTCCTTGATTTGCTGCAACCTGGGATAGATAGAATCTGATTAGGTTGTTAGAGCCTCTTCATTCGGTAGTAGGAGATTGGCTATACGAGAGTTAGCCAGCTTGGTTTCTGGTTTAGACATGATTTCTCCTCCAGTATTGTCTTTTCCTTGGATTTGTCCTGCAAAACCATAAGATGACCCATTCTCTTTGTTCTTCCTCTTTAGCTTTTAACAATCAGCAATCACATGGTTGTCTTTCTTGCAATATCGACAAAACAAAGGACCACCCTAAACACCCATAGCCGCCTCTTTTCCCTTTGACTGGTTTCCAACCATTAATGCAACAGATTCCACTTGAGAGTCTTGGCTTGGTCTTCCAAACTACCTTTCATCCTGAATTGCATAATGGAAAGCAGTTTCTATGGGCGGCATACGACTCATTCAATCCAATAATAAATCTAGTCACGAATTCATTCTCACGATACTTCCTAACAGTAGTCTTAGTAATACAAGTGACATCTCTATTTCCCTTATCTCCTCCACACATCCAATTAGGGATTGGCAGAAATTGGGTCAGCTCTTCCTAATGCCCTTTCAACTCAGAATAAAATTGAGTTACCGACTTGTTATCTTGTTTCAAGGTGTAAATAGATATATGTAGGTCACTGATACGGATGTTGTCTGCTTTTCCATACCTCTGGCTCATATCATCCTAGAGAAGTTTAGCATTGTCATGGGAGGACACGCTATTCACCAAGCTGGGATCCAGGGACGCAAGAATCATGAAATAGACAACCGTGTTGCTTTGTTCCCATGCTTGATAGCTCTCATGTCCAAGATTTGGAACAGGAATCGATCTAATAATGAAACTAAGCTTGTTCTTGCTCTTCAGTTCAACTCTCACCGTTATACTCCACATATTGTAGTTGGTGGTATCTGAAAGCTTGATTGTAAAGTTTAGAGATTCATTAGGGTTTATGTAGAAGGGATTTGTGACAATGTTGGTAGAAGTCATATCTACTGTAGAGCTAGACGACCTAGTACGCAGCTTCAGTTGCCATTGTTGTAGGAACGAAGGTTTAATGCGGAAGAAAATGAAAGAAGAAAAATGTGATTCTAGTGGGAATGAAACCCTAGAAAATGGAACCAGGCTCTGATACCATATGAAATTGGATATCATAAATTGGTAAAGGAACCCTGGAACCCACAGGCTTCCTTGTGTCTCAAAGGCCTGACATATATACTCTGTCTTTACTTCTCAACGAAGGAGAAGAAAGTTACAAACGGTAACAAAGTGAAAAATACATATCTACTAATCAGAAGTAAACACGTATATATGTACAGTAAAAATGGATAACTGACTCCAGACAATCTAAGACGACATCATTCTCTACTCAACCCATATGTTGCTTCCGAGGGAGAAGCGTCATCGTCCTATAAGCTCAGCAGTGCTGAAGTCGATGGAATCATCTTCAACAGTACCAAACCCGTATGATTCACCTCCGCAAGTTAGACATAAGGCCTTAGGTCAGCAAAGCCTCGCCCTCCTCCACTTTTGGCTCTCAACATACTAACTAGTATTTTATACATTTTCACTTTCTTTTTAGTCTTCTTTTGCTCTGTCATTTTAGCAAGTTTTCTATAAGTTCGTCAGTTTTATACTTAGAATGGTTTTTTAGTGTGTTTTAGGTTTTTGGAATTGAATTAGACGATATTTGGATGACAAATGCACTATAGAGCATAAATTTGGAGTTTGATGCGTGTTGGAATGGATTTGGAGAGCTTTGGAATGAAATTTCGAGACTAAAAGGACATATGGCACAATCGTGTTGGTGGGCATGCTCAGATATACTTGAAATGCCAGAGAATTGAAGAAAGCAACAAAATAAATACTTTACAAACCGAACAAGGCTGGATGGATGGTCATGCCCGTCTCCAAATATGAGTCGCAAGGTTGACACGACCACGACTATAGTCATATTTTAGATCGTGTTTCTCTACAGACGTCAACCTATTTAATTTATTTTTCAACTATTCTGGGGGAGGGCATACACTTTTTCACCTAACACACGAGTTTGAGAGAAGAAAAAGAGGATTTTCTGACAACTTAACCATGGAAAAGTTGATTTTGAGAGATCGAGATGTTACAACCGTGGATATCGCCTCTTCTTCCTCTTCATTTATTTCCTCATTCCTTTTGAACTAGACATCTTTTGCTGTGTTGCATGATATGAAACTTAGCTATATTATTTTGATTTGATTGAACTTATATAGATGGGGATATATATTTTTCTTTAATTTATTTTTATTTATCTTTCAATCATCTATAGTTGCACGCCTATTGCATACTTGTATGTTTCATGTGTATGAAAGGGGAGTGTATCTCCATTGTATGTCCTCCTGGCCGTGGAGATAATGTCATTTGTTTTCTCATATTTGTTTCACATCCTTAATCATTAAGATTTTATACAAGTATCCTTCATTAATCTTGAAAGCAACAATAGTGTTGCTGGGATAGATGGAAATGCACATTATTATTTCCTCCCTGTTGACTCAATCATGGTGATAAATATTGTATCTCATTTCCTATAAGTCTTATCCTAATTTGAGGTTTAAAATGAATGAAATTGCTTAGCATCAATCGCCTTTATTAAAAAAAATATTGAAATTGCTATTAAAAAAACTAATTGGCGGTAGAAGTGGAGATATCGAGCAAATTAGAAAATTTCAAGATGTAGGGGGGAAAACTATAGCTAAACAAATGTGATAGTAAAGACCACAAAGTTGAGTGGTCAAATTGGTATATTATTTCGATTGATTCTCATTGATACTTCAATATTAAAAAATTACGAACCGAAAATTAAAATAAATTTAGTCCAGTTAATTATGGGGCAGCTGTATGGTACAAAACTATTGTTTACATTATTGATCAAGTAAAGAAAATTACTTAATTTTCCTTGCTGATTCGTTTAAGCATTAACAATGTTCCTGATACATATTACTTCTTGTTCACACTACCTTAACAAAGCGTCACGCCATATACAAATGCTGGAATAAAAAGGAAAATTTGATGCTGAATAATCTGGAGAAAGAGAAAGAGCTCCAAACTTTTCGGATCTCACGGTAGGAAAATTGTCTGCGACGAACGCAACCCTAACGCGATGAGCGCCGCCGGCGCTATGCAGGGGGCTACGCTGGATTCTCAGGTACGCCCACCGGATATCTCAGAGGCACCATCACTGATCCGCGCCTCAAAAAAATCTAAGACCAAGGTGACCAGCGACTTCACAGGAGCGGGAGCCATGATTGCAGAACAATCACCCGAGAACAACAGCGGATCCGTGAACGTGACGGAGGCAGTGGAAACGAGAACGCCGGTAGGAGGAGGAAACCTTCCTCTATCGTACAAGGCCATGGTGACGATGAACAAACTCCCCGACGTCAATTTTGAAGAGGAGGAACAGGAAGATATTGATAGTGACGGCAAGGGTGAGCCTGATTGCCCTAAGGTCCGCTTACCGGCGGGTTTTAAGAAGAAGGTGGGGCAGCGGTGGAGGTTGGCCATTATCGTTAGGGTTCTTGGCCACTCGTTTCCATTCTTGTTCCTCCAGTTCCGCCTGCAGAACATGTGGGCACTGACAGGACCAGTAACAATTGCGGCAATGGGGCAAGGATTCTACTCGGCGCGTTTCACAACAGAACATGACTATGAAAGGGCGCTGACTGGTGGACCATGGATGATTGAGGATCACTACGTGCTGACGAGATTCTGGAGAAGAGGCTTTGAGCCGAATGAGGAAGAACTGTCCCACACTATGGTATGGGCGCCACTCCCAAAGCTCCCGATGGACTATTATGATGAGGAGTTACTAGCCAATATTGGAAACTCGTTGGGGAAATACATACGGATGGATGAAGCTACTCGTCAAGCAACCCGTGGTCACTTCGCTCGGATTTGCATGGAGGTCAACTTAGCCAAGCCTCTTATCTGCAAATATCGGCTTGAAAGGAGAACCCGCCGAGTGGAGTATGAGGGACTCCACAAGGTCTGCTTCTCATGCGGACGCTATGGCCACGAGCAGGAGGCATGCCCCAGGAGAATGACGGATGAGCCTTCTGAGGAGGATTTCAGACTAGCACACTTGCCGCAAAAATCTCAACCTATTGAAGAGGAGCGGCCAGAGATTTTTCAGGACTATGGTCCGTGGATGATCGCCACGCGAAACCAACGACGTCGGAATCAGAACTCACCTGCACAGCAAGTAAAAGCAAAGGATATAGCAAATCCCACAGCAGGCTCAAGATTTGCTGCGCTAGAGACACTGAATGATGAGTTGCGTGAGCATGTGGAGGTCTTAACGGAGGCGAACAAGAAGGGAACAGAAGAGGTGGATGTGTTGGAGGAAGAAGGGGCACGTACTGTCGTCGACGGTGCCCATGCACAAGGAAAATCCCATGCACAGGGTAGGGAGGCTGTCCCGGGTCAGACCAATGGGAGGGAGAACCATCATACGACAAAAGTGACCACCGGAGCTAGGAACACTACCAGAGAGGAAAAGAGTTCGACAGGTCAACAGTGGGGATCTAAATCGGTGGGACAGGGGAGTAAGACGGGGGAGAAGCCCAAGACTCAAGGGAAGAGGGCTGGGAGCTCCAAAGACAGTGTGCAACAACGTCAACACACACAGAAAGCGCCCATCATAGGGAAGCCGACTCCAACAGGATCCCCAACGAAAAAAAGACCTCGCTGAGGAAGTCTACTGTACCTATTGCTAGGAGCCTGGACCTCAATGTGGCAGTTACTAATCCCCCGTCCAAAGATCAGGGTGCTAGGGGTCTTGGTGTCTCCTCCACAGGAGCTTTGAGCAATGCATCCGCCATGGATGTGGAGCGTCCTTGAGTCTTCTCTAAGGGAGTGTCCTTCCTTTGTTTTGTCTTTTAGTCTTTTTGCTTTGAGTTTTTGCGTGTTTCTCCTTCCCTACTGTTTCTTATGGTTTGCATATTCTATTGGAATTGCCGCGGAGCGGCTGATCCGGATTTTCTTAATCACTTTCTTGAGTTTAAACGCTTACACCACCCTGATATTGTCTTCATTTCATAGCCAAAGATCAGCGGGAGGGAAGCGGATGTCGTTACTCGACGGATGGGTTATGATACACAGAAAAGGATTGAAGCGAGGGGGTTCTCGGGTGGTCTTTGGGATCTTTGGGATTCGGGAAATCTGGATTTGCAGTTCGTTAGCTCAACAGACCAAGCCCTCCACTTTTGGGTCACTCTTCCAAACAAGGAGGAAGGGTTGATCACGGGGGTGTATGGGTCACCCAATCCGAGCCACCGTCGAGCACTCTGGGACACCTTGCGTGACCTCATGGGAAATAATGAGAAACCTTGGCTGATTTTGGGGGACTTCAATGCGATGCTGAGCATGGAGGATAAGCAGGGAGGCGCGACGTTCAACCTGTCGCATAGTAGAGAGTTCAAGAGTTGTACGGAGGACTGTGGGCTGATGGACATTCAGTTTGTGGGGCCGCGGTTCACTTGGGCGGGTCCCCGGGGCCTCAAAGAACGACTTGACAGAGCTCTTTGTAACTCAGCATGGCTTCAGACCTTCCCTGAAACCCACACCTCTCATCTCCTGTGGGTGAAGTCGGACCATCGACCCATTCTGGTTTCCTTGGAGAGAAGAACGAGAAGACAAAAAGCTACCAAGCCCTTCCGTTTCCTGGCTCCTTGGATGCTCCACGAGGATTTCTCTAGAGTGCTCGGTGAGGGATGGCAGAAAGGTGACAACTACGGCCAAGCTCTGCAGCTACTTACGGAGGATCTTCGGAAATGGAACCGTGAGACTTTTGGAAACATTTTTGCTAGGAAGAAGAATCTGAGCGCGCAACTCAAGCACTTGGAAGAGAAGAATGAAGTTCAGCCAACTCCTTCTAGCTTGAAGGAAGATGAGGACGTCCGCAAACTGTTCCAGGATACCTTGCGCCAGGAAGCGGCCCTGTGGTACCAGAAGTCCCGTGCTCTGTGGTTTGTGGAGGGCGACAAGAACACGCGGTTCTTCCATCTGTCGATCCTTAAACGCAGAAGTGGGAACCATATCAGGAAACTGAGAAGAGAGGATGGCTCGTGGACTGAGGATATGGAGGAAATGACTACTCTCGTTCGTGAGTTTTTCCAAACCCTCTATGCTGAAACGGAAGCCACGGTTGACACTCTTCCCTCAGAGTTTGCCGACATAGGGGATATGAGGAGCATGGAGCTCGACCTGACCGCCATAGAAATTCTGGCAGCTACTAAAGCGTGGGTCCCTATAAAGCGCCGGGGACCTTTGTGGTTAGTACTCTCTTTGCGGCCGGGCTTCCCGACAAATTCGTTAATACGGTGGTAGCTTGTCTAACTACTTCATCATTCGAGATCTTGTGGGATGGAGCAACTACTGAGCCTTTCCGACCAACTAGAGGCCTGCGACAGGGGTGTCCGCTCTCACCCTATACCTTCACTCTTTGTATTGAGCGGCTGATCCACCTCATCCAGGAAGCTACTCAGGCCAAAAAGTGGAAGCCTATCCAGTTGGTGGGGGCGGAACGGAGCTAACCCATTTGTTTTTTGCAGATGATTTGGTTTTGTTTGCTGAAGCTACGGTGGAGTAGGCAGAGGTCGTCGTAAAGTGCCTAGATAGATTTTGTGCAGCCTCAGGAGAAGTCGTCAGTAAGGACAAGTCGCGAGTGTTTTTCTCGAAGAACGTTCGCCGCGAGACGGGACATGATATCAGTGATCGTCTGCAAATACCAATGACCCAGGATCTGGGGAGGTATCTTGAGGTGCCGGTCTTGCACGGCCGGGTCACAAATAAAACTTTCCGTTATATCATTGATCGCATTGACCAACGTCTTGCAGGTTGGAAAGCCGATAACTTGTCTCTTGCAGGTCGCGTCACGTTGGCCATGTCAGTGCTGAACGCGATACCCTCGTACATTATGCAAACTGCGGTCTTGCCGGCAGGGATCTGTGAGTACATTTACCAGAAAATTCGGGCGTTCGTCTGGGGCTCTCAAGAGGGAAGGCGACGCATCCACCTAGTCAATTGGGAAACCGTGTGCCTCCCCAAGGATCAGGGCGGGCTGGGACTAAGAAGTGCTCGGGCTCTTAACACAGCTTACTTCCTCAAGCTAGCCTGGGGTATCCTTAAGAAGCCGGAGGAGCTCTGGGTCCGGATCCTCTAGGAGAAATACCTTCGTGAGGGACCTGATGGAGTGAAGCTTCGGCGCAAAACCCGGTGCTCTCAGCTGTGGAGGGGGGTTCGGAGGGCCTGGAATCTCTTGCTTGAGGGAGTGAGGTGGAGCGTCCGAAACGGCAACAACACGCTGTTCTGGCAAGATAAATGGGTGGACAGCGGAATGGTCTTGGGCGAGCATATGTTGCCCTCGGCCAGAGATATCAACGTACAAGCTTCGGTGGCCAGTATGCTCAACTCAGTAGGTGAGTGGGACACGGAGTTCCTGACTACTTCCTTACAAGCGGATGCTCTTTTGCAGGTCTTAGGTATGCCGCCGCCGAAACCGGAACTAGGAGATGATGAGCTTGTTTGGGGACTAGATCAAAAGGGAGAGTTCACACTGAAAACAGCCTACCAACTCGTGGCGGAGATAGACGGAGAAGACGCGCAGCAGGGGTGGAAAGGAGTCTGGAAGTGGCCGGGACCAAATCGGGTACGCCACTTCCTTTGGCTGGCGACGCACGTGCCCTCCTGACCAACGAAGAGCGAAGACGGCGGCACTTGGCGCACAACCCGAACTGCCCACGCTGCAAAACACAATCAGAGTCTCCTGAGCACATTTTCCGGGCATGTGAGTTTGCGTGGCAGGTCTGGTCCCAGGCGCTCCCTTCGGCGATTAGCGCTTCGGACAACAGAGATTTCAACAGCTGGTTTATGCATCATCTGACCAGCCCCGAGACCCAGGTTCGATTTGGTTTCACTTTATGGTTCCTCTGGCGTTCGCGGAATGATTACATTTTTTCAGCCATCGAGGAAGAACCCAATAAGCTTACGCAAAAGATCCTGGCCTGGGAGACCATTGCGCATGATGGCAGAGCAGCGGAACAAGCTATAGCACTGGGGAGGTCGGGGCTGCGTCGAGACGTGGCCGTGGGGTGGAGACCGGCCCCGACAGGATGGATCACAGTGAACTCTGATGGCTCGTTATTACGACCGTTAGAGTCCACCGCTGCAGGAGGAGCGCTCAGAGACGGGCAGGGTCGCTTATTGGGGTCTTACTCGATGAATCTGGGAAAATGCTCAACCACTCGCGCGGAGCTATGGGGGGCCATCCAGGGGCTACAGATGACGTGGGACCTTGGCCACAGAAAAGTCGAGCTCCAGCTTGACTCCATGACCGCGGTTTAGCTTCTCCAAGCCACTGGACCCGTTACTCACCAACATGCTATTCTCGTCCTTGCTTTCTGTGAGCTTAAGGAGCGGGATTGGGAGCTTCAGATTAGTCACATATACAGGGAAGGGAACTTCCTTGCAGATCACTTGGCTCACCTTGGGCATTCGCTTCAGCCAGGAACTTTTGTGTATAATCCCACCGATAGCTATATTACTCATTGGACATTGTATGACTCTGTGGGCGGATTTACTGTTCGTTCAATTATTTAATATAAGGTAGTGCGGCGCAGCAGCCTTTTTCACCAAAAAAAATTGATGCTCTTAAAATTATCAGTGATATGAATTTTGGAACATAACTGAAGATAAATTTTTTTAAGATTATGTAATTATATTTCATAAAGCATGAGAGATTCCCGCGTTTAAGTTTCCAACTTTTATTCCGAGTCCAGTCCCTTCGCGCGGCAACCAAACCAATCGTAACGGTACCGTTTCGCAACATCGCCGGCGATGACCCGATACGCCGCCTCCGTGTAGTGATGATCGTCCCACTTGATATACGACGCCGGATTCTCACACGCAACCGCGCCCGGCCGTCCGCAAACCGCCGACCATTCGTAATTGTACGGCCCACCGGCACCGCAGCAGGCCCTGTTGATCGTCGCTTTCCCGAACCCGAACTTCTCCGGGTCCTCGTGGATCCGAGTGGCCGACCCGAAGTAATCCGCGTAGTGGATCCTCGCACCCGGGTGGAGCTTCTGCACCCGCTCGATTTCCTCCTGGAGCATTCGATTGTGTTGGTCGGAGAACCAGTTGTAGTACACGAGGCAGCCGGTGATCGGGTCGTAATCGCTCTGGTCGGAGCTCCGGAACCGAGTGAGGTAGGAAGGGAAGCATCCTTTGGGGAAATCGCCAGGGACCAAGAAATTGACCGCACCCAATTCGATTAGCTCCTCAATTGCGTCCCCGATCCGATCCACAACGAAAGGAATTAGATCCTCGGCCTCGTATGTGGGGAAACCGGCGAGGGCGGCAAGCTGGTAATCCACGCCGCCGATTTCTCCGACGAGAAACAGGGAATTGCTAAGGTAGTCTCTGCATGCGGAAGGAGTGGAACAGAGTGAGTTTAGAAGGGTTTTGAATCGACCCAATTGAACGCTCAGTGAGCAATTCCGGCAGCCGGAGATTCCTCTGGATTCGAGGAATTCCGGGTCGAGGGCCGTGGCGGAAACCACGGCGAGATTGGCTCCGTGAGAAACAGAGGTGGTGGTGTTGATCGGTTCTCCGTGGTAAGGTGGAAGCAGAGGGAGGCCCAGGTGCTGGGCGATGAAATCGACGATGACTCTGCCGTCGCTGCAACGGCCGGTGGGTTTGTGGAAGTAGGTCTCGCCGTAGGGAGGAAATGCACAATGGGGGGCGGTTTTTCCAGGAGCGAAGTCCTGGGTTTGGATTCCTGCGGCGGTGGCGGAGTCGCCGAAGCTGAAGAGTGAAGTGTAGCAGCTGGGTTCAGATGGATCGTCGCCGGAAGATCCGAATCCGTGATTCAGGGGTAGTATTAGGAGGAGAAGGAAGAGGAACGTTTGCAGAGGCTGAAGTTCCATCCTTTTCTTGCTTTGGGGCTTTCCTAAAGCTGAGTGGAAAGGAAAGCAATTTACACAAGAGCTTTGTAGGGATCTATCAATGGCGTGTGGGGTGGAAATCTGGTGAGAACATATAATTGCACGTTTGGGGCAGTGATTGGCCTGTCGACTGTCCAAGAGTACAAGTCTGAAGCATACCTTGTTATTGGGAAATCGTACCAGAAATTATATCGAGAAAGTAACTGATAGAGTATTTTGTATTAAAATCGTGGTTGAACTACAATTTAACTGTTTCGTACGACTAAAATAGTCTACCATTTGAACTTTGCGGTAGAACCGACCAATACGATATGATTTTTAAAGCATTAGCATGAAGAGGTCTTGCTTCCATCAAAGGCTAACCACCCCAGTAGTTGGGGTTAATAGTGGCTTGCAAGATGCAGCATACAAGTCCTTATCCAACTAGGACTCTTGCACGTAATGTCATTTTCCCTTGTAGTGGACAGATTGCTTCTGCTAGCCGGATCAGTTTTTGCCCTTCTTGGGTAGTGATAATTGAAGTTTGTGTCTGCTGAGCCCTTGGTGAAAAGGTCTGCAATCTGTATGGCCGATTGATACAAACTCGTACCATTTGAAAAGACCATTGAGCTAAATTTAGTCACTTAATTTTGTTTCACATCATGATGCTTAAGTGTTTGTACTATTTTATAAAATGATAGTGAAATACAAGAATAGAAGTTCACCCTAGAAAGCCCTTTCCAACCAACCAACTAAATGAACAATTCCAATCTAGACAGAGAAATGATTTTTGTTGTCATATTACGGGCCGCTCCTTGAGACCGCACAAAACTTTAAGCATGAGTCTAGAGTAGCTATTATTTGTAAGCGGTCTTTGAGCATTGGGCATCCACTTGCATCGAAACTCTACCTCTCTCTTAGTAGTTGATGAATTACGACTTCAGAATCTCCTTCTAGTGTGACTCCATGAAGGCCGAATTGCTACAAATTAAGTGTAGATCATCTCGAACAACTAGTAGTTCAGCCATATCCGGGTTTGGCAATCCCATGATACTGAAGTCTAATAATGAGGTGCAGACGGTCACCTGCTAACTTCACCATCGAGCCCTTGGTATAGCCCCAAGAAAGATGGATAGCATCTTCGAAGTTCAATTTGAGGTCGAAAATTACTATGTTGCTGGATTTATAGATTATTCACAATAAGCAAATTATTTGGAGAATCCGGTATGGGTTGAACATAGAGTACATTATTCTCCTTCACCAAGTGTTGAAATTTTCTTACGCGGCGTGATTAACCATATAATCCAACTTTACCATTTGTCATCGTCAAGTAACTAATGGGAAATGAAATAATATATGTTTGACGTCTTTGCCTAAAGGCGAGAAACAAGACAACGGTCAACAACCGGGCATCTCTGGCTTTAAGGACAACCATAGCATGTAAGATAACTCTTCAAGCTTTTTTTTTTTTATGAATACGATAACTCTTAAAGCTTGTCATAGATAAAAACAGACCTTATGGAGGATTTAGATCTGCCAATGTTTTTTTCATTTAAGTCTCCATCCATCACCAGAGTTATACTCTTTGTTCCACTTACCAAAGCTATGGTGATGACCACATGATATCATGTTTTAATCGAGTACTCGCTAGAGGGACTGTAGTGCGCATTCTCCTATCCTCTTGGCCATATCTCGATAGCAAAAGAAACAAATGAGAGATATTGAATTAGAGGAGAAGAGCTCTAGGATCAAACTCATCTTCCATTAGTTAGATTCTTGGTTGACAATGAGGCGGATCTTCTTAAACCATCATTATCCCCTATTTCCAAATACTCAAGCTCACACTTGATCCATACCCATACAGAATCTGTGAGCAATACATGCCATGTACATTCTACATGTTGCGACAATAATTTTCTGGTAACTTTTTTACGGAAATTAAATATTATATTTAATTATTGTTTTAATTTTATAAGTAGAACTCCATGTAGAATCGACGGTACGCCACTGGCGAGACCTAACTCTCAAGTCTCAACTCTGCGACATGGAACTCGCAGTTAATCCTGCTTACCTTACCCCCTACGAAATCCCAATTTCACCCCACAATGAGATTATGAATTTTAAAGTTCAAACACGCTTTGACTATAAAAAGAAAACAAATCAAACAACATAGAATTTGACACATTCCACTAAATAATTCGACTTAAGTCATCATTTGTCACCAAATTCCCTCAAGAAGCAAACCTAATTGGAGAAATGATTCAAGATGAGTTTAACATTTCATCCAACACGTAATCAAACAAACGGTTACTTCTGAGTTTGATATTCTAGAAAATACTTGAGTGATATAGTAACAAGATATAATTCTATACATTATGTCATCTCTTCGAAGTTTTATTCTATACACTATTTCACAAGATATAGTCAATGTTAGAAACCCAACAAGAAATATGGGTACCGAATTTGAATGAGTAATATGGGTACCGAATTTGAATGAGTTGTAGATTAGCTCGCTCTCTTTAATTAACACGTTCACAATATTGTCTCGCAGTTCTGCACAACAGTACATCAGCCGGTCACTTTCAGGATAAAACAACCACTTGTATACTCTCTATTTGTACGAAACCGTAGCTCTTTGAGCATTTCCCATCGTTTAAATAATAAATAAATTTGTTCATTAAGATGCAATAAACAAAATAAGATGGAAAGTTCATGGTGATCAGCAACAAGCGGAAACATTACAATTTACAAGCTCATACTGTCTTTTCATATTAATGATAAACCTTCACTTAAAACGACCAATTAAACGAAAATCTTACACTTTTAATTTTCTGATAAAATTTGAACAACTTTCCATTGTCAGTATATATGACCTGAACGAACTGATAGTTTATCATATGTGAATCTATTTATAGTTTACAACATGATTCAAAATACTAAAAATACATTAAAAGTAATGATTAATTAGCACATAAAATGTTGCTTCTATCATATGTACTCAAGTTAAATCGAAGGGTACCTCATACTTTTGGTTAAAAATAAGAACTTGTGTAAACCTTGAATTAGCATGATTATTGGCATGATATTATTGCCTGTAAACTCTAGCCGCTAATCATCCAAATCTAAAACCATAAGGTGGTGCATCTAGTACATTTAAAATACACGATTTTGAATTATTGATTATTATTCTTAATTAAATCAATCTTACCGTATATAATTTAAAAATTAATAGGTACGTTTTTTTTTGGTGGATTAATAGGTACGTTTTACTCATCAAGATCTAAGATATAATATCATGTAATAAAAAAAAACATTATCTTACAAAAATGTACAATAATTCTCAAATCTATCAGAATGTCATAAATGTAATATAAAAAGCACAGATGGATGGAGCAGCCCGGCCCGCATCCAAACTATAGAAATGGATCGGTGGATAATGATAGGCGAGACTCGACACCGACCATTGCCTTGCTTTTGCACATTTTGGGTTTTTACGTGGCGTAAAAGATGATGTGTGTCCCATCTTTAATTTTCTAATAATTAAGCATATGGCGAGCTAGCAGGATATGACGAAACAATACAACAATTAATCGCTCGAAGAGTCCCCAACCTCCAAATTAAGTATGAACTAATGCAGTGGCTTAGGATAGGGTGAGTAATTATTGATTACTAACTTATGAGTAATTAAATTTGGACCTTTACATTTAAGTGGACCCAGAAAATTCTGATCTAAGGGTTGTCAATTAAAAACATTTTATTTTCACTAGTTTTCATAATCGGCTCATATCTTCTTCGTTTTAACTCGGATTTCAATTTTTTTTTTGCACACATGGAACGAGTTCGTTGTGCTCTACAAAATGAGATAATTTTCAATATATTTCGAGAAACCTTTTTTTACCAACTACATATCATATGGTAACTTCTTCGTTTTTTAGTCGTTTTTGAAAACGTTTGCTCAGAAGGAACGAGTTTATCATGATCTATTGGATCTACAAATTTATGGGTGAAAAAAGGGATTTTTCCAGAAATAGCACCTTTAAAAAAAATTACAAAAATAGCACCCATCCGTAAAAATTTACACTAATAGCACCCTTTTTAATAGAACGCACCTTGTAGATGCGTTTTATATTTAAATCGCACCCTAAGGGTGCGTTTTACAAATAGATCGCACTGGTAAGGTGCGTTCCAATTATCTGGACTCAAATCGCACTTTAGCCAAGCGATTTACGTCTGACCTACTGAAATCGCATGGCCGAGGTGCGATTTTAGGTCTGACCTATTAAAATCGCATCATAAAGGTGCGATTTGTTTCTGCCAAACAAAATCGCACCATGAGGATGCGATTTTGCCATACAAACCGCACCTTGAAGGTGCGGTTTTGGTCAATCAATTTCCGACATGCCATGCAGACGTAACAGACGTGGGTCTGCATGGGCCTGCATGGCAGACGAAAATCGCACCTCTAAGGTGCGGTTTTCATCAGTGATTTTGCCTATAAAAGGCCTCCCGGACAACCACTTCTCTTCACACCTCTCCTTCTCCCTTCCCTTTTCAATTTTCTGTTGTAGCTCTATATTTCTTTAGTAGTTTTGCGATTAACGTTAACTCGTAAGTTGATTTAGTATTACTTTTTATTGTTATTTTTTATTTTTGATTTTTATGATATTAACTGAACTACGGTTTTATCGCAGATGGCATTCCAAAAGTTCACGCTTGGCTTACGGTGGAATGGTTACACGGAAGAGACCGGAAAGGGTGCCACCTACGTAGGTGGCAATTTTCAGAAGATAAAGGTCGCTACCAGACCGCTGCTTGAAGACCTCCATCAAATGTGCACTAACGTTACTTGCATGGATGGCACGAGAAGAGTTGATCGTATGGTGTACCGATATCCAAACAGAGAAAGTGGGTCATTGTGGCATGAGGAATATCTCATAACCACTCAGGATGAGGTAGACGCCATGCTCGAATTCATGAGGTCCAACAATCTTTCCAAAGCCGAGATGTTCGTTTACACCGAGCCGGTCGTAGGCGTTGGAGGTCATTCTGGACACGGTCAAACATCTGGTATCCATGGTGGAGGTGAATTATATGGCGATCATCCCTACCAAAGTTACCATGATTCTCATTCATATTTTCAGTACCAAGAGCAAGGTGAAGGTCATCATCAATCATATGAAGAAGAAGTTCAACCGGACCGGCCCAACCAACCTCAGTACAACTTCCTCTCAGGCAGCGGTAGTTTTCACAACTATCATTATGGAGCTGATGAAGGTGCCTTACATGAGCTGGATCAGATGGAGGATGTCATGCCAGCACCAGTCAGTGACCCCTCCGATGAAGAAGGAGAGAACAACGTCAGTGCAGACAACTCCGACCCTCTTGAAGGTGCCGATGATTCAGGACCAGAGTCAGACTCAGCTAATGATGATGAGGGGGCTCGTGACCGTGTACCAGTCCCCTACTACAATCACATTCCAGACGACAATTGGATGGTCGACAGCGACATGGAGCCGCCAGAGGTCCCAATATGGGGTCCACTCACTGGGTTTATGAAGGGCCAACAATTTGGCTCGAAGAAGGAGGTGCGTCACGCCATTGAGACAGAAGCAATGACCCGGCATTTTGAATGGCACACAACTCATTCCAACACTAAAAGGCTCATAGTCAGATGTCGTAATCATCACGAGGGGTGCAATGTTAGGATTCGGGCCATCAACAGCAAGAGACACGGCCACTGGGTCATATCTCGTGCGGTGAACACACACACATGTGTGTCATCCATAACTTCCCAAGGCCATCGACAGTTGAAATCCAGGGTGGTTGCTGCGGCTATCAAGCATCTAATTGAGCAAGAGCCGGACCTAAAGGTGAAAGTCATAATCGCTGACATTGCAAGTCAATATTTTAAAGAGAAACATACATATTCAATTGTTTGAAATTAATAAAATTCCTTTTGTACACATCAAAATAAATCGTAAGGGTTGTTTGGTAAATTATTTAATCGTGTTGGTTGTTTTAAATAATTTAATCGAATACAAAGCAACACTCGTTAGACTCTTAGAAGAGGTATACATCTTCTTAGAAACACAGTCTTGTTGACAGAAAAAGGGGGGATCTGAGGATCTCTTAATACCCGATTTTCCCAGGGAATGAGAGAATATGATAATCGCTTAAAACCCCATTTCCTTAGACGTGCATCTCTTTATAACGAGTCGAAGTAAGTGGCGCTATGTATTCGATTAAATTATTGAAAACAACCAACACGATTAAAAATTCAACATAAATTTATTTTATATTCCACTAAATACATTAACAAAATAAAAGAAGGACAAATGGTAAAGAATTGTATGTACCGGGTGAGCGTTCCAAACATCCCTTGACCGATGGTTGGGTTGGTCGTACAAGTCGGTTGGATCCATCGGTCCTTGCTCGAGATAATACCGTTGGTTGTAAATATCCACGTCCTCCCCAACCTACGAGAAAATAACAACGAGGTTAGTACATAGATTAATTAAAAAGCTTATAACAACAACAAAAATTAAACCCGAATAATGAGTACGTACCGCTTGAAATTCATCAACAAAAACTCCTTCTCCTTACCACCAATCGGCCATTTTTTCGGCGCAATTCGGACAAAGCTTCGGCTCGGCTCGGCTCGGCGGGTTTTGAGGAAAAAACCTAAGAAATGTTTTCTGGTGGCAGATCGGACTTAGCCGCAACCAACAGACCACTATTTACTAGGCTTTTGGGAGGGGGAGGGTTTAGAGAGATAAATTGTAGAGAGAGAAGGAAGAATGGGTTGTGGTGTGAAGAAATGAGAGGGGAAGGGGGGGTATTTATACCCATCAGATCGCACCCTCCAGGGGCGATCGGATAATTTTGCCCTCGCGCGGATCGCACTCTTCCAATGAGAATTGCGCTTCCCTAGGCGCGGATTGCTCCCTTCCGATGCGATTTGTGCTTCCTTGGGCGTGGATTGCTCCGCTGGCAAGCGATCTGGGATCCTCGGCGCTGATCGCTCCGCTGGCATGCGCTGAGCCGCCCGATCGTCCCTCCATCCAACGATCTTGAAGATCGTTCCGCGTCCTCCCCAAATCGCACTAACGTATTGCGATTTGTTTTATGGATTGCACCCCTCTGATGCGTTTTATATGTAGACCGCATCTTTTCGGTGCGTTTTACATATAAAACGCATCTTAGGGGTGCGTTCCAAAAAAATTGGTGCTAGTTTTGTAAATTTTTTTATATAGGTGCTATTTTTGTAATTTTTTTTTAAAGGTGCTATTATTGGAAAAATCCCAAAAAAATATTGGACAAAAAATTACCATACTTTACCACTATGGTATGTGTGTGGTAACTTATGGTAAACATTGATGAAAGTCGTAAATGACAGTCAGTATACTCCTACTATCATGTATTCAACCTTCTTACCATATTGGTATGTTCATAACGTCATTGTACGTTTTCTTACCATATGGTATTAAATATGAGCATACCATATGGTAATGACTGGTAAAAAATATTCAATTTTTTGTACTAAAAGTATATCAAAGTGGGTGTCATTTTAAAGAGCACATTTAATCTGATTTATCTGTGCAAAAGAATTTAAATTTCGACTTAAAACGAGAGACAAATCGTCCGTTAAAGATTAAAAGGGAAAATATAAAAGATTTTTCAGGAGAGAGGAGATGCTGATATCATGCGGATGTGGACAGGTTACTGATGATTACTCACCATAAGAGTTACTCACCTGATCTACTCTCACTAATGCAGAGTTGAACGCGTTGGATTTTCATTGCCTAAAAAATGTTTGAGATGTTGAGACTTAATCAATTAAGGGTTGTGAAACTTAAAGTGTAGTTATTGTTGGTGGTGAATATGTATGAAAGTTATAAGTGAAGTCTCAAAATATTTTATAAAGTTTTATAAAAGGCATTTAAGAATAAAATTTTATTTTCAAAAGGTGTAATCTTTCGAGTTATTCACTTTTGTAAAAGATGGAGGACTTAATTGTCTACAAACTAGATGTGTGCGTCCCATCTAACTGATCGATTGGTCGAGCGAGTGGATATGTGAGGTTAGTCAGCTTAAGACTATAATTTAAAAAAAAAAATTGAATTAATTATTTGATTGTCTTTTCTTTAGTAATAAGACTATCAACATTCAACGACACTAAAGGAAACAAGAATTGGGAATGGTTAAACAACCGGAACCCCTGAACCTCGATCTACAGTACCAACATACTAGAATACAAAATTCACAAAGGACGGAATCGACTATAAAAGATACTTTTTTCATATGAGCACTTCTACTATGCTATATAGTATTGGTGCTTTAATGTACAACTCAAAGTTGTACCATAACATTAAATGTATAAGTTTAGGTTGTACCATAAAGCAATTTGTACCATTATGTTATGGTACAACTTTATAACTTGAAGTTGTACCATCACATAAAGGTACAAGTTCAAGTTGTACCATAAAAGAATTTGTACAAAAAGTATAGGTACAATATGAAGTTGTACCATAATTTAAATGTACGATTTTAAGTTGTACCATAAAGGTAAAACCCTATAGCACCAATACTATATAGCATTGTAAAATTTCTCTTTTCATAAAATGGAAGAGAAGTGCGGCAGATTCTTGATGAAGTCTCCTAGGGGCAAGGTTTGATACTTCTGTTTTCCCTTCCGGTCATCAAAGAAGAACCTGAACAAGAGCTCAAAGGCATATATAAAAATGGAAAATAATAAAAGATAATAATTATCTTACAGAGTTACAGTCTGCAGTTAATTAAGGGGGTCATTATCTTCCTTAATCACATGGCTTATTCCATACAAATATGAGAATATTCGAGTTTTTCTGCTCAACAAATAGCGTACTTCCCAGACCCTATAAACACACAGTTAAGAAAACAGAAACATGAGAGAGTGTTTTGCCAAGATCTCCATTTTTCGCATAAAGCAAGAGTCAAAGAGAGTGGGAGTGGGTGGATGGGGTTAGTCGGTTTAAAACTATAATTTTTGGAGAAATTCAGAATTAATTAACTGATTTCCTTTTCTAAATCAAAACTGGAAAATAATAAAGATAATTAATAAGATAATAATTACCTTACCATCCACACTTTATTAAGGAAGTAACTATCTTCCTTAACCGTATGTCTTATTCTCTACAAAAAAGAGAGGATATTCGGAATTTTCCGATAGACCTTATAAACACACAATTAATAGAGCAAACATGATATAGTGTTCTATGAGAACTCTATTTTTTGTACAAACCAAGAGTCGAAGAGAGTTGTTGTTTTATACTAGAGGCGACTGACTAATAGTCTTTTGTGTGCATTACGAGGCAGTGTCACAAACATTTTAAAAAGAGCGAGCTTGTCCACAACTTAGCCAGATTCGGTTGCCATAATTTTTGTGTTCGATTTCTAACATTTTTAAGACGGTGTGCTACTTTAGCTACCAAACATAACATCGGATCTGGAGCAAGTGCTCGCTACTAACTACTACTTCTAACACAAGCCAAGTGAACCAATGAAAGGATGTTGCAGCATATAGTGGTAGCAAGTTATAATAAATATTGAATACTCGGATCTCTAGATTTACTATTACTCAACTTCACCTTATTATCTAGCCAATGAAATCGTAGAATTAATGATTAATGAATCTCAAACTTCTTGAACTCTTGGTTCGTAATCCAGAGAGTCCTTAATAAGTCTTCAATATCGATTAAATCAATCAATGCCCTCTTGGTCGATTGCTCACAGGAACACTATCCTCAACTAACACAAACAATCAAGGCAATCCAAACTAGACACCCTCTATTGGTTGATTTCTTACCCAATACAAAGCATTGGTCGACTCACTCTCGAACATTCGATCACTTACTTCCAATCGATGTCTATCTATCAACATAATCAGATATTATCTCTTCTATGTCAAAGCATAAATCAATAATACTTGGCCAATGCAAAATTGATTCTTAAAACATGCATAGATTGCATGTGAACATAGGTTTAACAAGTAAGAGTACTCGTACAATAATCAAATCAACCAAACATGACTAGAGTTCCTCATACCCAAGTGAAAGGAAGTTTACTCTATAGAGAGAGAAAGGAATGTAAAGGGATAAGATGAACGACTTCATGGTGAAGATATTATTCTTCTGACATTCTTTTTCCTCTTCTAAACTTGTTTCCCGAGCTCCATTGGTGAAGAAATGGCCCAAAATTGCTCCAAGAACTCTCAAATGACGTCGTACATCTCTCTAGAGTTCATCCTTTAGGGGTGTTTGGGAGTCCAAAGCCTAGCTCTCTCCTTTGAAAATCATAGATATCCTATTTATACCCGAAACAATGGCAAAGTTATGACCATGACTTTAGGATTTATGGTCGTGACTTTCAGAACGCAACACAAAAGTTAGTGTCAGTGGAAAAGTCACTCTTGTGAATTTGGATCAAGCCTCTGAAAGTATGTCATGGCTTGTGTTTCTTGATTCTCACGGCCACGATTTTCATGCCCATGACCGTGAGAATTATCATTGGTCTAATTTTGCTCCTTTTTTATCTCAAAATGCCACAAAACTCAATCATGACCCATCGCCAAACTCTAAGACCTGAAATATGGCCAACAAACATATCTTAGCATAAAATCGTCAAATGATATGGTGTTTTCTAGATAAATGGTTAATAAACAATAAGAATTTGGGGGGGGGGGGGGTAAACATATATAATTAAGCACTTCTCACACTCTTTCACACTTAATCATTTGCTTGTCCCCAAACAAATTACATACAACACATATTTTGTCAAGAGGATGGGAAAATAGCCTCAAGGAGGAAGCAAATAAAAGCAAAGAAAGCAAAAAAGAATAAAGCATAGGCACAAAAACGCGGAAAGGATCGAACAAGGGCTTGGTTTACTGGTGATAACACTTGTTTTGGAGTCAGAGGTCTCAGGTTCAATTCATTCAAATAACACCTAGTCACAAAAGTAAACTGATATCACTCTTACAAAAAAGATGATGAAAGGACAAGAAAAATAAAAGGGAGCCACCGCCGACTGCTTGGAGGCTCCGACAACAACCCTTTTTAATTATGGTCGTTTGATTTTGGTAATAGTTAAATTGATGAATTGTCATCAATACATGCATAATAATATACATGTATATAAGAAAAATGGTGTATTTTAGTTTACATAGTTTGGTTTCTGTGATAGTTGTTATAATATTTAAATAAATTATATTACTTTTTGTATAAAATGTCTTTTGTTTTTAATATAAAAAAGCAACACAGATAAAAATGTAGAGACATAGTTGGAAGAAAAAACCCCAACAATCTCACTCAAAACTTGAGATTTAACTATCATTCATTTTGAATGATAGTTTGTGTCACATTAACCAAACAATGCATGTATTGTTTGTGCAGAAAATTCAGAAAACAATGCATTGTAACAGGGGATAAAGAAAATTTTTCTTTTTCTCAGTAGGACAACTAACACGCGCCACCCACAACCAACCGCGTCACTTACCGAGATGTCGTTGTAGGGTACGTGGCACACACCAATAGGACACAAAGCTAGCCAATCGGAGTTTGTCTTCTCTAACAGTCTACATCGACTGGTTTTACCGTTTTCCATTTTTACTATTCATCTGCTCTGTTTCAGTTTACCAGCACAACTGAATTTCCCTTTGTTCTTGTAATCATGACTATATATATGAAATGAGATGGAGAAGAAGGGTAGGTCAAAATCCTAATCCATTCACAACCCAACACGTTGTTATGGTATCAGAGCTTGGTTAGGGTTCCAACCCTTTCCACTATGTTCTTTCACTTTTCCTTCTTCCTTCTTCTCGTTTCTGTTTTTGTGTTCTTTGATCATTTCAATCATGGCGAACGAAACCCAAAGTGCAACCCAGAGTGAAAGCGACAATGCTTCAGGGAATCGCCCAGCTAGTGGGTACCCTCTAGCATATCTGTTTTACCTTAATGGGCCCGAGCAACCAGGTCAAGTTCTGGTCAAGTTATAGCCTTGCAATATTTGGGAGTAAGGGTTCCTGATCAACAAAGAGGAGAATGGAACTCAAGCCCTAACTCAAGTATGAGAGGAAGAGGAAGAGGCAGAGGCAGGGGTCGTTCAGGCACACTAAGACCCTATTGCACCTACTGCAAGATGCAAGGTCACACTGAAGACACTTGTTATCATAAGCATGGATGGCCATCTGGGATGTCTCCTATAGGTGGTAGAGGAAGTGGCAATACTGATTTCAGGCAAGCCAATGTTGCTCTAGGCACAGAACAAGGGAACATAAACACTGCTGAAGGGATGACTTTGCAGAAAGAGCAATATGAAGCACTGATGGGTCTTCTTAAGAATGGAACTGGCAACAATGCACCATCACCATCTAGATCACACATAACAACAAATTTTATCAGTAAGAACAATCCAAATACAAGCAAGTATACTCTATTAGTACTACCACAGGCAGAAAATGCTTATGGTGGCACTTGGATTCTTGACACAGGTGCCACAAATCATGTCATTTGTGATCATAGTATGTTCATGCTCAGTACTCCTATTTAGGGATGACAATGGGGCGGGTTTGCCTAAATCATCCCCATTCCTGCTTTTAAATATCCAAACCCATACCCGCCTCATACCCATGCGGTGGAAGATTTAGCAAACCCATCCTCCATACCCGTGGATTTCGGGCACCCATGGGTAATACCCGCCCCGTACATCCAACATTATAAATAACTAAAACTTTACATGTAAATTTTCAGTTATAACATTAAACACACCTACTATATCATGAAGTCGACAAAGTGACAATCATTCTTAATATGGTTCAAAGCATCTTATCCTAAAACATTCCTTAATCCATAAAATAGAGTACAATGTAATCCAAATCATTATTTCCTGACTCTAATATATATATACTAAGCAATAACTAACTAATATAATCTTGCTAACAAGAGGGGAAAGTGAAAGTGCGAAGGGAGAGTTGAGGAAAAAGAATTAGGTTTTGATTTGGGTGGCCACTTAATTGCATTTCTACTAATTATTTTGTTGAGTTACCCTCACTATCATTGATAGATTACTATTTCATCCATGTATTTTTTAATATGTAAACAAATATTCTTGGTGAGGCGGGTATGGGTATAGGGCGGGGGGGGGGGGGGGGGCTAAAACCATACCCGCCCCATACCCATCAAACCTTTTGCGGGTTTTACCCATACCCAGTCAAAGCGGGGATTTCCCACATTGACTGGGTCGGGGGCGGTCGGATACCCGTGGGCATGGGTTCGATTTTCATCCCTACTCCTATTAGTAATGTGGATATCAAATTACCTACTGGTTATAGTGTCAAGGCAACACGAATTGGATCAGTCCAATTCTCAGAGAACTTGATCCTGCATGATGTGTTGTTGGTCCAGATTTTAGTTTCAATTTGATGCCAATCAGCAAGTTAACCAAGAAAAGTTCTTTGTGTCTGACTTTCTTCTCATACTCTGGCTTCATACAGGGCATGTCGAAGATGCAAATGATTGGTTCTGTTGAGCTTCACAATGGTCTTTACAAGCTTGATATGAGTCATGTCATTAGTCCTAAAAAGGTTGTTGCCTCAAGCACAACTAATAGTTTTAATCTCTGACATTATAGATTAGGTCACATTTCTCAATCCATATTACCTTACTTGAAGAGAATATGTCCTAGTATAGATACTACTCATGTTTCAAACTGTGAAGTGTGTCATTTTGCTAGACAAAAATGTTTACCCCTTTCCTATCATCAATACTACTACTGCAAAACCATTTGAGTTAATACATATGGACATTTGGGGTCCCATTTCTCAACCTTCTTATGATGGTTTTTGCTAATTTTTTAACATAGTGGATGATTACAGTAGGATGATCTAGATAATCCTCATAAAGACAAAGTTAGAAACTAGAAGCAATGTGATCCTTTCCAACCTTGTTGAAACTCAATTCTCCACTAAACTACATAGAATTTGCAGTGACCAAGGTCAAAAGTTTAAGATGACATATTTTTATTCTAAAAAATGGATAATTCATGAAATGTCTTGCGTGGAAATCCCTGAACAGAATTTTAAGGTAGAAAGGAGGCATCAACACATTCTGGCAGTGGCACAAGCTTTGAAATTTCAAGCTCAGTTGCCCATAGAATTCTGTTCAGATTGTGTCAAACATGCAGTCCCCCTCATCAATAGGATTCCTTCTATTGTTCTTAACAATCTGTCACCTTATGAGCTATTTCATCAAAAACCACCTAATCCGAGTTTCTTAAAGGTTTTTGGCAGTCATTGTTTTGCTTCCACCCTGCCAAGTACCAGAACAAAATTCACAGCTCGAGCTCGAAAATGTGTTTTCATAGGCTATACTTCAGGAAATAAGGGCTATAAATTGTATGATCTTGATAATCATGAAGTTTTTCATTCCAGAGATGTCCTCTTCCATGAGTCTATCTTTCCTTTTTCAATAGCTTCTATTTCTTCTTCTAAAAGCATTGAATCTAATAGACCTCCTTCCATTCTTGTCATGTCTGATGTTGATGATTACATGCCACCATTAGTCTCCTAGAACCCTGATGATATGGAAGATTCAAATAACCCTCTTGATACCCCACCTCCTATCTCCCTGCCTTCTAGTTCTGCTCCTTCACCTACTAGAGTCCTTCCCCTCAGAGTCATCAGAGCTCCCAGTCATCTCAATGACTATGACTGTGAAAACCTTGTGACCACAAGAGCTCGGTTATTTTCATCCAAGGCATTTTCTGTGACTGCCAGCACCAAGTACTCTATTGATTCTTTTCTGTCTTATGGTAAGCTCACTCCTTCTCAGAAGCATTTTGTTCTGGCCATTTTTGCTCTCACTGAACCAACAACATATGAACAAGCCTCTCAACATGATTATTGGAATGCTGCGAGAATCAAGAGATGTATTCTTTGGAAAAGAATGCTACTTGGACTATTGTTTCTCTACCTCCAAGTAAGAAGAAGATTGGCAATAAATGGGTATATAAGATCAAATACATTTCTAGTGGTGAAATTGAAAGGTTCATGGCCAGATTAGTGGTAAAGGGTTGTACATAGCGAGAAGGAATTGACTTTCAGGATACTTTTGCTCCTGTGGTCAAGATGACAACAGTCAGGCTTTTCCTTGCTATTGCAGCAGCTCGCAATTGGTTCATTCACCAACTTGACATAAACAATGCCTTATTGCATGGTGACCTCCATGAAGAGGTCTATATGAACCTTCTTCATGGCATGATTTCCCCAGCCAACATCCCTACCCCTGTTTGTAAGTTGCATAAGTCTCTTTATGGCCTGAAATAAGCCTCCAGACAGTGGTTGCCAAGCTTTCTGATAGTCTTCTTCAACAAGGCTACATGGCTAGTAAGTCAAATCATTCTCTTTTAACCAAATCCACTGGTTCTTCCTATACTGCCATTCTTGTTTTTGTGGATGATTTAATTGTGTGTGTGTGTGTGTGAGCGGGGGCCGGGGGGGGGGGGGGGGGGGGGGGGATGGCTTAGATGAAATCGCCAGAATCAAAACTCATTTACACATCGCTTTCAACGTAAAGAACTTGGGTGATCTCAAGTATTTCCTTGGCCTTGAAGTGACCAGAAATTCTCAGGGTCTTCATATGTCTCAAAGGAAGTATGCTATTGAATTGTTGGACGAAGTAGGCCATTTAGGGGTTGAACCTGTCAGCACTCCTATGGATTACAAGACTCATTTGAGTACATAATACCTTAGTGAGAAGGTTGATGCTACTGCTTATCGAAGTCTAGTTGGCAAACTCATATATCTCACTACCACATGCCTAGACATTAGCTTTCTACACAACAAGTCAACCATTTTAATTCTGAACCCTCTTTCCTTCACAAGAAATCAGTCACTTGCATTCTGAGATACATCAAAAAGACTCCTCGTCATGGTCTCTTTTTCTCAGCAGACACTGCACTCACACTCAAGGCTTTCAGTGATTCAGATTGGGGTGCGTGTCTAGATACCAGATCCATCACTGGTTATTGTGTGTTCTTTGGTGATTCACTTGTTTCCCGGAAATACAAGAAACAAACATCGTTTCTCATTCTTCTTGTGAGGCTGAATACATGGCTCTCACCTACACCACCTGCGATATTTAGTGGATGCTCTACCTTCTTGCTGATATCTAGGTTTCCCACACTCATCTTGTGCCTCTTTACTGTGACAATCAGTCTGCACTTTATATAGTTCAGAATCCTTCTTTCCATGAACAAACCAAGCATATTGAGCTTAACTGTCACTTGGTTTGTGAGAAGTTTCTTGATCGTACAATCAAGCTTCTTCATGTTCCCTCCGATCACCATCCGCAAGCATATTCACCAAGCCACTCTCACCTGCTCCTTTTGATCATCTCCTCTCCAAATTAGGGCTTCAAATTTGTACCTGCCGCTTGGGGGGGGGGGGGGGGGGGTTAATAAAGATTTTTTTTCCTCTCAACAAGACAACCAACATGCGCCACCCACAACCAAGCGCGTCACTTACTGAGATGGCATTGCAGGGCATGTGGCGCACACCAATAGGACACAGAGGTAGCCAATCAGAGTCTGTCTTCTCTAACGATCTACAACGACTGTTTTTACCATTTCCATTTTTACTATTCACCTGCTCTGTTTCAGTTTACTAGCACAACTGGATTTCCCTTTGTTATAGTAATCGTCACTATATGTATGAAATGAGATGGAGGAGAAGGGTAGGTTGAAACCCTAATCCATTCACAACCCAAAACGTTGTTACATTATGGACAATGCATGTATTATAACTATCTCAACCAAACTATCACCAAAACCAAACGACTCTATATATAAGTTGTTAAGAGAGAAGGGAGAGCGTTTGATTTAGGGAGAAAAAAGTAAGTTTGTTTATGGTTTATGGGAGATCCTCCCATTGCAACGCAGGTTATAGGTGCCGAATTTTTTCCAACAAAACGAGTAAGATGTAAACAAAAGCTTGAACCTGAAGTACTCAGTCTAGTATCCTATCATAATATGGGTTATTGATTTCAAACCCACTTGAGCATCCTTTTGTACATCCACCAAGTCACATTCCTCTTACTTCTAAAGAATTGGCCACCCTACTACTCAAATTATCAAAGGGCCGACCAATCACAACAATATTGCCTCCATATTATAAAAAATAATAATACTGTGTCTGCCACCATACTGGATCAATATATATGCTCTAACGTATTAGGATGGCGGTCAACAATCTATCTATTGATATCATAATTGTGCGAAACTTATCAATACACATACTCCCTACATTTAACATAAGGGTTGATGACTTAATTCTCTTTGTTTCAAAGAGTATGACGGTCTTTCGTATAATTAGATGAAGATGAGATTTCTTCGTGTATTTATTTTTGAATGAAAACCGTTTTAACAATAACACACGTGACATGAACTTTTGTGTTTTATAAATTTGTTAAGCTTATTCTTAGTGGATCATTAGAATAAATACATTCGGTCATTGTTCAAGGTAAATTGTACACTCATCCACGTTGCTGTTACTTACCTAACTTTGAATGAAAGTTATGTGTTGCTCTCCTACTCACTTAAGTCTAACGGATAACACAATTCCGGACGACAAAATCCTAATTTCAGCAAACTACAAAATCTCGTGGCACAAATATCATATTTGAAAAGTTCGCGGTGCAAAGACAAAATTTTGACGAAGTTGAGTCCTTGTTGTGATATTAACCATTTTGTTAAACAAAACGAAAATGAAAAAAGGACCGTTCTGGCGCCAAAATCAAAGACTCAAAATCCGTACGTTAGATTTTGAAAAGGGATATTCTGTCATAAATTAAGAAAAAAAAAAAAAAAAGAATCATAGGGATCTTCCCTCCTTCCCCAACCCAAAAACTGCGAACAAAAATTCGCTGCCCAGTAATCAGCCAGCCGCCAAACTCAACTGCGCCTCTGTAACGCTCCCTCTACCTTTTCCCCCCCTGAAATTCTAGGGTTTCGTATTCCATTTTGTTTCTGTCACTCCCAATTTTTCTCACTTCCAACTCTCCTTCCGACAATGGCGACGTCGCCCACTCTCGTCTCTCCCTCCCGGACCACTTGCGCCTCTCTCCTCCGCCAATTGCAGGTTCTCTCTCTCACTCTCCCTCTTTATGGCGGTTATCCTAGTCAAATACAAGCGTTTCCGTTTGTGCTTGCCTTGCTTGGTCCTCCTTCGTCTTATAATGTCTCTCTCTCTCCCTTCTGATTTCGCTGCTGAAGTTATGCTGTCTGGGGAGCGCTTACCGTTCTTCTTCCGAAAGATAGATTACAGTCTGTTTTAGCACTCTAATTATCGCCAAAGTCAGTTATTTTGCCGTCTCTCTGGTTTCGTTCATAGTTTAGGCCTTTTTTTTTGGGGGTCAATTCGCTAGATCTTGAGTTGGGGATTTCAGATTTGAGCTTGATTCTCAGTTCTCTTTTGGTCTGACTCCGATTAAATGTGTTGTCTTGAAGGTAATATGGGATGAAATTGGGGAGGAGGATGGGGATATGGACAGGATGCTTCAGCAACTTGAACAAGAGTGCCTTGATATCTACCGTAGAAAGGTCGACTCCAGCAGAAAGCACAAAGCTGAGTTGGTTCAGTCATTGGCCGACGGAGAAACTGAAATTGCAAACCTTGTTTCTGCTCTCGGGGAAACTGCCTCATTTCCTCAGGTTTTTGTTTTGCTTTGCCCTCTACCTCCAATAACTACGTACTTCCAGTTGCAGCGTGCTGTTAGGTTCTCATTCGTCAGTTTGATTCTTTGTCTGTTGAAGAGGGTTAATGGCTCTTTGAAGCAACAATTATCGGCCCTCAAACCTGCTTTGCAAGACTTGAGACAGAGGAAAAAAGAACGAATGAGTGAGTTTCATGACACTCAGTTGAAGATTGCTCAAATCTGTGCTGAAATAGCAGGAAATGATCTCAGCACTGTCGATCCAACAATTGATGAATGTGATTTGACTGTGAAGAGGTTGGACGAGCTCAAGTCACACCTCAAGGAACTTCAAACTGAAAAGGTTCTAAAGTTGACTATTTCCTTGAATTTCCATATTTCTTTTGTAGTCTCCCTTTATGTTCATTATCTTTTTTGTGTCTGATATTCAGAATCTACGTCTGCATAAGGTTAGCAGCTCTCTCGGCAAAATTCATGAGCTGTCAGTTGTAATGTCAATTGATTTCTCCAGTACTGTTGCTGATATCCATCCCAGCTTATGTGACCATACTCATTCAAAGAGCATAAGCAATGACACACTAGCTCGATTAACTAGTGTGATACAATCATTAAGGCAAGAGAAGCTGGACAGGCTATGTAAGGTGATATTCTGATGAATAAGTTCATTTACTTACTATTCCTTTCTGGTTGTCGTGCTCTTTTTGTATTCATAAAGTAGCTCAGAGATAATTGTAGTAATTCCATGAAAGCGAGGCTAATGAAAGCGCTAGGATTTCAATGATCTGAATACCACTTATTCATAATACTTGGGGCTGCTTGTCATTTCTGTGATTGATAACTGTTGAATTATCTCTTTGAAGCATTTTTATCTCATGGCGATGCAACCAAGCGAAAGTTACTAGCTCAGGCTTCCATTTTCCCTTTGTAAAGTAGCCAGTTGCTTTGTGCTATTCCCAATACCAAAGTTATTGTGCTATGCAGAAGTTTAGTATTGCTCCTATATATTTTTGCTATTCCCTTAATAAGAAAAATGAGGTAGGTTTTTATGTCAAGCTAGTGGCCTAGTCCTCAACAATGTACAAATATGGCTTGGTTGTTTGTTTTTGATGTCTTGCTTCTGATAGTTTCCTTCATTATGTTTTTGGCATGACTCTTCCATTACTGAAGCTCCAAGATCTTGGGAAGACACTAATGGGGCTATGGGATCTCATGGATACAAATGTAGAGGAACAAGGAAAATTTGATCATGTTACTTCATTGGTTTCTTCCTCACTGGACGAGGCATCAAGAAAAGGCTGCCTTGCACTTGAGGTCATTGAGAAGGTGCAAAAAATTGTCTCTTGCCTATGACTTGTGGAGTTGCTTTTCTTTTTGCTGAAAACTTACAACATTTCTGCTGCAATTAGACTGAGGTTGAAGTTGAGAGATTGAATGCTCTCAAAGCCAGCAAGATGAAAGAGTTGGTATTGAAGAGACAAAATGAGCTGGAAGCAATATACAGAGATGTTCATATGGATATAGATACTGATGCAGCACGGCAGACTCTTATCAATCTAATTGAATCTGGTAATCAGAATGTTTGGTTTAGTTTCGTGCTTCCTGCACACATTTCAAATTTGATTCAGATAAGGACTTAATGATAATTACCTTTTCTGAAAAATTCCTCAGTTGTGATGTTCCAGAGCAAGGCTTAGCAATTTGCACTTTTCTTCATGTTTTGTTTTCATAGTTTTTCCTTGCTCAGGAAACGTTGAGCTCACCGATCTACTTTCCAGTATGGACAATAAGATAGCAAATGCCAAAGAGCTAGCACTGAGCCGGAAGGAGGTTTTGGACAAGGTAGAGAAATGGAAACATGCATATGAGGAAGAAAAGTGGCTTGAAGACTATGAAAAGGTAATAATCCTTTTGACATTTGTAATTTTACCAAAACATGTGGCTTTAATGCAGGAAAATGGGGAATCTGAAATTTCTCTAGTATCATCATGATTGATCGCTATTGATGCTAGCATTTATATTTTTGTACAATTTTAGGTCCTTTATGATAGGTATATTCATCCATCGTGTTATGTCTATAGATCATTCTCACATGCTAAAGGTGTAAACAGTTGGTTATGCATTGATTACTTGTACTCATTATCTCCTCCATAGGCTCTCATTCTGCCTAGGTTCAGTATGTGAATGCGGCAATACTCCTTGTATGTTCATCATACTTGGAACAAATAAATGGGCAAATTTTTTAAGTCAAGCTGACCTGTGTGATTTTGATATTCGTTTTTACTAGTAAGAAAAGTGCAACTCTGTTTTATATCGATTCTCCTTATATCTAAGTTAGCGTTCCTGAAGTTCTACGAGGAGATAATGTCTTTGGCTGGAGTAGCGTTCCTGAAGTTCTATGAGATAATGTCTTTGGCTGGAGGGTCATAACGGTGCCAATCAATTATGGGTAGTGAGAAGAAGTATTTTAAAATGTTGCCATTTGTTGTAAAGAGGAGGATGGTAGAGCTACTAGCTAGTAGCTAGAGAAACACAAAGGTCCATTGTTGTGGAAGTTGTCAGCAAGTGTTGTTGCTTGGGGTGAGACATATGATACTTTATGTGCTGCAAGATGAAGGGTATCATAGCTGTGGTTTCAATTCACCGTACTTCACTCATAGTCACTATCCATCATAGGGTTCCTGGTATGTTTCTTTTTAACTAACCCATGTTTTATCGGTTTGTTGATTCTATATTAGTGATATCAACACCATTCCAGTAGTTGAATGTCGTTGATCTCTAACATTAAACTATGATCTTCCATCTTTCTTTCCACTGATGTATGTTTCTATTTGCTCTAGTCATCCAGTGTATACTTGTTTTGTAACCCTCTACATCACGACATGAAGGATTTAGGATAGTCGGCAACTGTCGCGTCTGGTGCTGCGTACTTAATTTTACCAAGTCTGAAAATTTATATTGTTCAGTCAGCTAACATTACAAACTTTGGATAGAAGCAGATGCTTGTTTTTTATTTGGTTCATCCGTTCATGTATTGGTTTGCAGACCATTGCAGACTGAAGTTCCAATCTCTAGTCTTTCCATTTATCTAACTTTATGCTGAAGTTTGTCTGAATATTGTTATTGTGGATGAACAAGCATCACATTTCCTTCATTTTGTCAGGATGAAAATAGGTACAGTGCAGGAAGAGGTGCGCATAAAAATTTGAAACGAGCAGAGAAGGCAAGAATTCTGGTCAGCAAAATACCATGTGAGTAAGCAGCTATCTCCTGTTATATTAAATGTAATCATATATATGTTTTCCCTACATAAACATCATCAACTCTGGTGTCTAAGGCCATCTTTGGAGACATGGTTCACTTTGTTGGATGGATAACTTGTTGAACCATGACAATCATGCTTGTAGGCTGTAGCAGCTATGCTTTTCATTAGCATGTTTAAGTGCCTCTTGTTCAAGAATTGATCTAGCTCTCACTACTTTGCTAATGTGAACCCAGCTATGGTTGAGAATTTGACTTCAAAAGTGAAAGCGTGGGAATTGGAGCGAGACATGGCTTTCCAGTACAATAAGGTAAATACACCAATCTCTTGTTGTTTCCATCAACGTGAACTTCCCTAATATGTATTTACAAACTCTCAGGCTCCCCTATTAAGCATGTTGGAGGAATATACTGCAATGAGGCACGAAAGGGAAGACGAGAGGCGACGTACAAAGGTATGCTCACTTGAACTTCCTTTCATTTGCAGCTTAATCAAGGTATTCATGCAACAAGAACATCCATGGAGAAGCTTATGATCTTAAGACTGAATCAACATAGTGCTCGACTCAGTTTAACTATAAACAAATTCAACTACATCTCACTTGGATTTATTCTATTCGATCTTGGATCAGTTAAAGACACTCTAATTAAAAATTTTTGGAACTTTCGGTTTGTGGAAGCATATCATTATCTGAACTCTGAAGTCAGCTGCCACAATTTCCCCCTTTGTGCACATCTTGCAGGAGCACAGGCGTCTACAAGAGCAAATGGCAGCTGAGCAAGAGGCAATTTATGGGTCGCGGCCCAAGAAACCACTGGGCCAAAGCACCACCAACAACACCATGATTGGGACACCCATCGGACGCCGTGGCGCCACCCCATTGGGCCATCACCACGCACCTTCAGCCGGAAAGGAGCGCAGAGAGAGCCGGTACCATAACGTGGCGCCTATAAACTATGTGGCTCTTCCAAAGGACGACCACTCCGTCTCTCGTGGTGCATAGCCAAATCCGGGCTAGGGTAAAAAACCTGTAAATGTCCGATCATGGTTGAAATCTCGAGACTTTTCATATACAAATACAACAACGACCTTGCCTTGAGATCTCATCTCACTAGAGCAAGACGGGATTATTCTGATGCGCTAATTACGTAGAAGATTTCTCTTTGTAGGTTCTTTAAAGGATGATATCATATTTCAAATTAGGTTTTTGTCGCTTGGTGAGATATACCATATGACTAATGCAACATATTCCATTGAATGAGACAAATACTAAGATGATTGACTTTTTGAAAAGTTCTTGTGTAGCATCTTTTTCGTTTCCTTATAGCAAGAATGTGATTTAGAGAAATAGTTGGGTGAATGCAGATCAAAAGATGCACCACGAGTTTAGATGGTGAAGATTAAAATTTGTCATATGTCAGACCCATGAACTCAATTAACCATTTGTCTTTTAACCTACTATTTAATATTTATCATTGTTTGATGCTGGCGTAAAAGCATATATTAATTGTAATCCAACACATTAAGCAATAAGCAACCAAGAGGGGGAGATTGGAATGGGTAGCAAATCATATAATTGTTTAAGAAAAGATGATTTGTTCCTTTTTTGAATCTTGGATAAGTTTTTGGAATCCTCAAGGAATCAAGCTCCAGACAGACATAGGAAGGATGATAATGGCATGGGTTTTGTGACATCAAATATATATGCAATGCAAAGGACGATTAGAAGCTTCTATCATCATGAATTTTAAAATTTACGGTTCGTTTTAATTTAATGACATAAACATAGTGGCAACTCATTTGATCGGAAACATGCATATAAACTGTTGTTTAATCAACAATGACTATTAGGGTCAACAAGATAATTCATTTTTTAACCCATAAATTCATTTTTTCATCCGGCCTCTGTTGGCAAATTGGCTCGGGTGCTTCTGTTAGGATCATTGAAGATACTTAGTTGCCTACCTCCCCTCCGTCCCGACCAACCCTTCTGCCTGGAGCGTCCTTACCTAGGCCACATGTTTCTTCCTTAATTGACCATGGATCCGACGCTTAGAAGGTATCTCTCTTAGTCTCTCTATTTGATGAGGATTCCGTCAAGATTATTAGATCTATTCCTCTGCCCATTTTCCCCGTTTCTGACTGTTTAGTATGACATTATGAGAAATCGGGTGAGTATTCGGTTAAGTCGGGTTATAGAGTAGCCTCGGATGATTTTATTAATAATCCCTCAACCATTCCCCCTATATTTGATGTGCCTGCTTGGAAAAAGTTATGATCCCTCAATGTCCCCCCTAAGCTTCGTTTCTTCCTCTAGCGTGTCATCAAAGGTTATCTTCCTTTACAAGACGTTCTCAGAGAAAAGGAACTAATTGATGATGAGGATTTGGAGGGTGTGAAGTGCCCGGTTTGTTCGGAGGGTTCCTAGACCATGATCCACTTGTTTATGCATTACAGGGTGGCTGTGGAATAATGGAACCTTGTTGATCTTAACCATTTACGACTACAGGTTTGCCATATGCATGTCTCTGTTAGTTGGCGATGGTTTCTTTTTCATGCAGGTCTTCTCGAGGAGGTTCTTAGGCGACTTGTATATGGATTTCGTTTGGAAGGCTAGGTGCTCCACCACGTACAATGGCCTTCAGTTCCTCCCATCTACCATGGCGTGACAATTCCATTCTCAAGTTGAAGAATGTTCTTCTACTCAAGCTGCTTTGGCTGCCTCAAGTAGTCGTCGTTCACATCACTCAGTCCCTCTTGGAGTTCGCAATCCTCCTCCTCCTACTCCTCCTCCAATTCCACAAGGTTCTATCCTAGTTCACTTTGATGGAGCAACAAAATCAACGGTTGGGGGAGGAGTGGGATTTGTTGGTTTTGTAGGGCCAGATGACATTCACTTCGCGTTTGGGAAGTTTTATGATTATTTGGATGATGCTTTCATCATTTAGCTCATGGCACTAAGAGATGCACTTTAGAGGTGTCTCTCGCATTCAATTTCTAATGTCTTATTCTGTGGTAATGCGCATGTGATCGTTCAAATGGTAAACCGCAAGGACTCGTCCCACGCACAAGCTGGTAGCCTTCTATATGAAGTTAAGGTTCTTCGTGCCTCCCTACAGAGGCCATCGTTCCATTTTGCCACGTGTAAGTATAATAGGGCTGCCCCATCTCGTGGCAAAACAAGCCCTCTCATCGTTGGATCGTCGGTTGGTCAACCAACGGCTCTTTCTTAATTATAACTTGTAATTTTGACCTGCAAAGGTCCTCTTATTTTGTCGTATCTGCTGTAATCCCTCTCGGGATATCTTTGGCAAAAAAAAAAAATCAACAAACAAATAACAATAATTTCAAGTGCACAATGACCCAAATTCATCACCAATTCCTCCTTATGTAAATAAAAAAGTTTGTTAAAAACCTTCAATTTTCAAACCAAAAAATACTAAGAGGCGTTTGCTTGTAGAATTTTGAAAAATGAGGGATTTAGGTAAGATCCTAGATTTTGGGATTGAAGGATTATGTTGAATTTTGCTATATTAGATTTGTATTGAATTTTATAAATTGCTTGTTTGCTTGTTGGATTTTAAAATGGATTTATCTCTCATAAATTTATTGGTTAAAGGAGGAATTTACCTTCCTATCCTTAATAAAGTTTTATTGTATTGTACATATTTATTTGCTTGAAGAAAGAATTTACACCACACTACCACATGTGATTAGAACTCTTCTCTATCTTTAAAAAACCAACATAAGCCTTCGCATATGCAACTATTGCCCTCATTTTGTATGACAAAACAAAAATAATTAGTAGGTATAATTAATCCAATGAAATATATTGAAGAGTCATAGAATAATGATCAAACGAAGCAATGATGTTGTTTTCTTAAAAAGTTACAACTATTTGTTGAGTGTAGGTAAAAAATTACAAACATATAACAATGACAAATGAGGACAAATAGGGAATAATAAAAATGGATGAGGATATCATGGACTTTTGTCCTCTCCAAAATTCCACCTCATGAGGCGAGATTTTATAATCTGTAGGATTTAAAATTTTGCCACCAAAAGAATCCCACATGTGCGGGACCCACTAGAATAATGCAAATCCCATATTACTATCAAACAATGGACCAAGCACTCTGTATCTCTTCCGAAGTTAATTTTCACATCAGGTGTACCCTTAAGGTACCGGAAGATCCTCTTTACAGCCTGCCAATGCTCCTTTCCAGGTTGTATCATGAACCTACTGACAACACTAACATCATGTACAAGATCAGGTCTAGTGCATACCATAGCGTATATCAAGCTACCTACTACACTAGCATATGAGACCCTCGACATGTACTCCTTCTCAGCCTCTGAATGCAGTGCATAAGCTGAGGATAGATGAACATTTCAAGCACTAGGAGTATTTAAGGGCCTTGCCGAAGACATGCCAAACCTCGACAATATCTCCTGGTTGTAGCTCTTCTATGACAAGAAAAGCTTCTTCTTCGACCTGTCCCTATAAATCTCCATACCCAAGATCTTCTGAGCAGCTCCCAAATCCTTCATCTCAAACTCAGCACTAAGAAATCCCCTTTAACTTCTGGATATCAGACTTCGACCTTGCAGCTATGAGCATATCATCCACATACAGAACAAGATAGATCATCGAACCATCCTCCACCTTGTTGTGATACACACAACAATCATATGGACTTCTGCTGTAGCCCAGATCAAGCATGTAGCTGTCAAATCTCTTGTACCACTGCCTCGAAGACTGCTTAAGTCCATACAAGGACTTCTTCAGCTTACAAACATAGTCTTCTTTTCCTGGAACCTGGAATCCTTCTGGCTGAGTCATGTAAATTTCTTCCTCCAACTCTCCATGTAGGAAAGCTGTCTTCACGTCTAGTTGCTCGAGCTCCAAGTCATAATGTGCTACTATTGCTAGTAGCACCCTGATCGAAGTATGTCTAACCACTGGTGAGAAAATCTCATTGTAGTCAACTCCTTCCCTCTATGAGAAGCCTCAAGCAACCACCCGAGATTTAAATTTCATGCCCTCTTCAGAAGTGATTCCTTCCTTCTTCGTATAGATCCACTTATTTGTAACAATCTTCCTTCCTTGTGGTCGTTTGACTAGCTCCCAAGTCTGATTCCTGTCATGGGATTCCATCTCATCTCCCATTGTGGACCACTGATAAGCTTTGCCACCCGAAACGACTTATCTATAGGATTTTGGTTCACCTGCATCCAATTTTTCAGCAACCTGAAATGAATACGCCACCATGTCCCTGAAGCCATACCTTTGTGGAGGTACTCCTGCAGTCGCTCTCTTCGGTCTACCGGAAGCCATAGACTGTTGAGCTCGTGCACTGACTCTGAAGTTTCTGGCTCTGCAGAAACATCCTCATGTTGATCTTCTCCACCTTGGTGCTCAAACTCACTCTCATTGAGAGTTTTAGCTCCACCTGCTTATCAAAATTCTTGCTACCTTCAACAACAATAACCTTCAACATGGGGTTAAACATAGACTTCTCATCAAATATCACATTTCTACTGAGTATAACTCGATGCTCGGAAGGTGACCAGACTCGAAATCCCTTAACTCCATCTTTGTAACCCATAAATACACCCTTCTTTGCCCTTGGGTTCAGTTTACCCTCATCCACATGATAATAAATAGGACACCCAAAAAATTTCAGTGAAGAGTAATCAGCAGGCTTACCATACCACACTTCATAAGGAGTCTTACACTCGATACCTGTGTGAGGTCCACGGTTGATCAGGAAGCACGCCATGTTTACTCCTTCTGCCTAGAATCTTCTCTCTAGTCCAGCATTAGAGAGCATGCACCGTGCTCTCTCCAACAATGTCTGGTTCATCCTTTCTGCAATGTCATTCTGCTAGGGTGTATCTCTAACAGTCCGATGACGGGCAATCCTTCATCCTTGCAGAATTCGTTGAATTCAGAACTGCAGAACTCCAGACCATTGTCCGTTTGCAGCTTCTTGATCTTCTTCCCAGCCCGATTCTCCACCAAAGTCTTCCACTGCTTGAACTTCGTGAAGGCTTCACTTTTCTGCTTTATCATGAAAATCCAAGTAAACCTTGAGTAATCATCAATAATAGACAAAAAAAAATACCTACTTCCTCCAATGGATTCAACTCGTGAAGGACCCCAACAGTCGGAGTGGAGGTAATCCAGTATCCCCTTTGTCCGGTGGATATCCTTCTTGGGAAACTTGCTGCGATGAAGCTTCCCAAACACACATTGCTCACAGAATTCCAAATTCTGTACCTTGTGCCGCAAAGAAGATCCCTCTTCGACAGAACTTGCATCCCCCATTCACTCATATGCCAGAGAGTGGTCATATCTTCCTGATAAACCTGAGATGATGCAACTGCAGCAGAACCTGACAACACATTTCCTTGTAATGCATATAAGGTACCACGTTTCATGCTTTTCAGTACCTTTCTCAAACCCTTGTAGACATACACAACTCCACCTTTTCCTTTGAAACTGAAGCCCTTGCCGTCGATTAGACTCAAGGAGATAAGGTTCTTTGTCATTCGTGGAACATGTTTGACATCATTCACGATACAGAACGAATCATCATGTGTTCAAACCTTTATGGACCCGATTCCAACAACCTTACAGACAACTCCATTTGCCATGACCACGTTACCACCATCTATCTGCTCATAGATTGTGAAGCAATCCATGTTCGGAGACATATGGCATGAGGCTGCAGTATCCAGAAATCACACGCCACCACGATGTGCCTTCTCATTTACAACCAAGGCGAGATCGTCTTCAGAATTGTTGTACACTTATGCCACGGCAACCGAACCTTGGTTCTTCTGTTGCTCTCGTCTCCTGGGACAATTGTACTTCCAATGCCCCACTTCGTTACAGTTGTGACAAGCATCACCTGGTTGTGGACCGGAACCCTTGGAATTCTGTTTTGAATTCCCTTTACCAGATTTCTTCTTTCCCTTTCCACCTGTAATAGCCAAACCCGATGCCTCACCACCTGTACCAGATCCGGACGCCTTATGTCTGATGTCTCTCGTGTGAAGAGCAGATCTGGCATCCTCCAACGACAAACTATCTTTACCAGCAATAAAAGAATCCACGAAATTCTCATATGAACTCGGCAAAGACACAAGCAGGATTAGGGCAACATCAACTTTCACATCTATATTGCGTAAATCCAACAAAATAGAATTGATTTGTTCCAGATGTTCCCTCAAAGGCGTACCTTCTTGCATCCTCAAGCTAAACAATCGTTACTTGAGATGCAGCTTGTTGGTTAGAGACTTAGTCATGTACAGACTCCCTAGTTTCAACCACAAGCCCGCGACAGTCTTCTCTGCAGCGACTTCAATGATGCCGTCATTAGACAACGATAGCATGATGTTCGAGTGGGCCTTCTCCTACAGGGTATTCCACTCATCGTCATCGACCGATGCCTTCTTCTGTTTCGCAGACAGCGGCCCCCACAACCCTTGTTGTTTCAATAAAGTCTGCATCTTGATCTGCCATATAGAGAACCTGTTCTTCCCTGTGAACTTCTCGATCTTCATGGTCACCGACGTCATTCTTCAGAATCGAAACCCTAGCCTGATTTCTAGCCGCGACTCTGATACCACTTGTTATAAACGCGTTGCTACGGATCGGGAAATAGCCGAAATCGAGAAAACAAGAATACGAAAGCGAGAATAAAAAATACGACACACGATTTACGTGGTTCGCTAACACGATGTGTGTTAGCTAGTCCATGGGCGAGAGAGAGCCAGTTTCACTATATCGAGGAGATTACAAATTATAGAGGAGATGAGAAGTATTTATACTTCTCCATGTGGGTCTAAGCCTAATCCAATATGGCAAAGGAAACGGTTACAAACCAGGCCCAGAACCCGAACCCAAATAACATTGAGCCCATACACCGTGGGATGATAGTTTGATTCAAGTCACATCAACAGCCGGAAGTCACCAATATGTAAAAGAACTTGCTAGCAGGTGTCTCTAACACAAATGGTTGAGAGACTTCATCAGTTCTTTTGCATCCCTCTTAACAAAAGGTAGGCTTGAAATTTGCACATTTCTATATTAACTTGAGCTTAAGAACATGGTTCGTATTAGGGGATTACGAGGGCCGAAGAATAAGACGTTTTGTCATTTAAGATCTCTGATATCATGCGAATAAGGACTTGGCTATTTAACATCCCTCACATATCATCATCCTCCTCTCACCCTCATCCTAATAGAATACTTGTCTATTTGCTTGAGCAATAATCCCATTCTTCTCAGAATCATTTGAAGTACTTTCACTATGAACTATATTTCCTTGTTTATCATCATCTGGACAAGGTAACTCATTGACTTATGCATTCCCTTCTTGATTGGAAAAGGTTCGAGGATGGGAATGCTAAATGTTTAGGAGATGAATAAAAGCGGATTGGGTTAATTGCTAGAGTGGCGGGTAATAAACTATGAGCTAATTGAGAGGATGGATGGAGGAAACTCGTTGATGGAAGGAGTCGGGTGTAGGTGTGCAAAGGAGGAATAGATGAGAAAGAGAAGAAATTTTATTGAGGGTCGCCTATCGAGTTAGGATTGTTTTATGATATTGGGTTGGAGGGAAGAACTTGACCTGGTTCATGGGCAAAATCCGACATGACCAACCTGATTTTGTTTGAATTAAAGGAACCTTGAAATCGTACAAAATCGTAGATTTTAAGGAATTTAAATTTTAAATCGGGATTTTTTGGGATTTTTAGGTTTAAAGATTTTGTAGTAAAATCAGGATCGAAACCCATAGGTAAAATCGTAGAATCGTAAGATTTTAAGATTAAAATCGGAATTTTGGCTACATTGTTTATATGTAGCATACAAATGTGTATAGTTTTCTTCTTCTGGGTCTGTTAGTCTATGTTTCTGTTAGAGGCTTAGTGGTTTGGTTTTATAGTTTTTTCAGACGGGTTATGATTTGTACAGGGTCATGGTTCGTGTATTGTAATGATTGTATTTGATGAAAAAATATACTCTTTTCATAATTTTTTTATAACAATCAACTAAATTATCACTAAAATCACACCAATGGTTAGATATTTTTTCTTTCTTCTCATTCTTACGACTTAATTTTGTCTAGAAGATTTCTCACTTCGTTGTTTTTTCTGCCTTTGGAGTACGTACTTCTCCAATATTCATTGTAGAGATTGTCATTGTCGAATTGATCACATCCACCTTTTTTCTCGATCAAAAGAAACCTTTGATGTTACCCAAACGATCAATACGCGTATTAGTGGATCGCCAAATTTCTTGCCCTTTGATGAAAGTGGAGTTGTTCGCAAGTGAAATTCTGACAGAGAATCAACTTTCTTATGTGAGAAATTAAAAGTAAAGAAGAAGAAAGAAAATGGAAGTTGGGGGAGATATAATGCACTAATTGCAGATACCCAATGTAGCCTAGCCAGGGAGTGAAATTAACACTTGTTATGTGGCGAATCGAAGCTTACACCAAATATATTCCTAAACAATTGTAGCAAAGTTGAGTAATCTTTCTTCTTCTTTACACCAAATATATTCCTAAACAATCGAAGCTTACACCAAATATATTCCTAAACAATTGTAGCAAACTATACAATTGTAGCAAACTATATAGTATTGGTGTTATAGGTTTTTGTCTTTATGGTACAACTTAAAATTATACATTTACGTTATGGTACAACTTTAGATTGTACATATACTTTTTTACAAATTCTTTTATGGTACAACTTGAACTTGTACCTTTATGTGATGGTACAACTTCAAGTTCTAAAGTTGTACCATAACATAATGATATAAATTGCTTTATGGTACAACCTAAACTTATACATTTAATGTTATGGTACAACTTTGAGTTGTACATTAAAGCATCAATGTTATATAGCATAGTAGAAGTGCTCATCTTCTGATAAAAAAAAACTTATAATGTGATTATATTCTAAACTCACAAAGAAAGAATTGAACAAAAGAGTTGGTCCTATTTTTAATCGAGATTGCGAAACCATATTTTACGCTGAATCGTTGTTTAACCGGGGTTCAATCGTTTTATATCTCTAAATCCGTCTACCAATTTAAATTTGATAATAAATTTGTTCGATCGGACCACCAGTACAGTACGATTTCACAAACTATAATTGGTTTGCAAGTGGATTGTGATCATGCCTGGTGTTGACATTTGCTATCTTCATTCTTTGAAAGTGAAGTTTGCTAGTTATTGGATCCCCATTTCGTCATCCTTTCCTTTCAATTTATTTTAAAGTTGCTATTATGTTTTACATATAAAAATGACACATTTAAATAAGGATAGGGTGTACTTTTGATTTTGGGTGTATGTGATACACCTGCTTTCACAATTGTTATTTTGTTCACTCAATTTGTCTCGTAAAGATATAAATTATAATTTCCAGTTGTATAACAATAAACAAGAAATTTGGTGAATTTACATGGATTGTCATTCGCTAGTATTTTAAAGATTTCTGAAACTTGCTCGGTGCAACTTCAACAATTCATCTAATGCTTTTTACGAGATGAATTCTCATGAGTAAAAATGAATGAATAAGTTGTCATCGACTAAGAAACAGAAGCGGTTGATAGAATTACATGCTATTTTTTGTTGGGACTATGTGATAAAATTTATTAATGAAATTACGTGAAAAAATAGATTACACGCATGAATATATAAATAAATTTGTATATTAGTTCCTTAATAAGTAAGATTGTGCAATGATGGATTTATAAAACTGAGTTGTCTCATTTATTTTCCTAGACAGTGTGAGTAACAAAAAACACGGTTTTTTCTTAAGAACTTAGCATTATTTTTAATATAGGTGTCTTGCATGTAGGGTTGTTAATGAACCAACCCGCTCATGAATGATTTGGTGTTCGATTCAAAAAAAACTTGTTCGACATTCGGCTCGTCTTTAAACGAGCAACCTCGCGAACACAAGCTCGTCTGTAAACGAGTCGAGCTCGAGTCATGACATGTTTAGTTTGATAGGCTCGCGAACAAGCTCGAAAGCCTTAGTTTTTGTCGCTGGTGTCTTGTGAGCTGAATTTGAGCTCGAGTTTGAGCTACAATCGACATTTTATCATATGAACTCAATCTTTACTCGTTAAACTCATTTGGAAAGCTTACCCGAGCTTCTATTTTTGTAAACAAGCCGAACTCGAACTTGCCTATTAAAGCTCGTGTCGAACTCGAACCGAGATCAAGATTATTTAATCAAACTGAACCCGAAATATGGCAAACCTCGACTTCGATCATTCACAATCCTACTGATATGACATTATTATAATATTTTGACTTTTGTTTTTAGGACTCGTTATTATAATTTGAGGCTTATCATAAAACCACGCCCACTTTGCCTTCGGCGTGGTATTTTTTACTTGGCCCTAATCAAAACTATACCATCCACCAACCCCTTCAGTGCCGTTCACAGCCATGTAAATAGAGAGCCATTCTAATTCATTAAATAAAAAGAACATTGCTGATAATTAATTTCCCAATTCAATACCTATCAAGTCTTTTAATTTTTATTTATTGTTCCAGGCAATAGCAGTGTCAATCACAGAACAACCGTTCAAATCATTGTTGATACGCCATTCAAGTACGTAGTATACTAGCTTTTTACCCGGTCCGTTGGCCGGAGAGATTTATTTTATATTTTATATGTTTAAATCATTTTGGATCTTCTAAATATTTTGTAACAGAGTTTGTAGTATGTCTATATTGAAATTTCCAATATTTAGCACACTCACTTGTGGTGCTTCGGTTTTCGAATCATAAATTATGCCGCTGTCACGTCCCATTTAGAACTTATGTCAAAATTCGTCAACCAAAACACTAATATTTAGCGTACGCCAACCTAAACCACACACACATATATATAGTTCAAGCTAGCGTGCGCCAGGAGTATGTTATACTCTTGCGTTCATACTACCATACGACCATTGAGTTTTACTATTTAGACCCGAATTAACCGGATTTTTTTGGGGCATTATACTATACCCTAACCTCTAATAGGTGAACTCTAGTCCCTAATTCTGTAACCTCTAATTTATGCACATACTTCGTAATACGTATCTTCTATCGTATCTTGAGTTAAATAAAAAGCATAGTATACCTTGATATTACATATACATGTATATATATATATATGTATGTGTATGTATATTACACTCAAAATTATCTAGAGATCTCGCTTTTACCCCCATAACGCCATAGAACCATTGGGGTTGTCTATTGTTCGATATATAATATAAAAAAGGTAGGGATGACGGGATCATAGCTCGATATGGTTTTATTATGTTCATCTTATCAGAGGTTATGTTCTTTGTTGTTTTTTTTTTTGGCATCTTTTTCATTCTACTTTAGCACCTATGGTTGTGATCAGAAGTATTTAGCCCTCGAAAGGGATTGGGATTTTAGGTCCTTTGGAAATCCAATACACATTCATGATCCTCGAGTTTGGACGAACTCTCGACCAATGTTGTAAAAATTACGACTTTTTAGTGAGAAATTCTTAGTAAAGATACTTCATTATTGGATTTATTCATCCATATTGAAACTTGACACACACTGTAGCCCTCATGATGACTAAATTCTCTAATCTCGACTCATTTCCATTTTGGATGTTTGTTTTTTTTATCCAGACACTTAAATTTAGTATATTATATAATATGTATCCATTGTTAATTTTTGAAGTTTATACTAAACCTCAACCGGTGGTCATTGTTTATATGTTGACTTAGAATCTCAATCTAAGGCACTCACACACACTATCGAGGATTTTTGGTCTTAACATGGTCGTTGAATGTGTAATTTTCAAAGATTTTATCGCTTATATATTAATAATTGATAAAGAGTGTCTTCAATACACATATTTTAAGTGCATTTAAATTGTCTTATCATTTGAACAATATCAGTGTATTTCATTTGATTATTTGCATTAACATATATTAATTCATTTTTCTCGAGTCTAGACGAACTGAAAACCAATTTTGAGAATTGAGATTATTGGATAAAGATACTTGATTGTTGGATAAATATGTTTATCCCAATTGACGATCTTACTAAAAATTGCCAACCTTTATTTGGTAAATGCCTATGTTAGTAGTTGATGAAACATGATGTTTATCATAGATTCTGAACAAAGATTTTTCTAACCTTCACATCTATTATTTTTCAAGGAATCTTGTGTCTCATCCTAGGGTATGAAGTCAAAGTTCGTCAACAATCATACTTAAGTCATTTTGAAAATTTTGATTTATAATCGTCGAAGATAACTCCAAGTCTGAAAGAAAATTTCTTAGCATACGACTTAGAACCTCAATAGAGCTTGCTCAATCAACATGATATAGAGCAAATATTATTAATGTGAACTTAGGTCACATTATCAAATTATTGCACATGCGATTCCTCTTCATTTGAGGAATTTAAGATAGAACATGATCTGAATGAATAAGATTTTTTTTAAAATAAATAATTGTAACTACTCGATCAAGATTATACTCTGACATCTTGCTAAATAATACTGTTTTATTTTATAGATATATATTGTACGAATAAGAGAGTGTTTCATTGCAACAAAATATAAAGTAATTTAGTTTATTTTTCAAAGGTAATTGAATGACAAATGTTTATTTTCTCTTTTTTCATATATATTTTCGTTTAATCGATTAAAACATAATTGTTTATGTGTATGTTTTTTTATTTTTTCATCAAAATGTAACTTATCATTGAATTTTAGTAAAAATGAGTAGAAAATTTATTTCATAAGGTTTAATCAGATATTTTTTATTTAAATAAATGTGATATATGTCACTCTCTTTTTTCTTATTTATATTTTGTTTATTTAAAAAAATTATTATCTATGTGTGTTTGGTTAAGTTTATCAACATGTAACTTATTGTTAAAGATAAAAAAGAATAAATGAAAAAGAATAATTGGATAAAAGAAATGGAAATATTAAAGAAGAAAGAGGCAGCTCCATAAATACATTAATAACTATTTTTTTGTTTGTAAAAAAGTTGCCAACTTGGCAAATTGTGGATCCTCCAAGTGCTTATGTGGCAAGAAATCTTTTTTGAATTGCCATAATATATAGTATAGATAGATAGATAGATAGATAGATAGATATAGATAGATAGATAGATGTGACAAATTATTGAAAAAAATATATTTATTTATATATATTCTGAAAAGAGGCTACCTTATGATCAAATGATAGAGAACCTACTCAGGCAGATCATCATGAATGATATAGATAATAGCAAAAATTCTGTAATTAACCACAAATTCCATAGCGGGGTATAATAAAATCCTTATCTATAAAAAATAATAAGTATAAGAAGAAAATAACTATTAGCTAGTAAAGGCTGTGACCCTCTTGCTCAAATTTTCGCATTTTTTTTAACCTGGGTACAGTCGGGTCGCGCTTCTGACAAATTTTACTATCAGTAAAAACCTACTTTCGTATGACCACAGAATTGCTGGACAACTAGCATGCAAACTTAATCACTCTTTCCTTTTATTGGTAGCTCGAGATCAGGAATTGACTATTTCACATGTCTCAGTGAAGCTAACTTTCTTGCAACTGTTTAGTGCATGAAAGGCGTACCATGTTTTCTGACACTCATTATATTATCCTTATAGACCTGAATGTTCAACATTGATCTTTGTATCATCGTGTGGTAGGATCCCTCCTTGATTTGAGTAGACACTACATAAAAAAGCTCCTATGCCAAGGGTTTTGTAGCAAGGGTTTCAAACCCCTTACTACTTTTTACAGAATTTATTGTACCAACGTTTTGGTTCAAGGGTTAAAATACCCTTGCTATAGACAACCAAATTTCATCCGCTCCTCCGTTTCTCCAGCTGAAATATTTGTTTAACAATTCAAAATATAAAAAAACGACACCCAAAGTTATCCAAAGAAAAAAAAACCCTGGTTCTGATCTCCCTCCTCACTTATCCCGACTGAAGGGCGATTCCGATCTCCCTTGCTTACTCCGGCCATCGGATCTCCAATCTTCCTCGCTCACTCCTGCCGGCGATTCTCCAATCCTCCTCGCTCACTCCGGATGGCGATTCTCCAACCTTCCTCGCTCGATTAGGTTGACAGGCGATTGTCCGATATCGCTCGATTAGGTTGACAGGCTAAAGGTAATATTCTCCCTTGTCTCCCTCCCTGGCTCGCTCTCTGCTTTCCTCGCTTTGTTGTCCCTCCCTCGCGCCAGCGAGCTCATTCTAGTTAGGTTATAGATCAAATTTCTTAGTGTTTGTGGCTCTTAGCTTCGCTATATGTTCATGGCCCTCATCTTCCCTATAAACTGCTCCGCACTCTCATCCACTTGCAGATCATCATCACCACCAACATTTCCCTCTCCCGACTATGCCGATGATGACAAAAACTGGTGGCAGGAGCAGCGCCAGCCGCCAGCAGAGAGGACGGTCGGGAGGGTGAATGTGGTGTTTGGCTCCTCCTGCCAGGAGCTGAGGCATGGGTACCGTTGAAAGCGGAGGAGGTAGAGTTTCTTCTTGACGGTGGAGACGAGTCGTTTAATCAACGACTTCTTTTTGGGAAATGATGATGTGCTCTTCAATACTTCTGGCCTCAACCAAGACATGGTAATAATTACTGTGTTAATAAGCTCTAGAGAAGAATAGGAATTGCCCTCTTCTTGTGCTGCTTTAGCTGCCATGCATACTCTGGTTTTATTGGAGGGGTGATGAGATTCTTTACTCTTTAGCATGATTTTTGGGGTTCAAATGATTTGTTATGCGGCATATTCACTTAATTTCTGGGTTTGATTGGATGAGATGGGATACGTTGCCCAGATTACTGCAGTAAAAATGTCAAAGTAGTGGAACCTACCCCAATGGTAATCGTTATTAGTTTCTACAAATTCCAATGCACTTGTGTTTATGTTCTTATCTCACTCTACTGTGTGTTTGATGAATTGAAGATATGACCATTCATATGGTCTCATGGATTCAATAGGTTGGGGGAAGGTGAAGAGGATATTGACCCCATGCTATTGGCTTTGCTTTGCTAGTACATGTTCTCTCACATATTTTGTATATTATCTCCTTTTCTGAACATATTTATCTTCTCTTGTAGCAATAATTTGAGAATAGAATCAGGTATCTTGAAGTACAAAAGACTGAAGGGAAAAATCCTTATCCTCACAAGACACGAGGATGGACGAGGGTGCAAGATGTATGGAACATGGATGCAAGTGAAATGATCGAATTGGAGATTGATGAATTTGGAGTTTCGTGTGGTAGCGAGTCATCTCTGTTTGCATCCTTTCTTGAGACGATTCAAAGAAAACAACACCTCGACTCCACTATCGATAGAGCATTCGAAAAGAAGAGAGTTCAAACCATTTCACCAACATATAATGAAAATCACCAAGGTAAAGAGCAATGTGTTTAATTTTTACGGTTTTTGTTGCATTCTAAAGTTTACATGTGAGCTGAAGTCCAATGTGTTTATTTTTTCAACCATGTCTGTTACTGTTAGTTTTTTGTAAGAGAAAATGCCCTTGCTGGTGAGGATGAATGTGATGTTGAAGCCCTTTTGATGTCTCAACTAATATTTTTTTTTTACTACTTGAGAGATCCATGTCTGTTTGCAGCTATCATGTCTAGCTCTCTCTCTGTTTTCCTTCCCGGCCTTAGAGATTCTGTAGCCAAGTTAACGTAAACGAACAAATCCAGATGCATGCAACAATATTTTTATCAAACCATTTTAAAAGTTACTTGTTTCATTCTAAATCAGATTGTATCCCTCATCCCTGGTATGCAAGGCCCCAACTAACCGGCTTTGCAGAGTTCTCTACTCTCAAGATTGATGCTCAGGTGAGCTCTTTCTCCTTCTTAATTTCATTGCCGCATAAGAACCTAGGACTGTCTATGTGTCAGTTAGTTGTAAGTTGTGGTTGGAAATTTCTCACCCTTTCTTGCGTTTGCTCTTCAGGTTGCAGCATGTAGTTGTCGATGATGCCTGTTGTGTAGGAGAATGCATCGAATAGTTTGTCATTCAACCTGTCAAGATAGCTACTCTTTTCAGGAATTGTAATGTATTTTGTTGTTCCATTTCTTATATGAAGGATTTTGGATCATGAACTTCCCATGTAGCTTTGAATAAGGTTCTTTTGAGTACTTGGAAAATCACGAATGTACTATTGTTACTTCGGTTATGTTTGAATGTTTATAGTGATTAGTATTTAGCCATGTAAACTCCATTTTGGATGATGCTTCTTATCATGTTATGATTCAGGTTATGAAAGGTATTGTATTATGTTATGAATTTTACTAACAAACGTTTTAGCGATGTAAACATAGATCATAATAGCGATGTAAACTAGAATTAGATGATTTCACGAATCGGTAATAGGTCAAGGAAACCTACCTCGATCCATGACGAGAGCGACGACGGCGACTTGAGTAGTAATCACCGGAATTGAGTTTCTCCCTCTTGACCCCTTTAGGTTTTAGGTTTTAGAGATTTCTGTGACGGCTAAGAAATTCTACGTAATGGGTTTAGAGAGGACCAATCCTAGGGTTTCTTTATATAGACCCAACATCAGGGTATATTAGGAATTTACCTTTCATTAACCTAACCAATATAGGACTTACCTTATATATTAAACCATTTAAGTGATAATTACACTTGGGCCACAATTATTCCCTAGTGACCTACAAGAATTGGGCTTACATTCTCCCACTTGGCCCATGTGTCATTATATATCACAAGATCTAATAATAAACATAAGTGTGCACATCATAAGATAAATCCATTATAATATTTGGTTCACCATAAAGTCACAATCAAGTATGAAAGCTACATTAGGATCATGGTGGTTGTATATCAATTTATCAACATAGTCCCTCCCATGTACCACAAAACCAGTCTCATGCTCAATATGACACATAACAAGGTATTCATAATGGTCCAACAATAATGTCTTCCCTAAAGACAAAAATCTTGTTCTGTTCACATAATGCATAATGTATATATACTGATCATAATAAATAAAACAAGATTCATAAGTTTATTCCAGAAACAAAAATAAATGAGCTCAAAGTGTCAATCCATGAAACATAAAATAACTTTAGTCATGACGTCCTATAATTCCCATCCTTTTGACATGTTCAGTAAATGTCTTAGGAGGCAATCCTTTTGTTAATGGATCAGCAATCATAAGCTGTGTGCTAATATGCTCGATCGACACCCTTTGTTTCTGAACTTCTTCCTTAACGACAAAGTATTTCACCTCCATATGCTTAGAACCCTTCGAATACTTGTCATTCTTAGAGAAGAATACCGCTGCAGAATTATCACAGTAAATTTTCAGCAGCTTGGCGATAGTGTCGACAATTCCAAGTCCAGAAATAAAATTCCACAGCCATAAACCATGATTCGTAGATTCATAACAAGCTATGAATTCAACTTCCATAGTGGATGTGGCAATAACAGACTGCTTCGCACTCTTCCATGAAATTGCCCCTCCGGCTAGAAGGAACAAATAGCCAAAAGTAGACTTCCTGGTGTCTACACATCAAGCATAATCTGAATCTGAATATCCAATCGCCTCAAGGTTATCAGATCTCCTAAAGGTGAACATGTGGTATTTTGTTCCTTGCAGATACCTTAGTACCTTCTTTGTAGCTTTCCAATGATCTACTCCTGGATTACCTTGATACCTGCCCAGCATTCCGACAGCAAAACTGATGTCTGGTTTGGTACAAGTTTGTGCATAATTAAAAGGGTAAATACAATTTAATACCCATACCTTTCATTTTAAACAATATAATAGCCAAACCTTTTCGAAAACAATCTAATATTCAAATTGTCAACTTTCCGTCCGTTTCACCGTTGGTTGACACTTCAAAAAAGCTTTGTTTAGGGGAAATTGTCACAATACAACTTTATTTTCTTGTTTTGGCATTGCAGATGACTGAATATTTAGATATTCTATACCATCATAGTGGAGTCATGGACTTCTCGGGTTTGAAACCACGATATGTTGGTGGTTTTTCAGAGAAGATATTGATGGATATTGATGAAGCGTCATACTTCGAACTTTTTTGAAGTGTCAACTAACGGTCAAACGAACGAAAAGTTGACGATTTGGATATTATATTGTTTTCGAAAAGGTTTGGCTATTATATTGTTTAAAATAAAAAGTTTGGATATTAAATTGTATTTACCCTAATTAAAACTCCCAACAATAGATTCATAAGGGATGTGTTCCATTTGCTTGCGTTCCAATTCATTCTTTGGACATTGTTTGAGACGAAATTTATCTCCCTTCTGAATTGGAACGACATTTGCAGAGCATTCAACCATGTTGTATCTCTCTAGGATCCGGTTAATGTATGATTTCTGAGACAATCCCAACTCGGGATGGCAATGGGTAGGGTCGGGTGCGGGTTTACCCTATACCAACTCCTAACCCGCCGGGTAGAGCCTCCTAAAATACCCGGCCAAATAACCACCGGGTATGAAAATGATGTAACCATACCCTACCCACCGGGTAACCATGGGTACGAATCCTAAAATATGAACTTATACACATATATGCACATACATACTGTTGTCTAGGGTGGCTATTTGGACCGGGACCGGATTAAAAACCGGAAACCGGACCAAGACCGGACCGGGACCGGATAGTAAACAATCCAATCCAATCTTTGGGCTTAGATTTGAGGTAAAAAACCGGATAAAGACCGGATAAGAGAGCTCAACACCCAAAACTTAAGGGTAATTTGCATAAACGGTCACAAACCTTTGCACTTAGTACAAAACTTAACCAACTCCTCACCCTTTAAGGCCTTAGGCCACTCAAATCCCACAATATCAATGTAAAATCAAGACCGAATTGGGACCGGACCGGATCAAAACCGGACCGGATCAAGACCGGACTGTATCCAATCCAATCTTTGGTCCTTATATTTTCAAAAAGACCGGACTGGACCGGATCAATTTGGGCCAATTTAACCGGACCGGACCGTATAGCCACCCCTACTGTTGTCCATTAAAAATTCTCCATACTTTAGCTATTCTAGCTTCAATAATCCAGACAAATAAAAACAGCAAACACATAATAATTGTTCTTGCTTCTACAATCGACAGAAGCAATAACACAATACATCATATTTATTCTAGATTCAACAATCCACACATAAACAAAAACAACAAAGACAATATTAGAACCAAACCACATCAAATGCTCACTGCTAAACTTATGCTTCATGACATCCATCAAGGCATTATTAGTAGAACAATTATCCAAGGTAATCGTAGATACCTTTGTGTCAATATCCCAAGCAAGTAAAGTTTCAAGAAGAGTCTGAGCAAGCACCTCACTTGTGTGTGGGCAACAACAACAAAAAAGACTGCTGGGTAGGGTTAGGGCTAGGGAAATTGACCCTTTGGTTAGCGAGGCGGGTATAACAGGGCGGGTATTATCGATTACCATACCCATACCCTACCCTTTATTTTGAAATCGGGTATTACCCGTACCCTCCCCTTAACCCGTCAAAGTGGGTAATTACCCTCGTTGACCGGTTACAGTCGGGTAGGGTACCCATGGTTACGGGTTGGTTTGACATCCCTAATCCCAACAGTCCTTGTGATCTATTAAGAAATATTTCTATTCCAATCACATAGGATGCCTCACCCAAATCCTTCATTTCAAAGTTCTTAGAGAGAAACTCCTTGGTTTGATGTAATAAACCAAGATCATTAGTAGCAAGCAAGATATCGTCAACATACAGAACTAAAATTATAAACTTACTCTCACTGATCTTCATATATATACATCGATCGACGATGTTTTCCTTAAATCCAAAAGATGTAATGGTATCATTGAACTTAATATACCATTGTCGGGAAGCTTGTTTAAGTCCGTATATTGACTTCTTTAATTGACACACCATATGTTCTTTTCCCTCAACCACAAAACCTTAAGGTTGATCCATATAGACGGCTTCATCTAAATTCCCATTCAGAAAGGCGGTTTTCACATCCATCTGATGAAGCTCTAGATTATAATGAGTTACCATTGCCATGACAATCCTTAAGGAGTCTTTCTTAGAGACGGGTGAAAATGTCTCTTTATAGTCAACACCACTTTTCTGAGTGAAACCTTTGGCAACAAGTCTGGCCCTGTGTCTTTCGATATTGTCATTAGAGTCGTGTTTGGTCTTCCAGACCCATCTATTACCAACTCTTTTACAACCTTCAGGCAAATCAAAAAGGTCTCAAACTTCATTTTTGTACATAGATTTCATCTCTTCTTTCGCAGCAGCTAACCATTTATCAGAATGCTCACTTTCCATGGCTTGTGAAAATGAAACTGGATCATGATAGAGTCCTAAATCAGATTCTAACACGTGAAGATAAACCTCATAATCATCATAAATTGCAGGTCTTCGATTTCTTGTAGACCTTCTTAATGCGATTTCTTGTGGTTCGTCTATGTTAGGTTCATTCTCAATAGCAATATTAGGTGGTGCTTGACAGTTCATTTGTTATTCTTGCAAATCGTTATCATGCTCAACATGTGCAGGAGCAACAACTTGAGAAGAGGGTAGAGGCAAAGATATTTGCACTCTAACTTCTTGAATTTCCACATTGCGTGGCTCTAAGCTCCCACTAACTTCACCATTCTCTATGATCCTAGCATTTCCAGTTTCAACAATTCTCGTACTATGGTTAGGGCAATAAAATAGATACCCCTTAGATTTTTCTGGATAACCAATGAAGAAACCACTGATTGTTCGTGAGTCCAGATTCTTTTCATGTGGATTATATATTCTTACTTCCTCTGGGCAACCCCAAACATGCAGGTGCCTTGAACGGGGTTTCCTTCCCGTCCACAGTTCAAAAGGTTTCTTAGGAACTGCTTTACTAGGAACCCTGTTTAACAAATACACAACAGTCCTTAAAGCGTGCATCCACAATAATTTGGGTAAAGATAAGTTGCTTAACATACTCCTAACCATATCCATTAAAGTACGATTCCGCCTTTCTGCAACACCATTTTGTTGCGGTGTTCCTGGCATAGTGTATTGAGCACAGATACCATGTCTTTCTAGGAACTTAGCAAATGGACCAGGGCACTGTCCACTTTCATCATATTTTCCATAATATTCTCCACCTCTATCAGATCTGACAATTTTCACCTTTCTTTGGGCAAAACAACAATATATATGCGATAAATAATCGTAATTGATGCTCAAAATAATCATATAATTGGTGATAGACATACTCAAATTAGATATACTTTAATCTTTGGATATACTAAATATATCTAACCAAGCATATCAATTTACCACGATAATGTTCATGAGTTATAAAATGAGCAATCAACCTTTGGGCGATTCAAAATATTTTATAATCACGAACTTCAACTTAAAAGCATCACATAAACATTAGTAGTTGAACTTGATTCAACTTGATATCTATAAACCTTCTAATTTGGCCAATTTAACTCAAGTCAAAGCAATTATTAATCATAATTCTCAAAACACATATGCAAAACTTGTTTCATTAATGAGTTTTTTATTATAATAATTACTTAACTGATCAATCATCAAGCCTACTGATCAAATTAATTATCAGGGAAACTCAAGCATGTTATCACAAACACAATAAATTTATCAACCCATCTCATAAATGTATTTAATAATCACATCCGAAGCCAATAGATAGCAACGAGGGGAAAAGAAGAAAAAAAGAATGGTAGTGGAATTTGTTGAAGCATAATGGCTCTCGCATACGCAGAGCTTGTGTATATAATGGCCTTGATAATAAAGGAGAGAATGGAAGACAAAACCTCGGTCGGTACGGTGCCCAATCAGCGAGAACGCCTGGACCGATTTGGATGCCATTGTTAACAAATTATATGGCAGTCCACTAATTAGTTTAGCGCACAAATGCAGCGGAAAAATATACATAATCGAAAATCATTTATTCATGTAAACCTAATGCTCTGATACCACATGTAAACATAGATCATAATAGCATGGATCTTAGAATGAGATGATTTCACGAATCGGTAATAGATCAAGGAAACCTACCTCGATCCATGACAAGAGCGACGACGGCGGGTTGAGTAGTAATCACCGGAATTGAGTTTCTCCCTCTTGACCCCTTTAGGTTTTAGGTTTTAGAGATTTCTGTGACGGCTAAGAAATTCTACGTAATGGGTTAGAGAGGACCAATCCTAGGGTTTCTTTATATAGACCCACCATCAGGGTATATTAGGAATTTACCTTTCATTAACCTAACCAATATAGGACTTACCTTATATATTAAAACATTAAATGATAATTACACTTGGGCCACAATTATTCCCTAGTGACCTACGGAAATTGGGCTTACAAGCGACGGTTTGGGTTTGGATACAAAATATTGTCATGCTTTAGTCACAGATTATGCAAGGGTTTAGACTCTTGCAAGCCTATCCATTATAATATTATTTAGCAAGGGTTTTGACCCTTTCTAATTTAAGCAACAAATTTCCCAAGGGTTACAACCCATGTTACAAACGCCTCTTTACATATTTTTATACAGTAGCAAGGGTTTGAACCCTAGCTAGTTGTAGGAACGAATTTTCCAAGGATTTGAACCCTTGCTACCAGAATCTATGGCTTAAATTTTACAGACATGTAGCAAGGGGTTAAACCCTTGCTATAACCGTTACAGGGGACATGCACCAAGGGTCGTCCAAAACCCTTGCTATATGTAGCAGGGGAAGATTTGCCAAGGGTCCATCCAAGGGTTAAAACAAAATGGGTGCAAAGCACATCTACCTCACTACAAAAAAAGGACCTATGCCAAGGGTTATTTTCATCTGTAGCTGCTACAGATGAAAATAACCCTTGGCATAGGTCCTTTTTTTGTAGCCCTTGCTACAGATGAAAATGTCCAGCAACTGCGGTTAGTTATTCAATGCCAGTCCTCTACCACCGGTTATAAGACCCAGATCTCCCCAACGCAGACGCTCTTGGCATAGAAAGAGTCTTCATTTCCGTCGAATTATTTTATTTTTGTTAACTCAGTCAGATTTCTGACAAGACACAACACAAACAAATTTTTTTTGGTGAAAAATGAGTGCGGAGTACCAGTACCTCTTATTCATGTATCGAACGAACAGTAAGGCCCTTGAGTGCCAACAGAGCATGAAAGGCTAAGGTGAGTATGGGGTGCTGATGGCTAGCAATGAGGGCCGGTATCTAGGAGCATTGTGATCGCCGTTTTTGAGTTCAGCTGCAATTCCACTCGACGATGCCCTGTTTCCCATTCTATCTCAAGGCCCTTGAGTGCCCCCAAATCTCTGCTCGAGTTATGGTACACGTTACCAGGTTCATCACAAACAATCTATAATAATGTTTCATGCGTATCATAAGTCTTATTAAATTAACCTTAGAATTCAGATGGATGATTATTCATTTCAGCCTTTCTACTTAAATTATAATTCTTTCCTTCTTTCTATCCACTTCTACTCCCAGATTACGAGAGGCCAGGTTATGAATCTCTTCTGTTCTCTAAATTATATTGATGGACGATTTGGTAGCGATAGTGAAGGGTAGGCTGACAACTTAGTGCTTAATTTTTATAATTATTAATTAACTATACATTACGTCTACAAAATCGATGTATAATTATGCATGACCTTTATCCAGTGGTTTCTGATATTTACATATAATAATAATTTCTTCATCACAAGTTGACTTATAAGTTATAATATATTCCAAATTACATATGAAATATTATGTACAAACAATAACTTATAAGTAATGGATTTCCCAAATCCCAATTGATTTGGGAATCTCGCCTTATAATTTCACTTCGCGCTGCCATATCAGATTCTTCCTGTTTCCATTAATAAAATCTCTCGAATGTTAACGAATTAGCATAGTAAATGAGAATTTATGACTTTCTTGCTTATCCACATTCAAGATGCCGATTCTAGTTTTGAACTTTTTTTAAAAAAAAATTATCGGTTAGATTGTTTTACCGCTCAAACTGATAAAACCGGAAAACAAAACTTTTCGTAGTTAAAGAAGACATGGTTTCATCTAAATTGCATAACACAAAAACTCGGCTTTACCAACTTCCCCCAGCTCCTCAACTTATCAGGAATAATTAGTAATCATATTCAAGTTGACCAACCAAGCCAGAAAAAAGATCTATAAGTTTTAAATTTATTCCGTTGCATATTATACCAAGGGACTCTAACCCTCTGTTTTCGAAGGAAGGGAGGAAAATGAGGGGAGGTGAAGGAAAATTAGGTGGGGAGGGGAGATTTGGATGTGAAGAAAATTGAGAGGAAAATGTTGTTTTATGGAAGAAAGTGTGAAGGAAAGTATGTATTGGGAAGTGTGATGAATATGTTATTTTATTGGTTATGTAATAGTAATATAATTTGATTGTATGTTAATATTCTACTTATAAATTGTGAATTAAATTTGTACTTTCTTTCTAAACTGCACTAGAGATTATACAGAGAAAATTAGTGGTAGGGTATTTTGTTCTAAAATCATAATTTAACCATATCAATTATTTTATATTGTTTAAAATCCCATATCGGTTTAGACTCCGATAGTAGGTGTTTCCAGCCTAATTGTCGATGGTATGATTTTAACCCGTGTTAAGTCATTTGAGAAACCAGCTAATAAACAAAAATCTTATAAATAGAGACTTTATAATAATTGATCAAGCATTCTAAATCAATTAAAAATTATTCAACTGATATTATGCAATGTTTAAGAAACAGAACCATACCAGCCGGTCGGACCGGAAATATCGGATATCGGACCCAAAATTATATGCGATTTTCCCTGTATGGTTTCGTAATCCTTGATAGTACACTCAAATCTTTCAACATCCAATTAATAAAAAACCTACTTAAGTATTAATTTAATTAATTTGAACAATGGAGATCATAAAAAACTAAAAGAAGATAAATTGAAATTATGAAAGTAAAATAAAAGGTGCAATACACGAATAGAGAGAAAATGGGAAAAAAAAATAGCATTATAATTACTGGGAAGAAAAAAAAATAGCATTGAGCTGGTCTGTTTCTTCCACAAACCAACAGAAATTTCACTACTTAAATAATAAAAAGGGTAAAGATGAGCAACGCAGGGACACTTTCCCTCCGATTTGGGAGGATAGGTGAAACAGTTCATTTTCCTTTGCTTTTCTTTCCCGGCGGTACTGTATCCCAACCATCTGAAATGGGAAGAGTTATTATGGAGAAATTGGTTGAACAATGTAAAATATTTGATTTTCGAATCTAGATTGGAATCCTAACCATCTTTTCGTTATTTATCATTTATGAGACAATACCGTCTATGAAACAAGAATTACATTACAAGATAAGTCGTGACTTCTCTCTATCATTTACCATCCATTAACCAAACTTGGCCTTACATGATACATCGGAGTAGTACATATAGCACAAAGGGAAGAGTAAGAAAAAGAAAAAAAAAAGTAAAGAAAAGAAATTGCATATCAAAAGCACCATAGTTTATGTCAATTCTTTCAAAATGCAAAACAAACAAAAGAGCTCACAACAAAATGTTGGGGAGGATGTGACAAAAAAGAACAGAGAAAAAGGCCCATTTTCCATGCATTACTAAAATTTTAAGTCTCATATATTTCTCTTCTTTTTTCTCTCTTTTGAGAAATTGTTTTTTTTTTTTTTTGGTTCTCTTTTCCCCATCCTCCTAAGCTCTGCCGTCGGTCTCTTGGTTAAGCTTCTCCAGCGGGACTTCATCAGCCAAAGGCATGCTAATGGGTGCAATCATAGTAATGTGCTTGCCGTTGTTGTCGTTGTCGCTTTCTAATTTCTGCACATCATCCACCACCTTGTTTGCTTCAACATCTCCATTAATGGCTGCCACCACCACTACCGAGCTCCCATTCCCATAGTTAACCGCCGCGGACGATCCCTTCACCGGGTCAAGAATCTCGTCGTCGTCGTCCATGCTCATCTTCTCCTTCTGCTTCCCCCACAGCACCGCGTACAGTCCTATCACTATCAGCACCGATCCCACAATTCTGCGTACCATGTCATGAACCAATTTTCGTCAGTAACCCACTCAACAATTTATGGGTATCTTGAGATTCGGTTTCTTACCCTCCAAGGAAGATCTTCTCAGCCAAGATGAAAGAACCCATGATCGCCACAATGATCATCATCAACGGGCTGAAAGCCGTCGCGAAAACTGGCCCTTTCTTCTTGATCACCAGCCCTTGCACATAGTACGAAATGCTCGATGTCACAATCCCCTGAATATATACAAAACAAACTCCGTTAGACAACAATTTTCTTTTTTTATAGACAAACCGAATCTACGAAAAGGGAGAATTTGGTGGCGGGGGAAGGGAACATACAGCATAGGCAGCAGCGAGGAGGTTCATGTCGAATCCAATCTTCCACGCCGAGGGATTGTGCTCCATCACAAAGGTGACTGCAATTGCTTGGACCGTCCCCATGAAGCACACCAGCGTTGTCAACGACAGCTGGTGGTTCTTGTACGTCCTCAATGCTTTGGTCTGTAAAAAAATAAAAATTTCAAATTTTGATCAGTACCCAGTTCAAATTAATCTTCCTATCATCTTCCTAGGTGACACTAAACAAGTTACGTTGTTGTTGTTATACGTACTTGCAGGACGAAGAGAAAGGCCCAGGCGAGGGTGGCGAGGATGAGGAGAATGGAACCCTTGAACCAATCTTTGTCGCTGCTTTCATGGGAAGCAGTGGCGCCCTGTTCAGATGCAGCAGGCTGCATGGCTTTGGACCAGAACATCTCCACAATCGGACCTTTGTATAATGTCATCAGCATTGCACCTGCCACCGTGACTAATGTTCCCACCAACTTGGCTTGGGTCCTCACTTTCTTCACTTCCAGCTTCTCCATTCTGCACCACCATAAAAACAGAGGATTTTTTTTTTTTTTAGAACCAAGTTGACATGGAAAAAAAGAAATAAGAGAGTAGAGCTCTTAATCACCGGAAGATGACGGCCATCACAAATGTCATGGCGGGGAGCATGTTGCTCATTGCACAGGAGAATGTTGGAGATGTGTACTTGAGCCCAGCATAGTAGAAGTTTTGGTCTATCACGGGTCTGTGAATATGTGAAAAAAAAACAGAGGAATTTCATTAGACACACATCCTCTGTTTTTTTCTTATAAATTTTGTTCACAATAAGAAGTGTCATCGTGTTGTTGTTGTGTGTCATTACCCAAGAAGGCCAAGGATGAAAATCTGCATGAAGATGGAGAAGGTGATCTTTGGCTGCCCTTTCCTGTAATAGAAGAAGAAAGAAAGGAGTTAAGCCCATGGTTTTTAGTTTCTTCATGAGCCATGGGAACTCGTGGTTAGGGTTATGGAGATGTGAACCTCTCAAAGAAGAGGGCGAAAGGAGCTATAACCGCGGTGGCGAAAGCGTGGCGATAGACCACGAGGACATAGTGGCTCATGCCATGGTTGAGGGAGACCTTGGTAATGATGTTCATACCAGCATAACCAAACTGCAATGAGATCATTGCAAAGTATGGCTTGGAGGTCTCTAGGAACTTGCTGCACCTAAGCTTCTCCATCTCTCAACTACTCTTTTTTTTGGAAGTTAATGTAGTAGTAAAGCTTCTTTGCTCTATTTTGTTTGAGAAGGGTGGAAGGTTTGGTACTTGGTTGTAACAATGAGAAAGAGGAAGGGAAGGAGAGCCTCAAAAGCCTTTAAGAGTGTAAAGGTTCTTGTGTTTCTCCTTAAGGATAATGTAAGAATGAGCACTCCTATTTATACTAGTGAAGGGAGGGGGAATGCAGGCAGGGGAAGGAAGGAATGAAGGGTGGAAATTGGAGCCATGCAAATTTTTGGGAAATATTATAATGATGGCCTTCTCTTCATTTCCCATCCACATCTTTCATTGCATGGGTAATGGGTTGGTAAGTAGAAATTCTTGCTTATCTAATGTCTATTACTATAGTGTTCTTTTTTTTTCATTTTGTTTTATTTCGTTGGAATAAGAAGTTACGAGAACTCCAATTCGTTGATGAAAACATAAACTTTAGTAGAGGTCTTGATCTATATCGTCAAGCACGGACATTGGTAGTACTATAGAGTCAAAGATAAAAAAAAAAGAAAAAAAATTTGGTGAACACCCTTGTATCTAGTGTGAGGTTCCTGTAAGTGGTTAATCTTGTCTTTCAATTGATCATCAACAACTTCAACATCTGTCTTGATTTATTTTTCTGTATATGTTTCTTCACTAATCTTTTTTATGACGTAGAAAGACGGTATCCAATGAAGTTTGATTCATATGAGTCTAATACCTTAATCAGTTGAACTACGATTTCGTTGGAAAAAATCTTGATAATATAATTTTCTGTTTTCCTACCTAAAATTCGAATAACTTTTTGATGGACATATTAATCAAAGTACTTTAGTTGCAATAGAAACGTGTTATCTTTCTCTTATAAGTAAGAGGTGATTTTCACTTTTTCTTTCTTCAAAGAGATGAAAGCATTGATTGGGTAGTTAAACTTTAACATGAGGAATTATGGAGTTACAGAATTATCCATACATTTTCTTGTGGTGAATTGATCACTACGTGTACAAAGTAGGAAAGAAAAATAAATTGATACAATAAAATAATTATATATGGGATTGGCCAAGGAGTAGTGTTGGATATCTGAGTCAGCCAATAGAGTGAGGTAAGCTCCTAATTACAGCGACAGCTCTATATATTGAGGCTGAGGGCAGCAAGCAAATATAATGCCATATTTATTCCTTTGGTTTGCTTATTGCCTCCCCAGGTGTTTTTTCGATTGTGCGCTCGTCTCCATCAAATAAATTCAATGCCCAGCAGGAAAGGACATTCGTATAACTCCACTATAATAGTTAGAAGGCAATATCAACCATTAAGATGCTGATCTACAATTTATGTGAAGTTTCGAGGTCTATGAATCCTTTGTGCATATGCTATCATATGTAGGGAGACACTTGGGGGGTTGGGTGGGGGTTCTTTGCGGGTTTTATCTGTACTCGTCCCATATTAGATGAACACGTGGATTGGGGAGGTTGGGGGAGGGGGGGTTCGGATCCCCTTGGTTGCTATTATAATTGCAATGGCGCCATTGTGTAAGATTATTGTTGCGTTCAAATTAATGTATGGTCATGTCAACTAAACATCGCTAATGTGTCGTGTGATATTGTCACACGCATTGAATTGTCGCTTTCTTGGTCAGTGATATACGTAATTTCAGTCAACATCACGGCTGGCTGAACACAACTTAGTTGACATGCAAGAAATTGCAGTGTCAGCTGAGTGTTGTTTCCTTGATCAATGGCGTACGTGTAGTCAACGACCAGTCAACCAACAGAAGCATTGGATTGAATTTTTCTTTTCTTCAAAACTTGGTTATTTTTGAAAAATGTGTACTTTTGAAAAAAGTTCTGTTTGTTTTCACAAAATTTCACTCGGAGATGATATGAAGAAATAATAATCCTACGAATAGGCCTAATATAAAATCACTATTGTTAAAAAATTACAGGTCGTCGACTCGAATTAGAAGGAGGTTTAGGTTCAAAAGTTAACCGATAACTTACAATTGCAAGAAAATATTATGTAGTTGGTATGAAATGTTTCCTTAATCAAGGTACTTGGGTTCGAATCCCAACAAAGGAATTGCAAATTTACTATTAGATAAATGGCGGTGGAACAAAAATGGGCAATTCAGTAACACCAATATGCAGTTTATCGCTCAAATCGACCTTGCAATTTGCGTCAATTTTAGCATGTTTAGATCGGATTTGTTATTGTATTCGATCATTTCTAGTTGAATTGACTCGATCCAATCTGGGTTTACTAGCACGGTTGATAATACACAATTTACAAAAATAACATCAATGATAAATAGATCGAATTAAACCACACTTTTTCCATATCCTAATTATATGCATCAACAGAGGTTCCTATTTTGAGCACTTCTACTATGCTATATAGTATTGGTGCTTTAATGTACAACTTAAAGTTGTACCATAACATTAAATGTATAAGTTTAGGTTGTACCATAAAGCAATTTGTACCATTATGTTATGGTACAACTTTACAACTTAAAGTTGTACCATCACATAAAAGTACAAGTTCAAGTTGTACCATAAAAGAATTTGTACAAAAAGTATAGGTACAATCTGAAGTTGTACCATAACGTAAATGTACAATTTTAAGTTGTACCATAAAGGCAAAATCCTATAGCACCAATACTATATAGCATTGTAAAATTTCTCTCCTGTTTTGGCTAAACTTGATAGGTAGATATATGATATTGAGATCTTAGAAAAGTATATTAATTAATATTGCAAAAGGAGAAAAAGGTTGTGGAAGTATCAATGCTGAATAACAATATCATTGACATCATATGTAGAATATATGTAATACGTACGTAAACTTATTCCTCCAATAACTCCCCCATACAATTATCCAAACTGCAAATATATAATTCTACTTTTTTATTATGGAATAATAGATTTCTGCTTTCTCTTTAAAGAAATGGGCTAAATGACATAATAAAAAAAATGGATAGTGGTGATTTTGGCTTCTATATATCTCTCAAAAAGGATGATACTTCCCACGAGTCACACATAGCTAGATTATATGGTAGCACGATCCCAATGGGAATCTCTCTTTTTTGTGCATGGTGATTTTATACCCAAAGTTTGTAGCCTGCAGTTTGCCACAAATTGTACAAAAACTCATCATGTTTTTTTTTTATATTATGAAGAAAAAGATATTATTCTGGCTTATTATCGGCTTGGCTCAATCGTAATGATAACAGTTTTGTTGAAGGATTTCATGTTTAAATCACATTTTTTATCTGCTATTTGGAAAAATATCATTTGTATGATGAATCCATTGGTCTCAATACTTTAAATTGAACAAAAAGTCCAAAATAATATTTTATATCATTCTCTTACATGTCTTCTCAAATGAATGAGTTTTGAATTTTACCATAATATGTGTAAAAATCAACAATTAAAATTTGAGAGAAAGTTGTGGAGTTCAAACAAGTTACTTCTCATGCAAAAGAATGATACCATATAAAAACCAATGAATCCAAGTTGTTGGGCAAGTTTGGAAGTTATATCATTCTCTTACATTATATATCGTGGTTTGCTAGTAGGATGTGTACTAACTCACCAATAAAATCGTGATGGTATGTATTAACTCATTCGTAATTAACCCAACAAAGATGATGATATAAAATTTACTTTATTTACCTTAGTTTGGGCCAATAGTCCTCATATGTTAAATTAGCAAGAAAGAACATAACTCTGTCAAATCACATAATGTAATACTCATAATCTAATAACTGCTAGCTAAGGGGCCTTTTATCTTACTATATAGCTCTTCTCATCAATCCTAACCATATATTCCCCTCAAGAATCTCTCCTTCTTCCAACAACCCAAATTGATTAATTAACAATTTCAAAGCATAGTGACAAAAATTCCTTAGTTGGTATCCCTCCACAATCCATATATGTAACTACTATATACAACATGGAATATTAATGAATGTGATCAGAATAATGATATATGTGATATAACGCATGCATGCACTAATTAAATCTTGCATATATTCTCCTCTATCTAACTTAGTTTGGCTTCTTTCTTATCAGTAACTTTGAGAACGTTAATGGTTTTACTTTTAACACAACCTTTTATAGCTTTTTTTTCTTCATTTTCAAAGAACAAAGGCACAAAGGGTGGCAAGAGATAAGCAAAGCAATCGATGATTTCGGAAAGCTGTCTGTGGAGAGTGAGAAATTGCAATGAAGGGATGGATGCAACAAGAACCAACCCATGTGTAAATTACTAATATACAATATTGTAGTACTATATATGTAACCCTAGCTACAACAACGTGAGATATGGGGAGAAGAGAGAGAAGACAATTAAGGTGGCTAAGGTAGTAGGGGTCTCAATATCCTATTTAGATTCCTTGTCGGCTCTCTTTTCTTTCCTTTAGCCTACATTCTTGGAGGTGTCTTTATTCCCTGCCCTCCCTCCCCTCATCTTTGGGGGTGTAAGAAATGAAGTTTGATGATCGATCAGTCAGATGTGTTCCTCAATGTTTCAGCTCAAAAGTAGCTTTCTTTCTTTTGTTTTTATCCCCCTGATTAACTTTCTAGATCATGTTTTCTATGGTGTAGAGGCCAGCCTCTGAACCAGTTTCATCTCAATGAATGGATGATCCCAATGCCAGCATGACATGTAACACATTTGAGTTAACTAATGAATGGTTGACATTATATTTGAGGGCAAGGAGCACATGGAGGGACTTACCGGTTGTTTGCTTCGTGGATTTGAAAATTGAAAGTTTAGGTAAATTTTGGGTTTTGTAATACCATGGATATATGAGGCTTTTGGGTTTATTATGTACTTGAAAAATACCATTGTTTGTCGTGGATTTCATGATGGAATTGGTTATTAGATTTGTATGTATGAAATGAAATTTACCTTTATTGCCCTCATTGCTATGAGAAGAGAATGAAATAGGAGGGGTAGTTTGGTCTTAAATGATGGATTTCAAAGTCCATGATCAATTCCCACCTAAAAGGGTGGAACTTTCAAGTCTGTGGGGTCCGCGGATTTGGACCCTTAAAAGTTCGTGGGACCCACGAATTTAATTTGTTGCCCTTAAATGCATGAAACAAACAATGAATTTTGGACAAAATTCATGAGGGAACCAAATCCATCAAGTACATTATTGTGATGTTGTTTCTCGTACAGCCAAAATTTATGATCCCCATAGACATAAAGCCAAGCAATAATTCAATATCATACCACATTAAATCTAGGGATGACAATTGGGTCTCAAAGTTTGGGTATTACTCAAATACAACTTATTAATGATTATAGGTCAAATCAAGTTTTGGTAATCTTACTTTTGGGGCATACCAATACCTTTTTTTTTTTGTCTAAATTGGACCGCCATAATATTGGAAGTCTAAAATAAAATGGGTACTGTTTGTGTCTAACTAAGAATAGGAGTGAGACACGAGAGTAGGAGGGAGATATTGTGGATTTCCGCTTTATTCCTTAGGAAAGTTTTACAACGAGACAGATAGAATTTGAGAGAGAGAAGATCTAAAGTTCTAGTGGGAGAAACTTAAAATCGATCCTTCACCCACCGTGATGAATGCTCTATTTATAGGCTCGTTCCAGTGGGTATTAAATGTGTCGTGACATCCGACAAGACCGGCGACGCATGCCCTGGCGACCCATGTCTGTGATGTGATAGTGTGTCAGGCTGCAGCACGACATTGTTTAGGGGTTTCATTCCGCGAGTGGGGCTTCGCGACACCTTATGACTTAGACTCTTGAGCTGTTGATCCTCCCCAAGTTTCTGTAAGCGCGATACCTTCTTGCAGCGTGGTTCGCGTGTGCATAACCGCGCCATATCCCCAACAGATACCCAATTATAATGCATTTTTTATTTTATTTTCTGTTATGAAAATAATTGAAAGATTAAAATACTTACATTAAATGTGTATCATTGGGTTGAAAGTAGTTAATGAATGATTGGTATTTTTTGTGTATATATAATCAGCCACACCCAATTAGACCCACAATGATATAACTCAAATGAATAGACCCAAATAGAACCCAATTCAAACCCAACCCATACCCAAAATCATTAAAAATACATACTGACCCATTTCGGTCCGATCCAATATCCAGATGTGTCATGACATTTGGGTTAAATTACCCTACTGATCTATCCATTGCCATGTATAGTTAAATCATGTCGTTTTCCCATTTATCATATATATGTTCATAAAATCCTATACTGCCTTCTACCCTAGGGCGAACGTTTCATGCATGCGAAGGCAAGAGAAGTTTCTCGAGCACTAAAAACCCATTTTGCTGATCACAAGAAAATTAATTGATAGTTGGATCTTTCTACACGAATCATTGCCTAATCTCTACAATTATAGACTGCAATCGTCATCCGTTTATTTCTCTCTTGTCTCGTTATCAATACAATAATTATTAGTGTTTTAATTTCCTCTTGGAACGGGAAACAGCCATCGTCATCATGATTAGTGGATCGAAGATTTTTCCCCCACATCCTAGCTGCTACTGCTTACATATGTATATCCATTGAAGAAAGCTCGGGTTGATGTGAAATTGTGAATGACGACCGCACGCTTGTTCAACCTCCTCACAAACGTGTTTAGGGTTTTTGGCCAACAAATGGAAATGCTCGACACGGGTGAAAAGCATGGTTGCGGCATTCCGGTGAAATGTCGGGCGGTAGAACATGATATAATCGGTGTTGGCCATGAAATCAGTTGGAATGCTATTGGTATGATCGCTAGGTTTCCGGCCTCTAAACAAAATGATATCATTTTAGTGCTTCTAATTAGTACAAATAATTTACGATTCATGTCAGTTTCAAGTAGAAACGTTTGAGTGTTGATGTGAAATGGTGTATTTAAATATGAGAATTAGTTATTTTGTTTGGAATGTTGTATTTTATTTAATATGAATATAGATTGTGAGTAAACGTCAATAATTTTTCACCTTTTTATATATTTTTTAAAATAGGTGTGAACCAGACACAAACCAATTGTACCACCTGTCACACCATACTACTTGTTAAACCGGAACCAGTTTCACATAGTGAGTGAAAAGAGACATGTCCACAGTACAACAACCTAGACAAGATAACGAAAACTCTTTTTTTTTTTTTCCTTCTTTTTCCTTCTGTAAATTAGCGCAAAAGGGGAAGGAAGAGTGGCAATCTCAATTTTGCTAGATGAAAAGAGAGAACATGCAAATTACCTTTCAAGTGGGCAAAGCAAACCATCCACCATCCCCACCCACCACTAACTCTAGCACCAATACCACCACCAGCAAAATGGGGGTCTAATCACCCCCCAATCATCTCAAATCATTCATCATATTCCTTTCAATGCATATGCATATCCACTCTTGAAGAACTCCATGTGAATGTTTGTAACAAGAAGTACTAGTAAACACTTAACTATAGAGATAATCAATCCTAAGTTATAACCTCATTGTATGTCTTCATAAAAAAACAATTTTAGATATGAATCAAGTGTTACTACATTGGATTCATCTGAATGAGGTCGAACATTTGAATCTAGCTTTCGATTCATCACGGGTCTCTTAAAAACAGCCTGTCACGTAGGAATATAGGAGAGGGCCAGTTCGGAGTGGGTACTCCAGTTTCCAATACGCATACCCCTCCAGTGACAAGTTGAATCTAGATAGGATTGGGTATTTCGCCTCAAGGCACATGTTGGCATGCATTTCAAAGGGAAAACACTAAACGATAAACTTTTTTTCATTTAAAGTCAAGAAACAAACATCGCCTCTATAAAAAAGAGGATACGACAAAATTAAAGTAATAAGTAATATATGTATAATTTAGACAACCCTGGCGAAGAATGAGGCTCCAAGACCGACAAAGGCACGAAAATGACCCATTTCGCCCTGACCTCCCACTCGGTGTATAACTATCCCACCGAAAACAAATCAAGACAAATTAATTAGCACGAAATAGCTCAAAATTGACCTCCTTGCACTCTCATAATATGATAAAATACAATTTCCAAAAGCATATATGGGGCAAAGGAAACAATAAGATGAAAGAACATTTTCCTCAACTTGTCCAGTTGTCCACCTGACCTCATGCTACAAGAGAAAAAGAGGGGAAAAAGAAAGGAAATTAGGCCCCCTTGGCGAACAAAGAGTAATAAGTCCAACGACAACATGAATATGCATGCCCTCTTCTTCCTCTCATGTCTCAACTAGTTCATGACGCCACCTTCAACTATAAGAGTGTGGTTCCCATGCGCCCGAGAACAATTTAATTCGTGGGTAGTGAAATTATAGTTGTATCATACAGATTAATAATCTAACCTGAAATTCGTTACAAATTTATGTATAATTGACGGGTTCAGTTTAAATAATGAGAAAATTATGTACACTCATTATAACCTACAATATTCGGGTTTGGGATTTTCACATACACATTAAATAAATTTTGGTTCGGATTTTACCCACCCAATTAGGTCGGATTCGTGCAGATATCCACAAGTATGGTTATTTTTGTCATTCCTATCTCCAAGACAAACTTTGTGTATGTTCTTTTCCTAATAATCGCTTAGGCAGTGGCGTAGTCAGAAATTTGACTTAGATGGGTAAAATCAATTTATTGTTGTTGTATAAATTGTCTATAATGTGTTTCCATATTATGAAAAGTATATAAAATACATTAGTTATTCAAAGTATCAAGGATATCATTCTCAACGTAACCTACCCAAAAATCGTTCTTGATTTTATCACTAATCTGATTTTGAAGTGTGTTCTTTACCTAGTTCATTAGAGGATATAATCCTTCAACACTTACAGTGATGTCATATAGCAACACCAATTTAAAAGTCTCTAGACCAATGATCAATGACGTGTTTCCATAATGATCAACATTAACATAAAAATATATTATTAATTTTTTATAATGATGAATGATGTGTTTACTTATTCTGAAAAATATCTAAATTATATTAATCATCCATATTATCGAGAATTTCACTCTCAATATACCCCACTAAAAAAACTGTTCATAATTTCACCACTTGTCTAACGCAGAAATTAAAAATGTCATCGTCACAAAATTTATTGTAGAAAATGATCTTTTAACACTTGCAATTACACAGATAAGCTAGCAACAACAAAAACTTACACTAATAAAAACACTCGATATTTTATTTTACACAACCATTTCCCAAAAATATTCAGCAAGTATCTTTAATCCTGCAAACCTCTCTGCTCTCTTCATTTCAAATATAAAAGCATTTAATTAATGAATGTCAAGATGTAGGATAGAACCTTTAGAGAACTTGTTAGAATACGATGTAGCAAGTTTTAACAACCTTTTCTTGTCAAAAGTTAACAAATGAATCTTATGGATTTAAACATGCCACACAACATAACAATTTCGTGTTAGCCTCATTGAAGATACAAGTAAGCACTTGTAACTACATATCCAAAACTATTATACATAAAACATTTAGTGGCATGTAACTTAGTGGTTGAAAATTATGGCCTTTTACAAGGAGGTCACTCATCTGAATCTCGCTTCCAAGTAAACACGAGTAACATATTTTTTTCATATGCATTTCAAATTTCAGGTTGGTGCCCGATATACCTAGGGGCCGGCAACTCATTCTCTCGCCTAAGAAGGTATGCTAGTTATTTGACCTCCTTCCACACCTTTCAGTCCCCCTCAAAACGTCGTGCGAGATCGATTTTGATAAACTACCAGGCATGATATCTTACAATTTCGAATCACTTCTCGCTCTAAATTTCAACTTTTCACTGTTGATTCGAAGAACATATAATGACATACATGCATATATGTGCTGGTACTATGGCTAGCTAGTGATCCATTAATGTGAACTCCACTAGACAAATGGGGGGAAGCAAAAAAAAAAAAAAAAAAAAAACATGAGTATGTCTGGCCACTTCAAACCCCAACTGAATGGAAGCAGGAATGCACAAATGGCAATGTTGTGGCCTCAATGTAATGGTATAAGCAACAACAAGTGCCCGTCGACATGGGTTGAAAGGGAAGGAATTGGTTTCTCACTGGAGAAATTTGGCTTTAGCAATGGCAAGGGGAGCAAGGGAGAGTATCAGGTGGATTTGTGTCAAATTAAAGTTGTGCTTCTGTCATTCTGGTAAAAAAAAAAAAAACAAATTTAGCTAGTAGGAAGACCTGATAAGACAAATCATCAAATGGGTAAATATGGTAGTGGAGTGGTAGCTAGGGATGGAAGAGGAGAAATGATGTGTCCCGCAAACGCTATAATGTGTTGGAATTTCTGAAACAGTTTTGATAGCAAGGCATCAATGATAAAGCCACTCTTGTTCTTTCCTTGTTTTTTGTTTTGTTCAATCTTTAATTTGGTTCTCATTTACTGGCCATACACAGTAGTTTCAGAGGATACGTGTATCTGTTTGTGTCTTCAAGCTTTGTAAGTGGTTAAGCTTTGTAAGTTCATTCACTCACTTACTTATTTAGTTGAAAAATAATTATTCACAAAAATTGTTTAAGTAAGAGACTTACATAAGCTTTACATAATATCTTAATTATTACAAAAGACTTAAGTAACACGTTTGTTTGATTGATACATAAAAAATAACCATTTATTCAACCATCATAAGTTTTACAGAGTGAATTTTAATAACTGGTATAGAATGGTGTTACATAATTTTTCGTAATGTGTGGTCTAATAATAACATCAAGTAATATCTCAAATTTTATTTAATAATAAGTTTAAAAAAGTATAACTTTTGATTAAATTTTTATGTAAAAAAGGGCTTATAAAACATTTGTGTAATGCAAATTTATAAGATCATCAACAATTTAGTTATTAAGTTAGTCATTTTTATTCAAACTAAAATCATGCATGAAAGACTTATTCGATTTGTTTGTTTAATTGATGCATAAGAAATTATCATCTCTCCATAAAGTTGTGTATTGTCTTAGTCATTAAGAGTTATGTTGTATTTTTTGTTTAATTGATAACTAAAAATAACTACCCTTCAGTAAGATTTGCGTAATAATGTATTTATTTATGCAATTGTAACAATTGTAGTGTGATATAATAATAAAATCAAGTTATGAAAATTACCACATTTAATTAAACTGCAATGAAAATGTTAACTTACCTTACAAAACTTTTGCATAATGTAAATTAAGAAGATGATGAACATTATAGATAGTTACATATAATGTTTACGTAATATATTCATAATAAATTAATCTTACCTATTGTGAAATGAAAAAATACTGAGATAGTTGTCTAAAGATTAAATATCCCTTATAATGAAACTAGCTAGGTACAAGAGATGCACGACAAAAAATTACATAAACAACTAACAGTAACTCGACTTGACTCGACCTGATCCAATCAGATTTGAGGTTCGGCAATGGAATCCCTTCGTGGCTCAAACAAAAGTTCAACTTCAATTCATCTATAGAATCTTGAGGTACACACCCAAAAGGGCCAACCATTATAGAAATTGATGTACGTACGTACAAAACTCCAACCAAATTTTTTATTACACTTGTGGGCTTTCAATTTCAATATCTAGATTGGGCAGGAACTGTAGATGTACCAGGCAGGAGGTCAATAATAGACTTTTGCTGCATATCGTGTAGACATATATGCTAACTTTGGTTTCTCAGACATCAAGAGAACAAAATACTGCATCAAGATCATTACTACAAACTGAACAATGACTATGAACAACCGTTTAAAACGATTTTACGATTCACCAAAACACTTCTACGTAGAAATGCGCTCTTTTGACTACATTGCTAAAGAGTTTCTTGAAATTGTATATTATTATCGTCTGACCTTCTCAATCATACATACAAATGAGACTCCAACGTCTTAATGTACACGATTTTTTTTTTTTTTCCTTCCTTTTAACCCTAACATTCCTCTCATCTTTATCTTTTAGGGTTTATGTGTATCAGTCATGAGTTCTTGGAAAAGTTCACTGCAGACAACAACCTATTTGTTTTTCACATAAACTTGACTATATTCTCAGCTCAGCTTCTGTCTTCCTTTAACCAAAAGCAAAAGGCAGCAAAGCAAATCAAACACACAATCAAGCTGTGTCGTCGTCTCTGTTCTTCTTAGCTTTCTTCTCCTATTTGCACATTTGGTTCAACTCTATTCATCAAATCAAAGAGCCCATGCATGACGACCTAAAAAGGCCCTTCAATTATTTGGAAAAAATGCACGTTACATATTCACCGCAAAAGCCCAAAAGGGTCTGCAATTTCTTCAGTCAACAGATTAAAGATCCTCCTCCGGCCCATCTCTTTTTCTCCCTGCAATCTAATTGGCCATATGGCTGGCTTGTTCATCAGAATCTCTACCTCTCTCGATCGTGGAGGGAAAATGAAAAACAGTACTGCTGGCTTTGCAGCTCATCATCAACTTTAATTTATAGAGCATGATGAGCTTTCTTTCTTGCTTTCTCTCTTTAGCTTCCTTTCTAGATGGAGAAATAATTACGACTCCTTTCTCATTCAACCAATAAATTAAATTAGCGTCACTGAAAAGTTTGCCAAGAGAAATGGACGATAGATATTCTTACGGCAAACGCATGCATGATTTGGACGTTCAACGTGCATCCGTGCGGGAGAACTATGCCGTAATAAGGAGAGGTCCATATAATTATTGATTGGAAAGATTTCAATCAATTTGATGACTTAAGAAGAAACAACATTCAACGATGACATAGCCAAGATCCCGATCTATGTAGGTTCTCTCCTTACCGCGAAAGTTTATTGGGCACTGAATATAAGATATTTTGATGACAATACAAACACATTAAGTCAGTCATAAAAATATATCACATCAAAGGACAATTCATTTACTTGTACTTATTTTACTTATTTGATGGCCCGAATTATAATTTTTCATGTCATTTAAAGAGAGAAAAAATGCTCTTTTGCTCGGCAAACTGTTATGTACGTAAGAATTGGCCCTAAAATTCAATACTAACTTAACTATACCTGACTTGTAACCTAAGAAATACGAATCGAACTAATGCGCAAACTGATTGATCCCAGTTCGAACCCGTCCGATTGACGTTCCAAGTCCAAGTTTCCATTTATTTGTGAGGGAATGAAGCATAGTGGGATAGATTTGGGCCGAGGTGATGGACACGTGGTAGCAGAGAGGTATGTCGGGCATGTGATCCTGACAAAGATTAGGCCGGCCCATCCATAAAGAATATGGGCTCACTTGCGAAATGGTTTCTGGACAAATTGCGGAAGCCCATTTGTGTGTTACATCAAAATCAAATACACAGAAGCGGACTTTTCCGGCCAGACAAAGAGGATTATCAATGGAGACGCTGATCCTCCTCCACCCTTCACCGAAACTCCCACCGCCGCCGCTGCGGCCAAATCTCTTCCACTCTCCGACGACAACTACGATCCCTTCAAACGCCTGCTTCCAATTTCCCCAACCCACTCGTCTCCGCCGCGGCACCAAGTCTACCCGCCGGATAGCGCCCTCAGCGTCGTTCAGAAACGGAAGCGATGCTCCAGAAACAGGGTGCCCTGTCCCCGTCGATCAGCAACCCATAAACGAGTACCAGAGCCTCTCCACCTCCTTCCCTTTCTCTTGGGCCTCCGGCGACATCGTCGAGTACTGCTCTCGCCTTTTCGTCACCGGCGCGTCTTTCGCCCTGTTCGTGGGCTTACCCGTCTCCTGGTTTGGCTCCGTCGGCCCGCAATTGGACCCTTTGAAACCGATCTTTGCTGCCCTCTCCAGCGGGATTCTGGTGGTTAGCCTCGCGGTCTTGAGGATGTATTTGGGTTGGGCGTATGTTGGGAACCGTCTGCTCAGTGCCACTGTCGAGTGTAATTATGCTCTCTGTGTTCCATTTTGCTGCTTTTCGGTTCCTTCTGAAAAAGATCAATCTTTTCATATACCTTGATTTGACTCTATTGCAGATGAAGAAACCGGGTGGTATGATGGTCAGGTATGTGTATATATATATTGAAAATTTTAACTTCCTGATTTCAGTCATACTATTGTCAAACCCTAGTCTAGTCTCAGTGAATGTCAGGAGTTTTTAGTGAACTTGAGTATGATACTCCAAGTTTACTAGGAAATGCCGTAGAAGTAATTGATTCTGATAGTATGAGATGGATCCGGCATAGGAAGCTTGAGGAATTGAAGATGGCTGTAAAGCAGGAAGATCTTGTGGTGTAGTGTTTGAATAGATGTGATTAGTTATCAATCTACCAATTTGGAGACTCTTACTAGTGCAATTTGGCTCAACAGATATGGGTGAAGACTGCAGAAGTTCTTACTAGAGACAGGCTTCTTGGCTCCATTACCGTAAGTCTTAAAATGGATGATCATCAGTTTCATGGAAGGCAATTGGGAGATGAGCTGACTGTTTTCCCCCACCTTGCTTCTTTCTTTCTCTCGCACAGGTGAAGCCTGTTCTAAGCAGACTAAAGAACACCCTTGTAACTCTAGCGGTGATGCTGTTTGTTTGTGTTCTGCTCTTCATCAACTTGGAGAGGGAGGCAAATACGTACAGATTGGAAGAAGGTCGCGATAGATCTGTACCTGGAGTTTACAACGACGACTCGGCGAGATCGTTTGAGCCGGATGCTTTCTGTGGTGAACCTAGTAGTGATGTTCCTTCGTCGTGAATCATATGAATGAAATTTGTCAAGAATGTGTGTTCTGCATATATTGCTATCGATGTAGTAAGTTGATATCCGAATTCAATGTAGTGCAGAGGTTGAAGGCTACGGAATCTCTCAGGTGGTCATTGTTTAAAGGAAAAAGATTCTTAGTTTACGGGATATGGTTCGGAAGGGACAGCCAAACATTAGAGAGCTTCCATTTTCATACCAGACATTGGTCGATGCCATTTTAAAAGTAAGGAAAGCAAATTCTAACAGCGGAGAAGAATGAAAAGCTAGCCATCAATTAGCTAGGTAAACGATACAGAGAAAATTGTTTTCTGTTTCTAATGGGTTTCCAAGTTCTAATTGGAAAAGGAAATTATCAAATTAAACAAACGAAAAGGAAGGGGGAAAACCGGCTTATGATAGGGTGAGTAACCCTTTGTTACTCACCCGTGAGTAACCACCTAGGAACCGTTGATCTGGGGCGGACGGATCGTGTGGCTGTCATTGAAGCGGGATGGTCAGGGGCATTTTTGTCCGTTATTTGAATTAATGAGTTTCCCCTTTTGTCCGTTGCGAATCTTTCTGTGCGCGAGTTGGATTCGGATTTTGGAGAGTCTCAACTACGAGCAGGGGAGCAGCAGCTGAGAAACAAGGACGGCGATTCTCCATGGTTGATCGACGGCGATAGAAACTGCGAGCAGCAGCTTCGAATCGAGCTTTCTGATTCTCGGTCTCCATAATTGATCGACGTGTGCGCGAGTTGGATTCAGATTTTGGAGAGAGAAATTGCGAGCAGGGGAGCAGCAGCTGAGAAACAAGGACGGCGATTCTCCATGGTTGATCGACGGCGATAGAAACTGCGAACAGCAGCTTCGAATCGAGCTTTCTGATTCTCCATAATCGATCGACGTGTGCGCGAGTTGGATTCGGTTTTTGTAGAGAGAAACTGCGAGCAGCTGCTGCGAAACAGGGGACGGCGAATCTTTTGTGATTCTCCATAATTGATCGACGACGAGGTTAGATATTAGTTTTTTTGATTCTTCCTGTTTAGCTAATCGAGTTTTCTGTTGATCTCTGGTTTCGTTGGAGGTTTTTCATTGCTGCTAGTCGAGCTTGTTTATGTTTAGCTAATCGAGCTTGTTCATGTGTTATGTTCTTTGTGTTTTGGTGTTTTTGTAGTATTCTGGTGAGATGAGTTACGTAAATTGTGGCGATGTTGTTCCAATTGATAGATCTGGTTCTTCAACCAGCGTTGTAGGATCTGGTTCTTCATCTAGTGCTGTTGGAATTGCTTCTTCATCTATCGATCTTGGATTTGATCATTCAGCTAACTCTGGTGAATCAGGAGGTAAGATATACAAATTTGTTTGTTTATTGAAGTTTGTATAGTGTCGTAATTTGATTTTACCATGCCTTATCATGTGGTACTTGATTTTACAGTACATTACCATGTGGTAAAATGTGGTAATTAGGAAGTTAAATGTGATGGTTCTGTGTGATAATTGATTTTACCATGCCATACCATATGGTATAGTGTGGTAATTTGATTTTACCATGCCTTATCATGTGGTAATTGATTTTACAGTACATTACCATGTGGTAAAATGTGGTAATTAGGAAGTTAAATGTGAGGATCCTGTGTGATAATTGATTTTACCATGCCATACCATATGGTATAGTGTGGTAATTTGATTTTACCATGTCTTATCATGTGGTAATTGATTTTACAGTACATTACCATATGGATCCTGTGTGATAATTGATTTTACCATGCCATACCATATGGTATAGTGTGGTAATTTGATTTTACCATGCCTTATCATGTGGTAATTGATTTTACAGTACATTACCATGTGGTAAAATGTGGTAATTAGGAAGTTAAATGTGAGGATCCTGTGTGATAATTGATTTTACCATGCCATACCATATGGTATAGTGTGGTAATTTGATTTTACCATGCCTTATCATGTGGTAATTGATTTTACAGTACATTACCATGTGGTAAAATGTGGTAATTAGGAAGTTAAATGTGAGGATCATGTGTGATAATTGATTTTACCATGCCATACCATATGGTATAGTGTGGTAATTTGATTTTACCATGCCTTATCATGTGGTAATTGATTTTACAGTACATTACCATGTGGTAAAATGTGGTAATTAGGAAGTTAAATGTGAGGGTTATGTGTGATAATTGATTTTACCATGCCATAGCATATGGTATAGTGTGGTAATTTGATTTTACCATGCCATACCATATAGGGGTGAACAAACACACCCGCAAACCGACCCACCCGTCCAACCCGACCCAACCCACCCGTATTTGTCGCTAAATCGAAGGTTTTGGGTTGGGTGAGGGTTTTCTTTTGTACAACCCGCCTCATTTGGGTTGGGTTTGGATTTTAGATTACACAACCCGTAGAACCCGACCCAACCCGTGTTCCAATTATTGGTATGAGTTCGTATCCAAAAAAATATTTATGTCGTATATAGTCATACTTATGAGAAAATTAAGATATTTCGCCATGTTTTTCTATTAAAGTCTCACTAATCTAATGCATTCTTCGACTTAAAGTTTAGACATATATTTAATATAGCTATGATTCACGTATTTTTTTTCTTGTGTACAATTTTAAAAGAATATCATATTATGGATGCGTTCATTTGTAACCTTTTTAGCCTATTTCAACAAATGGCATGAAAAAAACTAGACATAAGTTGAAGTAAATCAAGTTTTATTAAAATTCAAACAATATTTGTGAATTTTGATACCTTTCACCTCGGTTTATTCGTTTGAATTTTTAATTTTTTATAAAATATTTTTATGATGTAGAATAATTACATATTTTGTGTTGGGTTGGGTTTTTACTTAAAAATATCGCCAACCCGACCCAACCCAATTAGAAACAAACCGTAGGGTTTAGATTTTATTGGGTGGGTTTGGGTTTAATATTTCCCAAACCGTAGTGCATGGGTCGGGTGATTAAAATGCCCAAACCCGGACCACCCGACCCATGTACACCCCTAATACCATATGGTATAGTGTGGTAATTTGATTTTACCATGCCACACCATGGTGGTAACTCTTGTATCATGGCTGTAATTATTGGTATACATTGAGATTTCATACTGTTGTGGTGTGGAATCCATTTAATATGTTGTTTCATAATGTTTGTAGGTTTCTGGTACGGATCGAAGGCTAAAAGAGAAAGTAAACAAAGGCTAAAAGATAGCCAACTCCCTAACTACTCAACCACACGTAATATGGGATCCTTTATTCACCTAACAACTACTGCAAAGACCAATTCAAATGGAGAAACAGAATGACAAGCAAAAGACCTAAACTACCAGGCAAGCATCTGCAACCAACTCCTCCATTCACCCATCCTGGAAACGCCTAGTGGCCCGCCGTGTCCTCGTGGATCGACGAGGCCCATCATCTGCGTCGTACTCCAGCCCATGCGCATTGGAAGATTCATCAATACCCCCCCCCCCCCCCCCCCCCGTGGAGCAACGGACTCGTCCTCGAGGCCTAAATGGAGGAAGCGGTCGTCGAAGACAGATGCCAGTTCCCAGGTGGATTCATCGGCTGGTAGCTGGTGCCACTTGACCAGCAACTCCTTCACCATGCGACCCCCACAGCGAGTCCAGCGAATGTCCATAATCGCCTGGGGCTGAAGTAGCAATGCACCATCATCGTCAATAGGGGGTACGATTGTGCTCGGCGGGCAAGCCTGGGAATGACACGGTCGTAGCAATGAGACGTGGAATACCGGGTGAACGCGGCTACCTGGTGGAAGAGCAAGACGATAGGCCACAGGGCCGACTCGCTCCGTGATCAAATAAGGTCCATAATACCGACAAGCCAATTTCTGGGAAGCCCGACGGAAAATCGAATGCTGGCGGTAAGGATGGAGCTTCAAGTAGACAGCGTCGCCGACGTGGAATTCGATGTCACGGCGGGCGGCATCAGCGTGTTGTTTCATGCGGTTCTGAGCGGCAGTGAGATTGGCGTGGAGTTCCTCAAGGATCGCATTGCGATCGAGCAAAGTGATCTCCACCTCGTGAACTGAGGTCGAACCCGGGCGGTAGTAAGGAATGGCGGGGGGTAAGCGCCCATAAAGAGCTTGGTACGGGGTCATACCGGCTGAGCTGTGGAAGGTCGTATTATACCAATACTCCGCCCAAGGAAGGTAGGATAGCCAGCGCCGCGGGTTCTGATTGGTGAAACAACGAAGGTACTGTTCGAGACATCGGTTGACGACCTCTGTTTGGCCGTCGGTCTGCGGATGATACGAGGATGACATGGATAGCTTGGTGCCGGATAGACGGAACAGCTCACGCCAAAAGTGGCTAGTGAACGTTGCGTCGCGATCGGAGACGATGGACCGCGGCGGTCCGTGCAATTTGAGAACCCCTGCCAGAAAAGCATCCGCTACTGAACGAGCTGTGTAGGGATGGGAGAGAGGTACGAAATGAGCTGACTTCGTGAGGCGATCGACGACCACGAGTATCACGGTTTTACCCCCCGAGGAAGGCAGCCCATCGATAAAATCCATCATGATATCCTGCCATACTTGCGTCGGGATCGGCAAGGGTTGAAGAAGACCTGCAGGGGCGAGAGACTGCGCTTTGGCCCGTTGGCATACGTCGCAAGCGCGGACGAACCGTTTGACATCTTCAAGCATGTGCGGCCAATAGAATTGGGCAGCTAAACGCCGGTAGGTGCGTTCGACGCCGGAATGGCCCCCCATGGTCGTGGAGTGGAACTCGTGCAGAAGTTGAGCCACATGGGTGGATTGTGGTGGAACGACGACTCTTCCGCGATGGTGGAGCATGTTGTGGCGCATGGTGAAGTGGCCCGGCGTGTGGAGAGAGCTCGGCGGCGACCCATTAACATATAAGGGTGATCGGCTGCCGTCTGTTGGATGGATTCCCAAAGACCCGTGTAGGGCATGGAGAGTGCAGCTAAAGTCGGCTCGTGTGCACGTCGGCTGAGGGCGTCAGCGGCCTGATTTTCGGGCCCAGGTTTGTAGACGATATCATAGTCGTAGCCCAAAAGTTTAGAGATCCACTTCTGCTGTTCGGGGGTCGTGATCCTCTGGTCCAAGAGGTGTTTTAAGCTCTTCTGGTCCGTCCGAATGGTGAAGCGCCGGCCAAGCAGATAGGGCCGCCAAGTTTGAATTGCTTTGACTATGGCGAGCATCTCTTTGGCGTAAGTGGACAGCGACTCGTGGGCTTTGCTCAAGGCCTGACTGAGGAAAGCAATGGGCCGACCCTCCTGCATCAATACAGCTCCGATCCCACTCCCGGACGCATCAGTTTCAAGGACGAACGGCTGGCCGAAGTCCGGTAGAGCAAGGATCGGCGTTGTCGTCATGGCCTGTTTGAGCGCCTGGAAAGCCGCGGCGGCTTCGGTGGACCAGCTGTACTGTCCTTTCAATGCGCATTGGAAGATTCATCAGTTTCAATGGTATAGATCCTACTGTTCGTGATTCTTGGAAGGACTTAGAGTTCAATACACCAGATGATGCATATAATTTTTATGTTGATTATGGGAATCATGAAGGTTTTGGTGTGAGGATTTATAACCAATCAGCGTGTCCGAAGCTCAATAGTGGTTCTTCAGCTGTATATTATATCAAGTATTGTTGCAATAAGGAAGGTTGGAAAAGAGGTAGCGAGAATAACCCTGATAATGCAGGTGTTGTTGATACGACAGTTCGTGTTCGTAATGTTCCAGAACTCAGGGGTGGATGTAATGGTGCTTATATACGACTGAGGTGGTTTAAAGAGTTTAAATGCTACAAGATCTATCGTTGGTGTAATGTGCACAACCATGACATGATTCCTGAGTCTCTGCGTCACTATGTGAGATCCAGCAGACGAATGGCTGCTGTGTATAAGATGTTGGCAGAGGTGAATGATGCTGCTGGTATTGGTGTGACTTCTTCGTATAATGCAATTAGTAGGGCTGGTGGTGGTCGGAAGTTTGTTGGGTTCACAAAGAATGATATGAAGAATCATCTGCGAACGGTTAGGACATTATCAATGGAGTATGGTGATGCGACTGCATTGCTTGAATACTTTAGACGTCAAGCACAGCTGGATCCTGGGTTCTTTCATGAGGTGGAGGTTGATGTTGAAGAGAACATTGCTAGTATTTTTTGGGCAGATGGGAAGATGAGGATGGATTATCATTATTTTGGTGATTCAATTAGTTTTGATACTACTTACCGGACTAACAAAGAGTATCGGCCACTAGGTATGTTTTCTAGTTTGTTGTTTATTATTGTCTTTGTTAGTTTGTATGATTATTATTATTATCATTATGTATCATGTTTTTTTTTTTTTGTTCTTACAAGTCTGTACCATATGGTATGGGTTGGTATGGATTGCTTTTTTGTTCTTAAAAGTATTTTACCATATGGTATGTGTTGGTAACAAGGTTATTTGAGGTGGTTTTTGGATTGTTAGAAGTTTGTACTATATGGTATGGGCTGGTATGCATTGTGTTTTTGTTCTTAAAAGTCTTTTAGCATATGGTATGGGTTGGTAACAAGGTTATTTTGTTCTTAAAAGTCTTTTACCATATGGTATGGGTTGGTAACAAGGTTTTTTTTTGTTCTAAGAAGTCTTTACCACATGGTATGAGTCTTTAGCATATGGTATGGGTTGGTATTATTGTTATTCGTACCTTTTACCACATGGTATGTGTTGGTAGAATTGTTTTTACTCACATTTTTGTTATGTTTTTGTAGCTTTGTTTGTTGGTTTCAACAATCATCACCAACTGACTGTCTTTGCGGCTGCTCTTCTATATGATGAAACAACGGCAACATTTGAATGGCTTTTCGATCAGTTTTTGAAATGCATGGGAGGTGTGAGACCGTTATCAATGTTTACTGACCATGCTGCTGCAATTGCTGCTGGTATAAGGTCTGTTTTCCCAGATTGTTTTCATGGGTTGTGTACATGGCATATTGCTCAGAATGCAGTTGTTAATCTGGGAAGTTTGTGTGACTCTGACTTCCTTCGTGAGCTTAGTTATTTGATGTATAATGCTGATGATGAGGATGATTTTGAGTATAATTGGAAGAAGATGATTGAGAAGTGTTTTCCTGGGAAGGGACCTTTGGGACACAGTTGGTTACAGGGCATTTACAAAGTCAGGACGAAGAGGTCTTCAGCCTGGGTGAATTGTCATTTTGGTGCGGGAATGAAGAGTACCCAGCTAAGTGAGTGCTGCAATAGTAATATTCGACATTACTTGCAGTCAGAGTTTAGCGTTAGTAGGTTCTTTGTGCACTTTGAGAGGATGCTTGATAATAAGAGGGATGCTCAAGAACAAGAAGAGTACTACGCCTTATCTAGGTTGGCTGATTCTCGGTTTTCTACTAGCCCTATTGTGAAGCAAGTTGCCAATGTGTATACGCTGAAGATATTCAAGTTTTTCCTGGATCAGTACAAGGAATCTCTTGCGTATAATATTTTTTCCAATACGGAGATAGAACCAGAAGGTGTAGGACTGTTTGATGTCTTAATATTGGAGGATGACCTTACAAGGTTGGATAGTAGGGTGTTGAAGGTTGATTTTGAAACCGGTGAAA